TCAATTATCTAACACCATTAGTTCCCTGAAAATCACATCTAACATATGAATAGTAAATACTAGAACTTGAAAAGGTACTTATGTATTCTACTTATTTCCAAAATAATAATATAACATTTCACTACTAATTACTGCTCTTTTCCCCCAGTGCCCCTTGTGTGTCTTGGGGATCTCGCCGGACTTGCTAGACTTTCGCTCTCCGGAGGTGGCCATGCGCGTCCAGCGTCAGGAATATTGATGCCCGTGGAGCGTGCCGCTGGGAATGCCATGTGCCAGTTGACCAGGCACCGCCAAAAAGGAGGGGAACGAACAAAAAAAAAACAGAGAACAGGAAAGTAAAGAGGAAGCTAGCAAGGACAACGGCCAGCGCATGTTAAGCACTGGGGAGCCCATCCAGGACACCCTGGCCGTGGGCCAGAATCCATCTTCGGCGGCCAGGACGACATAAATTAGCGGCAGGCCGGCAGGCTCCTACGCCGCCGAGCAGTCGTCGCTCATGGCCAAAACTTCTGCGGCTAACAGTCTCATATTGCGGCACGCAGTTTATCAATGTGTCGGGTCAGCGCTGCGTACTCGTTGCTCCTTGGTCCTTGCTCCCTCACTACTCTGCCTGCCCATTGTCCTGTGGTCCATGGTGCGCACTCCTTCCAACGTAACGTAACCTCAAGGCGGCTCCGGCTGAATGCGGCTGATGCTGCTGTTGCACATCACGTGACTTGCCAACCAAATGAAATTCCTAGTCGGCGCCACATGGCGCACATCGCTTTCATAATTGAGTACAAACACGTGTTTGTATGCATCTAATTACTTAAAATTCCTGTCTTAGGAAGGGACAGCCCCTTCCTAGTTATTGAAGCGTTCTTAGATAAAGACTCTGACCTTTTTCAAGATTTCAAAATGCTATAACCCTTTGAAAGAGAGAGTACGATTTGTAAAGCCCGAAGAAATATTAAAAGTTTATATATCATAATGATACCAAAGACCGGAAAAGATTTCTTCGCTTTGTTAACTTTAAATAGTACTCAAATTCTCAAATATTATTCAACTTAAAAATCATCTGGGAGATTGACTCGGGCTTCATACCAAACCCCCCACCAAAGACAGTCTAACAATAAGATGCGTTACTTTTATACATTTTGCATACTTTTCCAGTAATAAAGCCCACTTACGTAAGTAAATATAGAGATTAAAATTAAAATTAAATTGAAATTAAAATTATATAAAATTAAAATCGTATGTGTTACGATTCTTATTATAATATTTATTCTTTTTTAAGATAACCTGAAAGTAGCTCTAGAACGAATTAGAAAAATGCAATTTCAAAGACTTAACATTTAAAATTGTATTAATTAGTTACTTAAAAACCCTACCCCTCTTAGAACAACCCGTTTAAAGTAGATACATTGTCCATTAACCATGCAAAGTACACCACATACCGGAATGCTAATCTATCGCATTTTTTTTTTGCAATGACAGTGTGTTTAATATCTATAAAATCAACTAAATCAGACCCTACTATTTATATACACACAGTTGATAATCAAACCGCAATTCGGACCCCCTATCACTCACTTGATTGATATTAGTTTTTAATTATGCCACATTTGATGGCATGAACTCTGCCCTCCCAACCACCCTCGCTTGTTGTTTACAAGTCGCGCTAAAAAAAAAAAAAGGTCAGCTAGTCAGACGTGCAAGTGCAGCGAAAATGCAATGAAATAAATAATAACCACAAAAATGCAATTTAATACAAATCTAATTCGAGCACATCAAGTTGCCAGCTGTCTGTGTGTAAAACTGCCCCTTTCTCCGCACGAAATCGCTCGTTTATGGCGATTTTTAATTGAAAGCGCGACTTTTGGGCTTTACACACAGCAGCGGCAGCAACAGCAGCTGCATAAATTTCATTAGTAAACTTTTAATTAGAAAAATTTCAGCATGAATTTAATTAGTGGAGATATACACAGACAAATAGCCAGAGAGTTGGCTGTGAATTAAATTTAATAAAATGAAAATAAAACGCAACTAGCACCGACGTTAACACCTGACAACTGAATGACAATTGTTGAGGCAGAACTGGCCCAAACAAATATTGGTTACCTAACCATTTTGTGGGTCAGTCTTTGGCATAAATTAAGCACAACAAATTGAAAATATATTTAAAAAAATATTTTTGGCCGCAAATTGCTTTGCTTTTCCCAAACTTACTACAAGTCTTCTGAATATGTGAATGGCATTCCGTAAGACTCACGATGAACGTGATGTACTGCCGCAATTACAGAATAAGGAAGTGCAGTGCTAATTATTACAATTATGCTGCCAATCATAAAATGCCTTTATCGTATACACTTCCCAAGTAATTTATGTCGAAAATTTATCGATTTTATTTATTTAACAACAATTAACCCGCTCTGCGTGATTAATCATTTTCTATGCAAATTATATAATGTCCATAATGTCCCTTCCCAAAGCACGCAAACTTTTAACCAACTTTAACTCCGACTCTGGCGTTCCGCACATCTTTAATTACAACAGCATCGGGGGACTGTGAAATACGAGTATATATATGAGTACAGGTCTGGCCGGCTGCGATCGTGGCCACACAAATCATTCATAATCACATTTTGCTAATTATATGCGAGAAAAAACCTCAACTGCGTCATAAGCAACGAACTGCAGCCCCGAGTCTTTATTGGAATACAGTATTTCTCGAGCAATTGGAGTGAAAATTGTGGGAATCAAGTAGAGGGTTTACCTATGTGGGTGACTAATTTTATTGAATTTATTGAATCAGAGATCAATGCGGGGAAATGCAGCCATGATCAATGGGGAAATCAAAAACATTACAATCTTAATTACTTATTCAGAATTAAAAAGAAGAATTCATAGATAATAAAAGCTGCAAATACTTTATACTTTAACAAAAATGTAATGAACTCTTTTACACAATTTTCTCTTTAAATATTATCCAAGTCAAAGGGTATTCAAAATGTTTTCCTACTCTTTTTAACACTCTTTCTCATTTTAGGTTTAAGTTCCCCCTAACAAAAGAATGCCACTTATTGCCCTATAAAAGAGCCAGAGAAATACAAAATTTTAATTTAAATTCAACAGAAAAAATCATTTAAAAGCACTGTTAGCTTATGGCCAAAAAAGGCCATGTACCAAAGAGAAAAATTTGAGACTTGGTAGTATAATTTGTAAAACCAAAAATATATATATTTATATTATTTCTTTATTGATTTTAAATTCAATTTAATTCGATTTTAAAAAAAATTTTAGGTTCGCGTCTTTTGATATTTTAAATAATGCAAAACTAAATTCCTTTTTGTACACACTTTTTGGCTGAGTGTACATATAAGCAATAAACAGAAGACTTTATAGATAAACCTTAGAACTGCGAAACTAGTTTAAGATTTCACAAACCGATATATCCAAGTTGGCAACCTGTGGCCATACCCTTTTCTACAGTATATAATATATATATAGCTTTACCTGATTCTGTTGTAAATATGCATCATGCCATAGTCAGAAAAAAAGAAGAATATTTATATCCAAGAACTGCTATAGAAATAGAATTGACCCAAAGCTGAAGAAGCAGCGGACCATTCTTGTTTTCGGCTATTTCGGGGATGGCCATTCGACGTCATAATCACCTGTTCTTTTGTAGCTGTTTTCTGTATTTTAATACCCAATACCCATTAAGGTTAGAGGGTATTATAGGTACAAATAAACATAAATATATAAAATATAATTCAAGAAATTTTGGGCTTTATTTCTGGTTTAGAGTAAGAGTTTAGAATATATAAATACCAAACCTTTGATTTGACTACCGGGTATCTCTCAGTCGAGGTTTCTGTCTAGCTTGCTTGTCTTTTTTGATTATTTGTCTATTTTTTTTGCATATTCCGCATTTCAGTTTTGTCGTTGTTGCTGTCGCTTAACGCGAAGCCTCAGCCACGAGCATTGTTATTTTAATTATCGGCAATTAGGTGTGAAGCACGTTTCTGTAGACGTCTCTTCTTAATTTCTGTATTTTGGTTTCGGTTTATTTGGATTTATTTCAGACAGTTTCTGCTCATAAGCAAAGCCAATCATTTGATTTAAAGAAGGGAATCAAAACTTCGGCTTTTTAAAGTGAACTTGGGTTCTTGTTATTTTCTTCCCCTTTGGGGTTTACGATGTTCTGCTGTTATTGTTGGTGTTACGTGTTAATGACATCTAGTCAAGTTGTGTGTGTGTTGTGCCCAAGGCGGAAAGAGAATAATTCCCCGGCTCGCATGGCTACTACTTATTGGTAATTTCCTTGAAGCGGGCATTTTTCCCACACTCGCCGGCAATACTGATTACCAATTATACAGGAGCCCATCGGGCCCACCTATTGCCCCATGGCGATGAGCCGATGCCAAACCGGTCTGCCTCAAGTCGGATTAGCTGGGAGCCAATGATCAGAGATCTTAGGGTGCAGCGAAATCTCATTGCACTCGTAGGTATTATAGTTTTCTGTACAACCAGAGTAATTATCCAGGAAGGATGTATCTTCAACCGGAGACCAACAACCTAACAAGGACCTATTTTCTTAATTAATTAATTATTAAATGAGCATTTATCTTAATAAGTAATAAAGTTAAGTTAAATTTTTAATGAAAAATCCATTCTAAATACATTCTATATTCCCTTGTATTCTTAACTGCAAAAGAACCCATAAAAGTGGCTTATTCTGTACTAGAACCTGTTGTGAGACGAGCTTAGTTAGAGCTGCTTCTTGGTGATTATTCTCTAATAAAGATAGAACCTTTATTTTAAGAATTGGCCTGTCCGATGTCCTCATCTAAGCCGGCTTCCAGCTGACTCCCCGATGATTCTCTGGCTAATTTCCTTCTAATCGGAACCAGTTATAGACCTCTGCCCAACCCTGAGAGCTGTGGGAAAGCGGCAGCAGCCGCAGCAGCAGCGTCGCAACCGAGGTCGTGCCATTCATAAGCCCAAACTGCCGCGCAATCCCAGCTCAGTAGTCTGCTGACCGCCGAGATGCCGATGACTATGTCGAGATTACGGAGCAAGTGCAGCTTCACGGCCGTAGTGCTCCTGCTTCAGCTGCTGCTGGTTGAAAAATCCTCGGCAGACACTGCATCCCGATCAACCGGTGGTCGCTATTGCGCCACCTCTCTCTGCCAGGTCTACAATGGAACGCATCTGGTGCAGGCACCCCACATAGCCTGTGGCAACAATGGTAGCTTTGCTGCCAGCTGCGGCCCGGAGCCGAAGCTCCTGGACATGAGCCAGCGGCGTCGGCAGCTGCTCCTCGACATGCACAATCTGGCCAGGTCACGGATCGCCGGCGGTGAGCTGGAGGGCTACCAGAGCGCCGCTCGCATGCCAGTGCTGCGCTGGGACTCGGAGCTGGAGCAGATGGCCGCCCTGCATGCCAAGCGCTGCCAGTTCGCCCACGACAAGTGTAGGAATACGCCGCGCTTCGCGTTCAGCGGCCAGAACATAGGCTACTTTTGGATCGGCCGGGAGTTTAAGTCGCATTCGCGGCGCATGAAGTCGTTCGTGATCAATTGGTTCCGCGAATACCAGGATGCCAACCAGACTTTCATCGACCGCTATCATCCGCATCCACAGGGGTAAGTGTCAAAGCTTATGTAGAGTCCTCAAACTTACCGGATTTCTTTTCCCTTTCAGCAAAAAGATTGGTCACTTCACATTGCTGGTCTCGGATCGTGTCCAGCGCGTGGGCTGTGCCGGCGTCCGCTTTCTGGAGCCACAGGCCAATCGTTACCAGTTCATGCTCACCTGCAACTACGACTACAACAATATCTTCAACGAACCCATCTATCAGGCAGGTCCTCCAGGCTCCAAGTGTCCCCAGCACCGGGTCAGTGAGAAGTTTTCAGGACTCTGCGACTGGCAGGATGCCTCCACCGACAACGAGAGCGAGGAGAGTGCCGAGGATGGCAACACCCTGGACAACAACATTCCATTCTAGAAGGAAGCTTCCTTCTTCGAATTAATTTCCATTTTCCTGCCTCTTACCCAAAGGTACATCCTTGAGAGAATGTTCAAATTAGAGTATGTGCTGTACTCCGATATCAGAAACTATAACAACAAGGACTAGCAAATTGGGGGACAGTATTTATATAAACTCCACGAACTTCCAGGTTTCTTCTACGAACTTTTTACGCCAAGAAAATTATAACGCTTTTAGTATTTAAAGTATAATATGATAATGATAAGCATATGGGTTATTGGCAATAACACAGCTATTTAAATAACTTTTTATGCATGTTTCTATTTAATCTTTTCCTTTCTTTTTTTTTTTTTTTTTTTGTTAATCTGTTATTTACAATATAATTTACGTGGCCCATAATAAAAAAAAACGAAGCAAGTAATATAAAAATTCGAGATTACAAGATAAAAAGAAAAGTATAATATTAATTAATTATTAATTTGCTAAACAATTATTTAATTGTTACAATTGTAATTTATACTATTTTTGCAACTCTTTATTGTCACTAAGCGAAACACAAACAAATGTATATATGTATATTTAATAGAATTTAGAAAACCTTATCAACATTTTTTCGGATCTTAAACTAAAACTAGGCAGCCACTGTGCTCAGTGAATCAAAGATAATGAACGGTGGCAGAGATGCGGTGGTGCTGCCATCAGCGGTTGTCTTTCGGCTTGTTTGTTCGGTTGTTCCCTCTGTAGTCTTCAGAGTGGTTGGCTTGGCCGTTGTTGTTCCCTCAGTAGTCTTCAGAGTGGTTGGCTTGGCCGTTGTTGTTCCCTCAGTAATCTTCAGAGTGGTTGGCTTGGCCGTTGTTGTTCCCTCAGTAGTCTTCAGAGTGGTTGGCTTGGCCGTTGTTGTTCCCTCAGTAGTCTTCAGAGTGGTTGGCTTGGCCGTTGTTGTTCCCTCAGTAGTCTTCAGAGTGGTTGGCTTGGCCGTTGTTGTTCCCTCTGTAGTCTTCAGAGTGGTTGGCTTGGCAGTTGTTGTTCCCTCTGTAGTCTTCAGAGTGGTTGGCTTGGCCGTTGTTGTTCCCTCTGTAGTCTTCAGAGTGGTTGGCTTGGCAGTTGTTGTTCCCTCTGTAGTCTTCAGAGTGGTTGGCTTGGCAGTTGTTGTTCCCTCTGTAGTCTTCAGAGTGGTTGGCTTGGCAGTTGTTGTTCCCTCTGTAGTCTTCAGAGTGGTTGGCTTGGCCGTTGTTGTTCCCTCAGTAGTCTTCAGAGTGGTTGGCTTGGCCGTTGTTGTTCCCTCAGTAGTCTTCAGAGTGGTTGGCTTGGCCGTTGTTGTTCCCTCAGTAGTCTTCAGAGTGGTTGGCTTGGCAGTTGTTGTTCCCTCTGTAGTCTTCAGAGTGGTTGGCTTGGCAGTTGTTGTTCCCTCTGTAGTCTTCATAGTGGTTGGCTTGGCAGTTGTTGTTCCCTCTGTAGTCTTCAGAGTGGTTGGCTTGGCAGTTGTTGTTCCCTCTGTAGTCTTCAGAGTGGTTGGCTTGGCAGTTGTTGTTCCCTCTGTAGTCTTCAGAGTGGTTGGCTTGGCCGTTGTTGTTCCCTCAGTAGTCTTCAGAGTGGTTGGCTTGGCCGTTGTTGTTCCCTCAGTAGTCTTCAGAGTGGTTGGCTTGGCCGTTGTTGTTCTCTCAGTAGTCTTCAGAGTGGTTGGCTTGGCCGTTGTTGTTCCCTCAGTAGTCTTCAGAGTGCTTGGCTTGGCCGTTGTTGTTCCCTCAGTAGTCTTCAGAGTGGTTGGCTTGGCCGTTGTTGTTCCCTCAGTAGTCTTCAGAGTGGTTGGCTTGGCCGTTGTTGTTCCCTCAGTAGTCTTCAGAGTGGTTGGCTTGGCCGTTGTTGTTCCCTCAGTAGTCTTCAGAGTGGTTGGCTTGGCCGTTGTTGTTCCCTCAGTAGTCTTCAGAGTGGTTGGCTTGGCAGTTGTTGTTCCCTCTGTAGTCTTCAGAGTGGTTGGCTTGGCAGTTGTTGTTCCCTCTGTAGTCTTCAGAGTGGTTGGCTTGGCAGTTGTTGTTCCTTCTGTAGTCTTCAGAGTGGTTGGCTTGGCAGTTGTTGTTCCCTCTGTAGTCTTCAGAGTGGTTGGCTTGGCAGTTGTTGTTCCCTCTGTAGTCTTCAGAGTGGTTGGCTTGGCAGTTGTTGTTCCCTCTGTAGTCTTCAGAGTGGTTGGCTTGGCCGTTGTTGTTCCCTCAGTAGTCTTCAGAGTGGTTGGCTTGGCCGTTGTTGTTCCCTCAGTAGTCTTCAGAGTGGTTGGCTTGGCCGTTGTTGTTCCCTCAGTAGTCTTCAGAGTGGTTGGCTTGGCCGTTGTTGTTCCCTCAGTAGTCTTCAGAGTGGTTGGCTTGGCCGTTGTTGTTCCCTCAGTAGTCTTTAGAGTGGTTGGCTTGGCCGTTGTTGTTCCCTCAGTAGTCTTCAGAGTGGTTGGCTTGGCCGTTGTTGTTCCCTCTGTAGTCTTCAGAGTGGTTGGCTTGGCCGTTGTTGTTCCCTCTGTAGTCTTCAGAGTGGTTGGCTTGGCAGTTGTTGTTCCCTCTGTAGTCTTCAGAGTGGTTGGCTTGGCAGTTGTTGTTCCCTCTGTAGTCTTCAGAGTGGTTGGCTTGGCAGTTGTTGTTCCCTCTGTAGTCTTCAGAGTGGTTGGCTTGGCAGTTGTTGTTCCCTCTGTAGTCTTCAGAGTGGTTGGCTTGGCAGTTGTTGTTCCCTCAGTAGTCTTCAGAGTGGTTGGCTTGGACGTTGTTGTTCCCTCAGTAGTCTTCAGAGTGGTTGGCTTGGCCGTTGTTGTTCCCTCAGTAGTCTTCAGAGTGGTTGGCTTGGCCGTTGTTGTTCCCTCAGTAGTCTTCAGAGTGGTTGGCTTGGCCGTTGTTGTTCCCTCAGTAGTCTTCAGAGTGGTTGGCTTGGCCGTTGTTGTTCCCTCAGTAGTCTTCAGAGTGGTTGGCTTGGCCGTTGTTGTTCCCTCAGTAGTCTTCAGAGTGGTTGGCTTGGCCGTTGTTGTTCCCTCAGTAGTCTTCAGAGTGGTTGGCTTGGCCGTTGTTGTTCCCTCAGTAGCCTTCAGAGTGGTTGGCTTGGCCGTTGTTGTTCCCTCAGTAGTCTTCAGAGTGGTTGGCTTGGCCGTTGTTGTTCCCTCAGTAGTCTTCAGAGTGGTTGGCTTGGCCGTTGTTGTTCCCTCAGTAGTCTTCAGAGTGGTTGGCTTGGCCGTTGTTGTTCCCTCAGTAGTCTTCAGAGTGGTTGGCTTGGCCGTTGTTGTTCCCTCAGTAGTCTTCAGAGTGGTTGGCTTGGCCGTTGTTGTTCCCTCAGTAGTCTTCAGAGTGGTTGGCTTGGCCGTTGTTGTTCCCTTAGTAGTCTTCAGAGTGGTTGGCTTGGCCGTTGTTGTTCCCTCAGTAGTCTTCAGAGTGGTTGGCTTGGCCGTTGTTGTTCCCTCAGTAGTCTTCAGAGTGGTTGGCTTGGCCGTTGTTGTTCCCTCAGTAGTCTTCAGAGTGGTTGGCTTGGCCGTTGTTGTTCCCTCAGTAGTCTTCAGAGTGGTTGGCTTGGCCGTTGTTGTTCCCTCAGTAGTCTTCAGAGTGGTTGGCTTGGCCGTTGTTGTTCCCTCAGTAGTCTTCAGAGTGGTTGGCTTGGCCGTTGTTGTTCCCTCAGTAGTCTTCAGAGTGGTTGGCTTGGCCGTTGTTGTTCCCTCAGTAGTCTTCAGAGTGGTTGGCTTGGCCGTTGTTGTTCCCTCAGTAGTCTTCAGAGTGGTTGGCTTGGCCGTTGTTGTTCCCTCAGTAGTCTTCAGAGTGGTTGGCTTGGCCGTTGTTGTTCCCTCAGTAGTCTTCAGAGTGGTTGGCTTGGCCGTTGTTGTTCCCTCAGTAGTCTTCAGAGTGGTTGGCTTGGCCGTTGTTGTTCCCTCAGTAGTCTTCAGAGTGGTTGGCTTGGCCGTTGTTGTTCCCTCAGTAGTCTTCAGAGTGGTTGGCTTGGCCGTTGTTGTTCCCTCAGTAGTCTTCAGAGTGGTTGGCTTGGCCGTTGTTGTTCCCTCAGTAGTCTTCAGAGTGGTTGGCTTGGCCGTTGTTGTTCCCTCAGTAGTCTTCAGAGTGGTTGGCTTGGCCGTTGTTGTTCCCTCAGTAGTCTTCAGAGTGGTTGGTTTGGCCGTTGTTGTTCCCTCAGTAGTCTTCAGAGTGGTTGGCTTGGACGTTGTTGTTCCCTCAGTAGTCTTCAGAGTGGTTGGCTTGGCCGTTGTTGTTCCCTCAGTAGTCTTCAGAGTGGTTGGCTTGGCCGTTGTTGTTCCCTCAGTAGTCTTCAGAGTGGTTGGCTTGGCCGTTGTTGTTCCCTCAGTAGTCTTCAGAGTGGTTGGCTTGGCCGTTGTTGTTCCCTCAGTAGTCTTCAGAGTGGTTGGCTTGGCCGTTGTTGTTCCCTCAGTTGTCTTCAGAGTGGTTGGCTTGGCCGTTGTTGTTCCCTCAGTAGTCTTCAGAGTGGTTGGCTTGGCCGTTGTTGTTCCCTCAGTAGTCTTCAGAGTGGTTGGCTTGGCCGTTGTTGTTCCCTCAGTAGTCTTCAGAGTGGTTGGCTTGGCCGTTGTTGTTCCCTCAGTAGTCTTCAGAGTGGTTGGCTTGGCCGTTGTTGTTCCCTCAGTAGTCTTCAGAGTGGTTGGCTTGGCCGTTGTTGTTCCCTCAGTAGTCTTCAGAGTGGTTGGCTTGGCCGTTGTTGTTCCCTCAGTAGTCTTCAGAGTGGTTGGCTTGGGCGTTTTTGTTCCCTCAGTAGTCTTCAGAGTAGTTGGCTTGGCCGTTGTTGTTCCTTCTGTAGTCTTCAGAGTGGTTGGCTTGGCAGTTGTTGTTCCCTCTGTAGTCTTCAGAGTGGTTGGCTTGGCAGTTGTTGTTCCCTTTGTAGTCTTCAGAGTGGTTGGCTTGGCAGTTGTTGTTCCCTCTGTAGTCTTCAGAGTTGTTGGCTTGGCAGTTGTTGTTCCCTCTGTAGTCTTCAGAGTGGTTGGCTTGGCAGTTGTTGTTCCCTCTGTAGTCTTCAGAGTGGTTGGCTTGGCAGTTGTTGTTCCCTCTGTAGTCTTCAGAGTGGTTGGCTTGGCCGTTGTTGTTCCCTCAGTAGTCTTCAGAGTGGTTGGCTTGGCCGTTGTTGTTCCCTCTGTAGTCTTCAGAGTGGTTGGCTTGGCCGTTGTTGTTCCCTCAGTAGTCTTCAGAGTGGTTGGCTTGGCCGTTGTTGTTCCCTCAGTAGTCTTCAGAGTGGATGGCTTGGCAGTTGTAGTTCCCTCTGTAGTCTTCAGAGTGGTTGGCTTGGCCGTTGTTGTTCCCTCAGTAGTCTTCAGAGTGGTTGGCTTGGCCGTTGTTGTTCCCTCAGTAGTCTTCAGAGTGGTTGGCTTGGCCGTTGTTGTTCCCTCAGTAGTCTTCAGAGTGGTTGGCTTGGCCGTTGTTGTTCCCTCAGTAGTCTTCAGAGTGGTTGGCTTGGCCGTTGTTGTTCCCTCAGTAGTCTTCAGAGTGGTTGGCTTGGCCGTTGTTGTTCCCTCAGTAGTCTTCAGAGTGGATGGCTTGGCAGTTGTAGTTCCTTCTGTAGTCTTCAGAGTGGTTGGCTTGGCCGTTGTTGTTCCCTCAGTAGTCTTCAGAGTGGTTGGCTTGGCCGTTGTTGTTCCCTCAGTAGTCTTCAGAGTGGTTGGCTTGGCCGTTGTTGTTCCCTCAGTAGTCTTCAGAGTGGTTGGCTTGGCCGTTGTTGTTCCCTCAGTAGTCTTCAGAGTGGTTGGCTTGGCCGTTGTTGTTCCCTCAGTAGTCTTCAGAGTGGTTGGCTTGGCCGTTGTTGTTCCCTCAGTAGTCTTCAGAGTGGATGGCTTGGCAGTTGTAGTTCCCTCTGTAGTCTTCAGAGTGGTTGGCTTGGCCGTTGTTGTTCCCTCAGTAGTCTTCAGAGTGGTTGGCTTGGCTGTTGTTGTTCCCTCAGTAGTCTTCAGAGTGGTTGGCTTGGCCGTTGTTGTTCCCTCAGTAGTCTTCAGAGTGGTTGGCTTGGCCGTTGTTGTTCCCTCAGTAGTCTTCAGAGTGGTTGGCTTGGCCGTTGTTGTTCCCTCAGTAGTCTTCAGAGTGGTTGGCTTGGCCGTTGTTGTTCCCTCAGTAGTCTTCAGAGTGGTTGGCTTGGCCGTTGTTGTTCCCTCAGTAGTCTTCAGAGTGGTTGGCTTGGCCGTTGTTGTTCCCTCAGTAGTCTTCAGAGTGGTTGGCTTGGCCGTTGTTGTTCCCTCAGTAGTCTTCAGAGTGGTTGGCTTGGCCGTTGTTGTTCCCTCAGTAGTCTTCAGAGTGGTTGGCTTGGCCGTTGTTGTTCCCTCAGTAGTCTTCAGAGTGGTTGGCTTGGCCGTTGTTGTTCCCTCAGTAGTCTTCAGAGTGGTTGGCTTGGCCGTTGTTGTTCCCTCAGTTGTCTTCAGAGTGGTTGGCTTGGCCGTTGTTGTTCCCTCAGTAGTCTTCAGAGTGGTTGGCTTGGCCGTTGTTGTTCCCTCAGTAGTCTTCAGAGTGGTTGGCTTGGCCGTTGTTGTTCCCTCAGTAGTCTTCAGAGTGGTTGGCTTGGCCGTTGTTGTTCCCTCAGTAGTCTTCAGAGTGGTTGGCTTGGCCGTTGTTGTTCCCTCAGTAGTCTTCAGAGTAGTTGGCTTGGCCGTTGTTGTTCCCTCTGTAGTCTTCAGAGTGGTTGGCTTGGCAGTTGTTGTTCCCTCTGTAGTCTTCAGAGTGGTTGGCTTGGCAGTTGTTGTTCCCTCTGTAGTCTTCAGAGTGGTTGGCTTGGCAGTTGTTGTTCCCTTTGTAGTCTTCAGAGTGGTTGGCTTGGCAGTTGTTGTTCCCTCTGTAGTCTTCAGAGTGGTTGGCTTGGCAGTTGTTGTTCCCTCTGTAGTCTTCAGAGTGGTTGGCTTGGCAGTTGTTGTTCCCTCTGTAGTCTTCAGAGTGGTTGGCTTGGCAGTTGTTGTTCCCTCTGTAGTCTTCAGAGTGGTTGGCTTGGCAGTTGTTGTTCCCTCTGTAGTCTTCAGAGTGGTTGGCTTGGCCGTTGTTGTTCCCTCAGTAGTCTTCAGAGTGGTTGGCTTGGCCGTTGTTGTTCCCTCAGTAGTCTTCAGAGTGGTTGGCTTGGCCGTTGTTGTTCCCTCAGTAGTCTTCACAGTAGTTGGCTTGGCCGTTGTTGTTCCCTCTGTAGTCTTCAGAGTGGTTGGCTTGGCAGTTGTTGTTCCCTCTGTAGTCTTCAGAGTGGTTGGCTTGGCAGTTGTTGTTCCCTCTGTAGTCTTCAAAGTGGTTGGCTTGGCAGTTGTTGTTCCCTCTGTAGTCTTCAGAGTGGTTGGCTTGGCAGTTGTTGTTCCCTCTGTAGTCTTCAGAGTGGTTGGCTTGGCAGTTGTTGTTCCCTCTGTAGTCTTCAGAGTGGTTGGCTTGGCCGTTGTTGTTCCCTCAGTAGTCTTCAGAGTGGTTGGCTTGGCCGTTGTTGTTCCCTCAGTAGTCTTCAGAGTGGTTGGCTTGGCCGTTGTTGTTCCCTCAGTAGTCTTCAGAGTGGTTGGCTTGGCCGTTGTTGTTCCCTCAGTAGTCTTCAGAGTGGTTGGCTTGGCCGTTGTTGTTCCCTCAGTAGTCTTCAGAGTGGTTGGCTTGGCCGTTGTTGTTCCCTCAGTAGTCTTCAGAGTGGTTGGCTTGGCCGTTGTTGTTCCCTCAGTAGTCTTCAGAGTGGTTGGCTTGGCCGTTGTTGTTCCCTCAGTAGTCTTCAGAGTGGTTGGCTTGGCCGTTGTTGTCCCCTCTGTAGTCTTCAGAGTGGTTGGCTTGGCAGTTGTTGTTCCCTCTGTAGTCTTCAGAGTGGTTGGCTTGGCAGTTGTTGTTCCCTCTGTAGTCTTCAGAGTGGTTGGCTTGGCAGTTGTTGTTCCCTCTGTAGTCTTCAGAGTGGTTGGCTTGGCAGTTGTTGTTCCCTCTGTAGTCTTCAGAGTGGTTGGCTTGGCAGTTGTTGTTCCCTCTGTAGTCTTCAGAGTGGTTGGCTTGGCAGTTGTTGTTCCCTCTGTAGTCTTCAGAGTGGTTGGCTTGGCAGTTGTTGTTCCCTCTGTAGTCTTCAGAGTGGTTGGCTTGGCCGTTGTTGTTCCCTCAGTAGTCTTCAGAGTGGTTGGCTTGGCCGTTGTTGTTCCCTCAGTAGTCTTCAGAGTGGTTGGCTTGGCCGTTGTTGTTCCCTCAGTAGTCTTCAGAGTGGTTGGCTTGGCCGTTGTTGTTCCCTCAGTAGTCTTCAGAGTGGTTGGCTTGGCCGTTGTTGTTCCCTCAGAAGTCTTCAGAGTGGTTGGCTTGGCCGTTGTTGTTCCCTCAGTAGTCTTCAGAGTGGTTGGCTTGGCCGTTGTTGTTCCCTCAGTAGTCTTCAGAGTGGTTGGCTTGGCCGTTGTTGTTCCCTCAGTAGTCTTCAGAGTGGTTGGCTTGGCCGTTGTTGTTCCCTCAGTAGTCTTCAGAGTGGTTGGCTTGGCCGTTGTTGTTCTCTCAGTAGTCTTCAGAGTGGTTGGCTTGGCAGTTGTTGTTCCCTCTGTAGTCTTCAGAGTGGTTGGCTTGGCAGTTGTTGTTCCCTCTGTAGTCTTCAGAGTGGTTGGCTTGGCAGTTGTTGTTCCCTCTGTAGTCTTCAGAGTGGTTGGCTTGGCAGTTGTTGTTCCCTCTGTAGTCTTCAGAGTGGTTGGCTTGGCAGTTGTTGTTCCCTCTGTAGTCTTCAGAGTGGTTGGCTTGGCAGTTGTTGTTCCCTCTGTAGTCTTCAGAGTGGTTGGCTTGGCAGTTGTTGTTCCCTCAGTAGTCTTCAGAGTGGTTGGCTTGGCCGTTGTTGTTCCCTCAGTAGTCTTCAGAGTGGTTGGCTTGGCCGTTGTTGTTCCCTCTGTAGTCTTCAGAGTGCTTGGCTTGGCCGTTGTTGTTCCCTCAGTAGTCTTCAGAGTGGTTGGCTTGGCCGTTGTTGTTCCCTCAGTAGTCTTCAGAGTGGTTGGCTTGGCCGTTGTTGTTCCCTCAGTAGTCTTCAGAGTGGTTGGCTTGGCCGTTGTTGTTCCCTCAGTAGTCTTCAGAGTGGTTGGCTTGGCCGTTGTTGTTCCCTCAGTAGTCTTCAGAGTGGTTGGCTTGGCCGTTGTTGTTCCCTCTGTAGTCTTCAGAGTGGTTGGCTTGGCAGTTGTTGTTCCCTCTGTAGTCTTCAGAGTGGTTGGCTTGGCAGTTGTTGTTCCCTCTGTAGTCTTCAGAGTGGTTGGCTTGGCAGTTGTTGTTCCCTCTGTAGTCTTCAGAGTGGTTGGCTTGGCAGTTGTTGTTCCCTCTGTAGTCTTCAGAGTGGCTGGCTTGGCAGTTGTTGTTCCCTCTGTAGTCTTCAGAGTGGTTGGCTTGGCAGTTGTTGTTCCCTCTGTAGTCTTCAGAGTGGTTGGCTTGGCCGTTGTTGATCCCTCAGTAGTCTTCAGAGTGGTTGGCTTGGCCGTTGTTGTTCCCTCAGTAGTCTTCAGAGTGGTTGGCTTGGCCGTTGTTGTTCCCTCAGTAGTCTTCAGAGTGGTTGGCTTGGCCGTTGTTGTTCCCTCAGAAGTCTTCAGAGTGGTTGGCTTGGCCGTTGTTGTTCCCTCAGTAGTCTTCAGAGTGGTTGGCTTGGCCGTTGTTGTTCCCTCAGTAGTCTTCAGAGTGGTTGGCTTGGCCGTTGTTGTTCCCTCAGTAGTCTTCAGAGTGGTTGGCTTGGCCGTTGTTGTTCCCTCAGTAGTCTTCAGAGTGGTTGGCTTGGCCGTTGTTGTTCCCTCAGTAGTCTTCAGAGTGGTTGGCTTGGCCGTTGTTGTTCCCTCAGTAGTCTTCAGAGTGGTTGGCTTGGCCGTTGTTGTTCCCTCAGTAGTCTTCAGAGTGGTTGGCTTGGCCGTTGTTGTTCCCTCAGTAGTCTTCAGAGTGGTTGGCTTGGCCGTTGTTGTTCCCTCAGTAGTCTTCAGAGTGGTTGGCTTGGCCGTTGTTGTTCCCTCAGTAGTCTTCAGAGTGGTTGGCTTGGCCGTTGTTGTTCCCTCAGTAGTCTTCAGAGTGGTTGGCTTGGCCGTTGTTGTTCCCTCAGTAGTCTTCAGAGTGGTTGGCTTGGCCGTTGTTGTTCCCTCAGTAGTCTTCAGAGTGGTTGGCTGGGCCGTTGTTGTTCCCTCAGTAGTCTTCAGAGTGGTTGGCTGGGCCGTTGTTGTTCCCTCAGTAGTCTTCAGAGTGGTTGGCTGGGCCGTTGTTGTTCCCTCAGTAGTCTTCAGAGTGGTTGGCTGGGCCGTTGTTGTTCCCTCAGTAGTCTTCAGAGTGGTTGGCTGGGCCGTTGTTGTTCCCTCAGTATTCTTCAGAGTGGTTGGCTGGGCCGTTGTTGTTCCCTCAGTATTCTTCAGAGTGGTTGGCTGGGCCGTTGTTGTTCCCTCAGTAGTCTTCAGAGTGGTTGGCTTGGCCGTTGTTGTTCCCTCTGTAGTCTTCAGAGTGGTTGGCTTGGCCGTTGTTGTTCCCTCAGTAGTCTTCAGAGTGGTTGGCTTGGCCGTTGTTGTTCCCTCTGTAGTCTTCAGAGTGGTTGGCTTGGCCGTTGTTGTTCCCTCTGTAGTCTTCAGAGTGGTTGGCTTGGCCGTTGTTGTTCCCTCTGTAGTCTTCAGAGTGGTTGGCTTGGCCGTTGTTGTTCCCTCTGTAGTCTTCAGAGTGGTTGGCTTGGCCGTTGTTGTTCCCTCTGTAGTCTTCAGAGTGGTTGGCTTGGCCGTTGTTGTTCCGTCTGTAGTCTTCAGAGTGGTTGGCTTGGCAGTTGTTGCTCCCTCTGTAGGCTTTAGAGTCGTTGCATCGGATGGCTTAAATGTTGTTTTAATGGTTGTAAGGAAAGTTGGACTTGGCGTGGTGGGTCTGCTCGTGGTCGTTTCTTGTCCGCAATGGTGTGGCGTAGTGGTGTCGTGCGGACAGTGTGGCTTTGTTGGGACCGGTCTGGTGGTTCGATGCTCACAAGCTGGCGTTGTGGGATGTTCAGGGCACGGAGGCGGTGGTGGCTTCAAGGTGGTTGTGCTCGTCTTGTTGTTGCAGGGGTTGCGGAAGTGGAGCACGATCTCATTGGGCTGCTGGCCCGGCACAATGCGAATGTGCGGACCGAACATCGTAAAGGCGGCCGTGGTGGCCGCCAGAAGGCACACGACGAGCAGCTGCATCTTGGGGACTGTCGACACTCGGGCAGCACCCTTTGGTTACTGAACCTGGCGTTTCGGCCAGGCGCGTATTTAAGTCTGTGCGGGAATTTGCATTCCGGACAGGCACCTAGCACCCGCCGCCCCCATAACGGATGCGCTGGCTAGCTCGGGGCACGCACCCGTTCCGTAAGCCTGGCACGGGCTTGCATAAGCCCGTCTTATCGACAGGCCGCGACGCAGCGACGCAATTAGGGCCCGGAGGGCTCACGTTCCAAGTTCCAAGTTCCCCGAACCATTCATTCATTAACCCGCCAGAGAGAGAGAGATTATTTTTTAAAACGTTCTGCAATGTGAACGATTTTATTTCGCTTCTTCGCTTTGCAAGAGAGATAGAGAGGTCGCATTGAATGGGGCTTTGGTAGTATTTAGTTAATATTATTTGTGCTGCGCCGATGTCTGGCCACCCACAAAATAACTCAATACGCTTCTTCTCTATAACATATTCGGTATAAACTTGGCTAATTGAAAACGATCTGGGGATCTTGGCATTCCTATTTGATTGGCGAGTTGTGGAGTCCACTCAGAGTCACATATATAATATATCGTATATATCTAAATATATTTTAGCTATGTATAACAATGTTACCGTTACCAACTGACCGATCATACCTCCATCTAGCACAACAACAAACAATAAACTTATGTAAAACTAATGGTTGCCAATCGCATCTGCGATCTGTTAACATTTACATATATAGTATTTACTTAGGCATATACAAAACTCTAGGCCACTAGTTGATAATGTTAATGCCAGGCGCTCCCGAGGACTGTGCGGTCCCCTGTGCCAGGACTAGATCTCGTCGTCGCTGGTCTGTGTGCAGAGCACCTGCTCCTGCCACCAATCGTGCACCTCGTAGACCACATTGGCCTGGTTGTTGAACGGCAGCAGCTTCCCGCTGCCCCCGATCAGCTGGCTCATGATGGCCGATGGGCTGCCCAGGGCGCCGTGATGATGCTGCTGCTGATGCAGGTCCATGCCGTGTCCCGCCCCATGGCCATGCCCGTGACCATGACCGTGGGCATGCCCATGACCATGTCCGTGTCCGTGCCCATAGGCGGCGGCTGCGTTTATTGTCGGATAATGGAACTGGCCGATCTCGCTATTAACCTGGGCAAAGAAATTGGTCGACTTGTTGGCCTCGCCACCCACATTTCCGGCAGCCCCGGCCCTCTGCTTGCCCAGCTGGCCCAGTTGCCCCGCATGCGGCAGTGTGGTCATCGAGTTCTTCTTCCTCTGCTGGCTGCTGATGTGGAGCCGCTCCTTGTCGCTGAGCGTCGAGCGCTGCTGCGGATCGCTGGAGGTGGGCGCCAGGAACTTACGCCCCGCCGAGCTGCCCGTGGAGTCGGAGCGGTTGAGGGCATAACCCCGCTTGCTCACAGCCATGACGTGGCGCCCGGCCACCACCGGTGCTCCGACTATTCCAGCTACTGGTCCCGCTCCTGGTCCCACTCCCGTTGTCGTCACTGCTGCCACTCCCGGCTCTGGGTGGGGCAGCACAACGGCACTGCTGCTGACATCCTTCTCCTCGTTTTCCGTGGAACTAAATGTGGGCGAGAAGGCATCGCTGGTGGGCGGACAGCCACCGGCCACCACTCCGCTGATCGTGCTGATGGTGGCCTTGTCCGCTGAACCCAGGGGAGCCTTGTCCTCCTGGACATTGGGCCGCATTACAGGCTGCTCATTAGTGGCCCTCAGGCCAGCTATCAGCGAGTTCTGTTGCTTCTGTAAGGGTTTTAGAAGAGGAATTATTATTATAATCTTAAGAATGATTTTATCCAAATACGTACACTAGCATTTTGGGCCCTTATCTTCTTGAGGCATCCCTCCAGCCAGGTGCGAATGGTCATCTTGGCCACCTCCTCTTCCACTAGATACTCGAACTCCTCACGCGCCAGCAGCTCCTCCAGCTGCAGGGCCTTGCGAATGTCCACAGAGCGGTAGCTCAGCATGCTGGAATGGCAAGATAGCAAATTAGAGGCTAAATTTTTGGGTTTAAATAAAAGTCACCCACTTGATGACATCGTGGAAGGTTACATCCTCGCCATTGTGTAGCTTATCCAGCTCATAGCACATGTACTTAAACAGGAGGCGATCCTTTTGGGGATCGCACTCCAGGCGGCCCTTTAGGAGGCGCAGAATGAACTTCACCCGCCGCACGGGTATGACGCCACGTTGATGGATGTCCACAATGTTCCAGGTGTTCTGGAAGTTGCGTATATCCGCATAGGAGAGCAGGGCATCCTCTTCGTTGGAGTAGAACAACGAAAAGTTCTCCATGATAATAGCTGCAGGAAGGGACAACAAATTAATTCAAAGAAGCAGGTATATATTGTAATATAAACCCTACCCACAAGCAAGTTGAGCACTATATAGGTGATGATCACGTAGAAGGTGCAGAAGTATATGAGGCTGGCGGTGAAGTTGCCACAATCCGTCTCCCAATAGTTATCGCCGTGGGTGCAGTACGGCGGCTGGACCATACAGTCGTGCATAATCTTATTCCAGTCCTCGCCAGTGACAATACGAAAGAGCATGGCCACCCCGGTGACCGGGGAGCCAAAGTTAGCCCTCCGACCAATGCCCTCGCCAAACTTGACCGTTCCTAAAACGAAAGTGATCAGTGAAGGGCAGAGACTCGGGTCTGGACTCGGTAGAATCAGTGCTGCCAATGTGTCCTTGTTATTCTGAATATAAAAAGCTTCTGTCTGCAAGAACCTCTAATAAGCTCATGATGATAAACGACGAATTCTCTCTCGCAATATGAAAATTCTTTTCTTAAAATATTAAATTATTTTAATAGCTTTTAAGCCTTTATATCTTATATATAGTTTGCTTAATTTTGAAGAGATGTAAGTGCTATTCTTGTGACACTCTAGTGCCAAAGAAAACCCTTCAACATTTATAGAACAAATTGAAAAGTTACCCAAAAAAAGGACTTTCCTTTCTCAAATTAAACTAATCAATCGAAAAAAGGATCTTTGGCAGCACTGACTCGGTGGGGGATCTGATCTACAGCTCACCGAAAAGGATTGTTCCGGCCAGCGCATAGAAGAAGACTAGCAGAAACATGCCGAAGATAATGAAGAAGGACTTGCATACAGAGACGCCCACGGTCAACATAAGCATCTTCAGTGTGGTGTGCTTGCCGGTGATGGTGAAGAAGCGCAGGATGACCACCATGAAGCCAAAGAAGTAGGACAGATCGTTCTGCCAGGCATTAGGAGATGATCAGGAGGGATCAGTGAGTATGGACAATGGACAGACAACTTACCCGCAGAATCGTCTGCAGAATGATCCAAATCACACCGGCAACGGTGACCAGTAGGTCATAGCGATTGCGCCTAGATTGCCAATAGCCGCGCGGTGTAAAGGCAATGTTCTTCATCACCACCTCAACCACAAAGACAAAGGTCAATACCGCACTGACGATCACCAGGCGTTCCGTATGCACCTCTCCCTTGATCCACTGCAGTAGACAAATCGAAACGAGAGAGATGGAGAGAGAAATAGGGAGAAAGATAAGGGTAGAGTTGGAGAGTGAGAGTCACTAGAAAACTCGGACGGCAAGTCGAGCTCTAAAAATCGGTCTAAAATCTCTAGTCGCTAGGCTCTAAGAGCTTCTTACATAACATTCATGTTTCTTGCTTTATATATATAATTTTTTTTCGATTTTGGTTCGGTTCCACCAGTGTACAGATGCATATATACACGTATATACATTAATATATCTATGTACACGAGTGCTTTGACATGCATCAATAAATATGGGAGTTTTGGGTAAATCAAAAGCATACTTTTTGGCAGCTGGGTTAGGTTTAAAATCAAACGTTGCTAAAAAATAAATGTATAGAATTTAAATGTTGTTATTTTAGGCATATTCTTATATATGATTTTTTCACATTTAACACAGATTTTTTAGGATAATGCATTACCCTAATTAATGTGCCTTCTAATGAGAAACTTTCTCTTGGGTATACACATATATAGTTTGTAGATTATTAAATATTTCATATAAATATTATTGTTAGTAATCGTGCTTTAATTTGAATATAATTTCATGCATTCTCGTGGTTCACTCTTTTGTTTTTTTTTAATATAAAATCATATATTCATGCCACACTTTGTTGAGTTTAACATAAAGATAATGTAAAGACTAAGATGCGTAACGCCATAACTATTTCTTCGCTCTTCGGGTAGCTTTCTCTAAAATGTAAGTAAAAAGCCAAAGTAAAAGAGAGAAGAGAATATCATAAAGCTACTGTTAAAATAGTGAAAAAGCGGGCTAAGTCTCTTGAATTCGCGTTACACATCTTATTCTTTATATTCTCTCCAGGTTGACCACTCCTCCATTTAATCCCTTTCTTTCTAGCTGGTTACAAACCGTTATGGAGAGCAGCATGCTGTTGATCAGCACCACCACAGCGATGACCCGCTTGAAGATAATATGCTGGGTGATGTCATACGTGAAGGCCCGAATTTTGCGACCATCGGGTCTGGGGGGCAGATGGAGCGGCTGGGCAATCTTCAGACGCTTCTTGAGGTCACACCAACGCCTCTGGTCCACGGTCAATAAGGCCGTGCCCTTGTTCTCCGAATAATTGGCAATCACCACGCCCACGAACAGGGTCAATCCGATCATGCAGCCCAAGAAGATGTAAATGTGGATATACACGGCATGAACCTGGGCAGGAGAGATGTATTATCGATGGATTACATAATATTTGCCAGAGCCTCCAGTAGTTAACTTACCGGACCCACCGCCTTGATGAGCACATCGCGCACATCCAGCCAGCCCTTGAAGGACAACACCTCGAAGAGCGTCAGCATGGCGTCACCGATATTGTCAAAATTGAAACGACGCGGATTGGCCCAGACGCGGGGCACCAGCATTGCTGGATAGGACTCATCCGGGCCAGGGGTTAACTTCATCTTCGTGACAAAGACGCGTCGCATAAAGACACCCACGCAGTCCTCCCGCCTTGATATCGTTGGATCATTGCAGCGGGCCAGGCGACCGCCATACAGCTGAACACCGTAGCTGGCAAAGATAAACATCAGCAGGATGAGCAGGGTGGATACGAGCAGGATCTCCTTGAAGCCGCGGCACAGCTCGTAGACCACCTTGCGCATATGCGGCACCAGGGTGAAGATTCGCAGTGGCCGCACGCAGCGCAGGATCATCAACAGCTGGGCCGCCGAATTGGTGGGTATATTCAGGGGCATCCAGCACAGGAAAGAAGTGGACACCACATAGATGAAGACATCCAGGGCAGCGGCCACGTCCTTGATGTACGCTTTCGGTGTAAAAAAGAGCCCGTCGGCCAGGATCTTGAGGGCCAGTTCCAAGCTCATGAAGATCACAAACCCGTACTCGGCAATCTGTAGTGTGGGATGGTCCATTACCCGATAGTTGGGCGTCTCAAACATCATGGAGATGCAGGACAATGTGGTAGCGAAGATCATTACCCAGTCCAGATAGGTAACCAGGCCCAGAAAGTTGCTGCAGGTAAGAATTAGCTTAATGAAATGGCAGGACTAACCAAAAAGGACACCACTTACTGCAAACTCTTGTACTGGACCTTGCGCTCCTTGCCTGTCAGCGGATCCTTCAGCCGGGCATCGTACCGCGCATGAACAATCTTCTGGCAGATCTTGCGGAAGCGGCTCTCACGTGGCACCAAGAAAAGGGGAGTGTCGAAGAAGGGATGATTCTCGCGCAGATCCTCCTCCCGCTGATTCCGCCTCATCTCCGCCTGCTGGCGCTTGGCCTGCAGCAGCTTGATGTCCAGGTCATGGGGCCGGGCGCGTCCAGAGTTGGCCCGCGGAGCAGCCGCAATGTCGCCATTCTCCATCAGATGCTCGTACGTCTGCTTCAGCTTAATGGAGCCGGAGCGAACGCTGCGGCGGATGGAGCGGGAGCCGAACCTGCGGATTGGTAGTGGACACACATCACACGGGTCGCGCCGCCTCGCCTGGGGTGGGCAGTGCCCGGATACTTACTTCTTCTGGTCAACGCGCCACGGTTTCGAGTGGGTGATGGTGCCCTGGGACTTGAGGCCGCCGCCGCCTTTTGTGCCCACCACTGGCAGCATGGCGGAGTCGCCCAGCATCAGGCGCTGGTTGTTGCTGTCGCTGCAGGGCACAAAAACAAAAACCAAGTTACTCAATATAAAATTCTAGCTAAGATCAGGACAACTCACTTGATGATGTGCGTAATGGCCAGCTTGCGGAGACTGCTGCCCGCCGCTCGGACCTTGGCCGTCTTGTTCATGATCCGCACGGGCTTCTGCTTGCGGAAGACCACATTGGACTCCCAGCACTCGGACATCGGCCGCTTGCAGTTCTCCACTAGGGAGTCCTCCGTCTCAAGCTCGATGACAAAGTGCTTCATGAAGCTCTCGCGCACCTTGGGCAGCATGAAATCATTGGGTATGCGGTGGAGGATGGTCATCTGCGGCGAGTCGGGAAACTTCTCGAAGATGCGCAGCCGGAATGGCAGCGTCTCCTTGATCTCGGCGCTCTGCTCTCGAAACTTGAGCTGCTTCAGCTTCTTGATGTCCTCGTCCAACTCCAAATTATCGAGAATGACCGCCACGAAAAGACTGAGCACGATGAGGGTCACGAACAGATGGTAGAGTATAAAGTACACGGCAACCAGGGGTGTCAGGGTCTTGCTGGTCCGTATCATTGTCTCGTCCATTACCTCCACCCAGGCCTCCTGGGTGAGGATCTGGAACATGCTCATGAAGGCCTCCGGAAAGGACTCGAACTTGGTAAAGTCGCACAGGAAGCAGAAGAGCTGCATCGAAATGCTTGAGCTGATGATCAGCAAGCACATGGTAAAGATGATTAGCGATCCGAGCTTCTTCCCGGGCCCAAAGATCTTGTACACGAATCCCTCCAGCATAGGCGAGGCCTTGATCAGGCGCACCACTCGCAAGACCTGGAAGTAGGTCAGTCCGGAGGGATAGAACATGGGCACAATGTGCAGCGTGGTGCCGGCGGCCAGGAGCAGCTCAAACTTGTGGATCGAGTGCTTGTAGTAGCCCCTCCAACCGAGGCAGTAGATCTTAAACAGCGTCTCCAGATCCAGCAGGCAGGTGAAGACCAGCTCTATGTAGTAGTATCGCTCGTAGAACACATCCCTTGGCCTGCCATCATGCTTGAAGGTCATGGTGGCCGTCACAATGCCATTGGCCAGGATTACGCTCATCACCAGCATGCGGAAGTAGGGCGATCGCAGGATGGCATGACAGGTCTCCGGCGCCAAGCCACCATGTTTGTTATCATCGATGGTCACCAGCCGCCAGCCGGAATCATTGCCACTGAGTATCTGCGAGGCAGCCGTCTTCTGGATGTGTCCCCGTGCCCCCCACATCTGTTGGAACTGGACGCGGATCTCGTTGAAGGTCTCCGTGATCACCGCAATGAACACGTTCTTCACCAGCCAGGCCAGGAAGAAGATCATGGTGCTGAAGTAGAAGGCGGCTCGCCAGGCGGGCAGGGAATCTATGGCCCGGTACATGATGAACACCCAACCCTCCTGCGAGGCAGCTTGGTACACTGTGAAAATAGATGTGGCAATATCCTCGAAGCCATTGAAGCCTATCACGTAGCTGCTGAGGAAGTCCATCTTCATGCAGCGCATGCCCGGCGAGCACTGATAGCCAGAATCGGGGTCCATCGAGCAGAAAGTGTCCGGAATGGCCAGTGAGTTGATGGTTAAGATTCTAGTTACAAGATATTTTGTTAATATTTTATATTTTAAATATATATAAAATACTCACGGTCTCTTGAGCAGATCGTACTCTGTGTTATTCATTACACAATGATTTTTGAGCTCGCCAAAGAACTGAACCCCCAGCAGGCCATACAAGGACATGAAGAATAGGAAGAACAGGGTCACGTTGTAGATTTGCTGGCTCGAACGTCTGTAAATCATTAAGAGATGAATTAAGGGAATTATTAAATATATAAATCAATCATTTATTTATTTAAGCTAAAGAAACTCACTTGAAGATCTGATTTATCCTACTTTTGGGCATGCTAAACTTCAGGAAGACTCGGAGAAAGCGTATCATAATCAAAGGACGAGGCGCTCTCATTATAGACAAATAGGAGAATCTTGGAAAGAATTAAAAAAAAGTCTCTGGTTATTCAGCTCAAGGTTCTCTTATACTAATCAAAAACTTACTTGGGAACTACCTCGAGCACCTCAAAGATCTGTAGAATGATAGAAATCCACAAGAAGCTGACCATGGAGGCATCAAACTGGCACCAATGATCCTTCAAATAAGGCACCTCACCCTGGCAAAATAACGTGAGATTGAAATAAATAACGTAAAGAGGTATAGGAATTACGCTTCCACTCACATGCAATACCCCACGGATGTGCATCTTGGCCACCATCTCGGCGGTGAAGAGCAGCGTGACGGCCGTGTCAGAGAAGAAGGTGATGTACTGCAGCGAAGGATACCGCTCGAAGGTCTTGGGCGTGTTGAGCGAAACAGAGGTGAGCGAGACCAAGGCACAGAGACGCATCAGGCGGCGCACCCACAGCTTGTTCACCCACTCGATGTCGGCGCTCTCGTTGAGCGACTCCTCGGGCCCATAATCCGCGAGGAAGGGTTCGCCGCCCTTGAGGCTCTGCTTCCGCCCAAGCATTATCTTGTTGCCAATGCCAGTGGCAATGCCCAGCCCGATGGGTGGCACTCCGGTGATGGCGGCACTGCCCACGGTGCTGCTGATGCCACCGCAGATGCCCATTCCGGCGGCAGCTGCTCCGCCACCCATGCCGCCCAGACCACCGATGCCGCCAAGCAGATTGAGACCGCCGCCACCGCCAACCCCAACGACGCCCACGCCTCCCGATGAACTGCCCAGACCCAGGCCGGCTCCATTGTTGTGGCCACCGCCCGAGGACGGTGCCGCGGTGGCGGAGGAGCCCAGCTGCTGCTGCGACTGCTGCTGCTGCTGCGACTGCATCCCGAAGGCGACGCTGCTGCCGCCTCCGCTGCCGCTGCCCGAGTTCACAATGGTTGTGGGACTATTGAGCGCACTGGCCGCATCCTGGCGAGCTCCCAGCCCGTTGCCAGGACTGCTTCCCGGCGAGGGATTGAAGCTAAACTGGCTTGCCGACGCCGGTTGCGAGTGGCCGAGGTGGGTGGGATGCTGCGGGTGGTGTTGGTGGTGCGAGTGGTGGCTCAGCGAGGAATGGTGATGATGGCCGCCGTGGTGATGCCCGTGAGTATGCTGATGATGATGATGATGATGATGCTGCTGCTGCGGGGTCAAGCTGTTGCCGCTGGATGAGCTCGTGCTGGCCGTGGCCGGCGTATTGATGCCGCTGGTCGAGTGCGTTGGGTGGGAGTGATGACCTACGCCTGAACCTGAACTTGCTCCTGCAACTGGTCTTGCTCCTGCAGCTGCTGCTCCCGCGCCGGTTGCTGCTGCTCCTGCTGCTGTCGCTCCGGCTGTTCCCACTGATCCTGCTCCAGCTCCAGCTCCTCCACCCGCTCCTACTCCTGCGCGTTTGTTTCTAGCAGCTGCACCCAAGCGACGAATCTGAAGGCGGTCAATCATTCAAGCGGCTCATCCTGGCCACGGTTGGGAGGGTAGATGGAAGTGGGTGTGGGGATGCTGGAAGTAAGTTTATTTATTCGAAATTAAATTTAATATTAAATAAATGTTAAAAGACATCATTAACGCACCCTTGAGATAGTTTTTGTCTGTTTTTCTTGTTACTTTTTATGCTTTTATGAATTTGGAAGGAACTATAAGTTTGCCTTTGCTAAAACACAGGTGTAAAGAGGTCCTTTTCATACTTTTAGGTAAAACCTATGGCCCTGCCTCATATCCTGGCCAGTCCGGCAATTAGAGCGCAGAGAGCCAAGTCAATATTTACATTAAAACAGCTGCCCAGGTGGCCGCCCTACATACAGCCAAGGACTCAAACTGAGAGAAATCAGGGGAGACTCCGTGCAAGCCTAAAATATGTATACATAATCATAGATATACTCCCCAGATCCTTAGGAATTCTTTTTAGTAACTATCGTTTACATTTCAAACTTATTTCCCAGTGTAAAAGGATCTGAATGAGACATTTGCAACCCTCAAAGAGGCACCGAGTCACATATTTATACACACATTCAACACCAGAGTACATTGCTATACATCCCCAACCCCTCTTCTGCCGAGATGCATTGTCATGACCACGACTCCTACTGTCAGTAGTCATTTCCAAACACGTTTACTCACTTTTCACCCCCCGGGGCTGAGGAGTTGCTGCTGTAGAAGGCCTTTCTTTAAGGGAGAGGAGCTAAACAGGCCGCTGCAGGAATATATATACACGGATTATGACCTGGCTTTGGCTCTTCCTTTGTCCACACACTAAAAAAATTAATCACAGGATGCGAGGGAACTCGAACTCGAACGCGAACTCCAACGCCAAGGCAGGACTCTCGGCCGCCAGTCAGTCAGAGCTTTAGAGCCTCAGTCAAGCAACTAAGGTGACAATGCTCCAGTGACAAAGCTGGCTTGCAACCCCCAACCACGACAACGCCTGCGCAGTGCTACGGGTCGATTTTATATCCCTCCGCCGGAGTGGCAACTCCGCCAACGGACCAACGATAACCCAGTATTCGGACGCATAGAAATGGGTGCCACGGCCTCCTGCAAGAAAACCACCGGCAGCGGCTATCCGGACCACGATGATCCAGGCTACCGCAAGTGCCAGGAACTCAAGGTGAGTGCCCCGCCGCCAGTGGTTGACCTAGTAAGCCCGCCGCTTTACATAACACCAAGATGCAACCCCTAGATGGAGCGTTGGATCCAGATGCACTACCAGATCAAGCAGCGGGAGCAGGCCCTGGCCATAGCCCAGCACCGGGAGCTCTTCTACTGGCTAAGCGGCTTCTACCTGAGCGCCGTCTACGGCTGCGCCAGCTATTATCAGCGGGTGAAGCGGGTCTCCGCGCTGGCCCCACTCCTGCCGCTGACCTTTGTGGTGGGCTACTACACGGACTGGGCCTACGGCAGCAAGCTGCATCGCATTCAAGGTGGGTTACGGTCTATGTTGGAGCCTTCAAGCTTGACTTTATCCCTATAATCTCCTTTTCAGCGGAGGCAAATATGATTATGGAGCATGAGCAGGAGCTGCTGCACTGGCCTGGAGGTCTGCCCACTGTGGCCGGCATCGATGAGGCTCGCGTGGAGACGGAGATGGAAAAGAAGATGCATCCGCATCATATGTAGAGGAAAAGTCTGATCCTCGAACCCATCAGGCTATAGGGCCGACTCGGGTTCAACCCTCGCAAACTTAGCAAACAAAAACAAAAAGTCGACCAACCAGAATCACAACGAACTCAAGACACACTTTTTACCTTTCAAAAATCACACATCACTTGGCAGGAGGGGATTGAAAAAGAGAACCATTAGAAAGCAGAACAGACATTTTTTACCAGTGTAAAGTTTAGTATTAATACTAAAAATCCCCCCAAAGTCAAATACAAATGCTTTATATTAGCTTAAAAAAGTATCTTCTCTTCCAGAGAAAATTCTCTGTCTCTCACGCTCTCTCTTTAACCATGTAAAGAGAGCAATTCGGCTGAGCGTTCGCTACAATAAAGCTCCTAAGGAGCTGTTGCCATCTTTAGGGTTTCTTCCTGCTTTACACATTAGTTAATCTCGCCAGTCACATTCTGCACAGAACCCCAGTCGGCCTCAGATACCTTATAGCTCAAATATAGTCCCCTATATATATATATTTATATTCCTCTCTCTCTCTATCTCTATCTCTATCTCTTTGTGTGTCACTTTTCCTGCAATTTTTTGAGACAATACTCCTTATATTTGGATAGTTAATGATTGATATACATATTATATATATACATACACATATATATATATATATATATATTCTTATGTACACTTGATACAAATTGTAGTCTAGATCGTCTAATAAATGTTTGCTCCCAGCTCAGCTCAGAAGGCGAGATCCTCTTCGTCCAGCAATCCATGCTCGATAAAGGCGCGCGAGTCCTTCTTGAAATGGCGATCACAGAACTCGGTCATCCTGGCGCAGGCCTCCTCGATCATTGTCTTTGGAACGGTGAGCACGATGCGCACATAGCCCGGATACTCGAAGCAGCTGCCCGGCAGGCAGAAGACACTCTGCTCATTGACCAGCTCCTGGACAAAGTGAGTGTCATCCTTGAAGGCCGGAAACCGTTCGATGTCCACACCGATCATCATGTACATGGCCCCGTTGGGCATCACGGGGTTAAGGCCACGCACCTGCTTCAGCATTTTGTAGGCCAGAGTGGCGTTTGACTAGGGAAATAGATATATATGCTAGGAATATAATCTAGATAAATAAGATGCGAAATTTCAAGACCTACATGCAACACATCAATGACACCGTCAAAGTAAGACTGCGGCGTCTTGGCCAGGATCTCCGGCAAGGCGCCCTGAATCAGGGTATTGGAGCCCAGGATTCGGCCACACATGTTCTTCAGACCCACCACCGCATCCACCAGTCGCTGCTTGCGATCATGCACTATGATCCAGCCCATCCGCCAGCCGGGAACCAAGAAACGTTTGGTCAAACCGCCGCAGGAGAGAACTGGGACCTCCGTTGTGAGGCTGCTTACAGCCACATGCTTGGAGCCGGGGAATACAAAGTGCTCATAGATCTGCAAGAGATTTCATACATTTAAAGAGTGTCTTGAATGATGATTCCCAGATCCCAGATCCCAGACCAGACTCACCTCATCTGCTATGATGGGCAGATAGTGGCGCTCGCAGATGCCAATCAACTGGCGCAGATGCTTCTCGTCGAAGACGCTGCCACAGGGGTTGCTCGGATTGTTAATGAGCAGGGCGGCCGTATTCTCATCAATCAAACTCTCCAGCTGGACGAGATCGGCGCGCCACTGCTGGTCGGGGAGGAGGTCATAGTAGCGCACCTCGATGTCCAGGCCCTCGGCCAAAGTGTGGTAAAGGCAAAAGCCCGGCCTGGGTATGAGCACATTCTGGCCGCGATCGGCCAGCGCCAGGATGCAGTACTCCAGAGCCGAGGAGCAGCCGCTGCAGAGGACCACCTCCATGGGATCAATCTCTTCGTTCGGACGCTGGTGGGCACTGTACTTGGCCACTGCCTGGCGTGCTGCCTCATGTCCTTGAGTATGGGCATAGCCGTTATACTTGCCGCTCTCCACCGAGTGCAGGACGGCCTTCATGGTCTCATCGGCGGCCTTGAGATTGCCAAAGATTGTGGGATCACCTAAGAATGGAGAGTGGGGGAGATGAGAGAAGGAAAATTGGATGCTTAAAGTACTTAATATATTTTTTGGCAAGGTCTTTGCCGTCACATTTTATTACTAATTTAGCCACATTTAGAGTTAAATATATATTTATTTAGCTTTCTTTTTCATGGATATTTTTTAGGCTCTGTTATCAAGAAATATTTGGTGTATTTTGCTCATATCTAATCATAATTCTTTATATTTTTCTCACTCACACAAATACAATTTTAATGAGAGTATATAGGGCCTCTTTAATCCCAAATTCTAGATTAAAGCTAAGCTATAAAAAACTTCCTGAAAGATAATTGTTAGTATTATGTCAAGCTTTACGAATATATAAATTAAGAAAGAAAGCCTAAGATCATTCAGATCTGATTTTAGATATATTTTATAACAAAATGTGATTTAATCTTGGGAATAAACTTCCCAAAAAAAATCCCACAAAGGACAATTTCAAGCTCTTAAATTTGATTTAAATTACATTTAAAAATCTCCAGCTATTTTAGGTACTTGCCCAAAAATAATAATCAGGTGATTAGGGGTCCCGCTCCCGAATCGCAGATTGCATTGGGTCAATGGCTAACTTGTTTGTTTCCGCCTAGCTTCGATTCCCCACCGGCTATAGCTGAATTTTCTGGTTCAGTCCCCGGAATCTCGACTCCGCCAAACAGGTGCGACTACATTTTATGCAAATCTATATATCTACCCTCTCAAAAACACAAATACACAGTGCGCGTGCCTCGACACAAAAATAATACGAATGCCGCCGATATATATAACTTCAAAACAAGAACAACAATCGAAATAACAATAACAACAGCAAGAGCTTACAGATTCTGATTCTAAATTAGAGATTTTTGTATATACATAAATCTGGATATATTTTATGTATAGTCTTGGTCTTGAGAGGCAAGAATTGTAGCAGAGTTTTAAGGGGTCTTTAAGCAAATTTTGAAAGAGGGTTTCTTAAGGACTGGTTGAAGTATAGTTTTAATTTAAAAAGAAGTGGACATTTTTTACTGTTATTTATGTTTAACGCTATAAAAATAAAATATAAACTTATCTATAAATGTCTACTGGCATATTAATCATTTTTTGAGGGATTTTGTGTGCTTATTTGAGATGAGTTCTTTAAAAACCCTATTTAAGCATTTTAAAAATATTGTAAAAATAAACATACTTATGGCTATTATCAATTTAATTTATAAAACACTAAAAAGTAACTACTCAAGATTTTTCACGACTAATATTTCAACAAAAACTCTAAGTTAACTCCAAGTATGTAAGCATTTTTCTGTTAAACAACAAGGAGGTCCTTCTCTTCAACCATTAAGCTCACATTTAAATAATATATACTATATTATGTACTCACCAATCGAGAGCGGTATCATGGGCTTCTCAGGATTCGGCTTGATCTTCAGGGACTCGACAATATTCCGGATTCGATTGTGCGTATTCAGCGAGAGCTTGGAGGGCTTGATCTGCCAGCCGAAACGCTGCGGCTTGCCGGAGCTGGTCGAAAGGAGCTCCGACTTTGACGACGACTGCAGCTGCAGCTCGGCCAGTGCCTTGTCCACCACATCGCTGGTGGGCGTGGTGGCACCAGGCTCACTCCGGCTGGAACAGCTCGACTGGCGGCTGCTGCGACTGCTTTGGAATCGGAATTGACTCTCGTTGGCAACACTGCTGGGCATTATCACCAGGCAGGCCCTTTCCGCAAACAAACAAAAAAAAACAACAAACAAGAATTCCACAAAAAATAGATATATATAATATATATATTGTGTCCGATGTGTTCCGATATCTGGCTGCTAGAGCTCGAGCAGGGACCTCAAATAAAGGTGAAGTTGGTATCCTGTTTATCGTTCCAGACGAGCATTAGAAATGCTAACGGTAGGCTCGGGGATTTCTTTACTAAATCAGGCGATACTTATAATGATAGTGTGATGGCTCTGACATGGACTTGGACTTGAACTGGGTCTTGGGCTCTTTTTTGTGTCGTTTGCGAATTCTGAAACTGAACTAAACTGATCTACTTCGGAGATCTCTTGGGGCTTTTATCGCCTCTGGCGTGTTTCTGTCGGCGCCATATAGGCTCTATATATCAGGTCTGGGTCTGGGTCTGGGTCTGGGTCTGGGACTGGGTCTTGGTATATAGACGGAACACACACACACTGCCACATATCCCCGGATAGCACGCGCCTGACTTTGGCTTCGGGTCGGCTCGAGAGCCGAGAGGGCCGAGCGAAAGATGGAACAACAACTAGAGGGGGCGCCGACTGATTTGAATACTCGCCCGTTGCCGCCGCCTCGAAATCATATTCATAACGAACTCGGAACCAGATTTCAGTTCGATTTGATATAAACAACAACAGGCAACAGCAGCAGCAGCCAGTGGCCGCATCGCATCGATTCATTTAAATGCGCCAAAGTTGTCTATAACGTCTTAGTCTTAGAAATTGAAACGCCAACCGACCGAAACCATTAATACCTATATCAGGTTGACCGGGAGCTGATCCACGCTAGCATCCAGAGTCCCATTGAGTCTATGGCCAGCAATCTTTCAGCTCATTGGGTTATAATACCTTAATATTTAGCAGATCAAACTATTTCACTATTGAAAATTCACCTATCATTAACTTTAACCATCTAAAAGTGGGAAAAATATATAGGATAATAATGATATTACAATTAAACATCACCCAAAGCTTTCCATGTTTCTTTTAAGGAAATCAAAATCAACTTAAAATATTTACTTGCTGGAATTCTAGTAAATATTTCTTTAGTCTTCCGAGTCCCGGCCAATATTTTCCAAGTCAAATTCCACTCGAAAATAAAAATCTTCCGTCAGCGTCAGAACTCACAAACAAAAAAACAAAAATTAAACAAAAAAAACACAACAAAAATAAAGTAAATAAGTTAATCAACATGTGATTACGGGGTTCCGTGCTTTAGGCCTTAATTTATTGTCCCTTGATAATTGCTTTTAAGCCATTATTTCTTTACGCTTTCGGCTGGAAATGGATTTGTAAAATAAGCCAAAATAATCTCACGGAAATCAAATAAATATCTAGTGTGTAACTAAGATATTTCAACTGTCTAAAAAGAATATGAATAAAATATAAATAAATACTTCAGATAGTATATAACTTATAATTTGATATGATATAGTAAATATGAGTACTTAAACACTCATTAAGACAAGTTTCGCATTCACCAGATGCACAAGTGCATGTCGGGACAGACGCAGAACCCGAGATATTCAAGTCCATTGATGTAATCCTATTCTAATTAATAGAAGTGAATAAACATGAGACTGGCCACACCTGTTGGCGATATCAAAGCAATTGCGACGGAGGAACTGTAAATAAATAGCAGGAGGGTACTCTCAGGAATCAGGAATCACTGGATTATAGATTTTAAAGGACGCTTTGTCTGAATCCTTTGGTTGTATATTAAGAGAAGATCTGAAAATATAGGAGTATTCAAAGCGATGTGAGGTTTTAAATAAATTAAGAAAATATTCATCAGTATTAGCTTTTCGGATCGTTGCTAAGTCATAAACATATCATTCTTCCAGATTTAAGCTGTTAGAATCAAAGTAATTTATAAATATTGTAAAGCCAAGTTGGATTTGAAAACAATTAAAATGGTGTATAACAGTATGCAATGAAATATTTGGGCCATTGTTAAGGATAGATTGAAATCTCCCTGGCTCGCTTCTTATAGAAACAGAATATTATAAGAAAATTATATATTATATATATTATTTTCCATCAAAATAATATTTATTAAAAATATGTTTTTGAGTGAGATTTTTCTTTAAAATTAAAAATTAAACTGATGCGCCTAAAAGTATGCTATTTAAAATCCAGAAAACTACTCCTGCATTCGATACAGCTTCAAAGCTAACGCCTTACTAGCTATATTTTTCAAATTCAGCTTAGTCACTGTTGTGCATTTCATTTCGCATTCATTTTGCCGATAAACAAAAATATTTTTTCGCCACAGCCTTGCCATTGCATCATAACAGACCCCCGGTTCGCTCCGAGCCAGACTAGTTAGTCAATGAGTAAGTTAGTCGATCGATCGACTGAAGCGAGCCTCCTGCTCACCTTGCCCGAAGCAGGTTTTATTTTTTTATAATATATATATATATACATATATATATATATATTTTTGTTTTTCTGACCATTAACAATGCTGCGTTGTCACCAATATTGATCGCCATAAAAGTGAGGCAGATTAGAGATCCTGAGCTAAAGTTCAAGTATTTACATTTTTGGCCAGGGATAAACATATATTAGTTACAAAATGGAATAATTGTACCAAGGAAATAAGTTAAAGAATGACGTGGATATTAAGTTAAGGAATAGGGACTATAGCCTACATATAAAACAGATAAAAATGTATTAAAAATCAACTAAAAAGTGGAACCAAATCAACAGCACAACCCAAACTTTCGATTTATGATTTTCTTTATATTCTCCATGCTGCAAAAAATGTTGCATAAAAAATATGTAAATAAATTATGCATATATCTGACGATCTATACTATATGTTCACAACAAGATACATGCATACATACATATGTATAAGGCCGGGGAAATATTTACTGCAGTGTAAATAAACAAGTCGCCCGCCATTGTATTGTTTTTTTTGGTTTTTTTCGATTCAAATACTTAATAACAAATGCTCGGCCGCAGAAATGCTCGGCCGAGGCCCCCAGCGAGAAAAGAAAAACCACCTCACAATAACCATTTCGCTCCTCACTCGTTCCCTGATCGCTGGCCGGGCGCGATCTCTATTCGAAAACTTTTCCGCCATATCCGCTTGCGATTTTCCCCTTACAATCGTTCCAGTTTTGTGATTTCATTATATTATATATACATTTTTTTTTCTTGTGGCTTAACTTGTAAGTTATTCAATCCGCCGGTATATCGTTCCAAATGGCTGCCAATGCACCCGCCGCCCCCGCCCGGCAACGGGAACCCATATTTCCGGCACCAGTGCGAAAAGTGTCCCGAGGAGCAGCCCCATCGAGTGTGTCCAGCAATCCGGCAGTTCCCAAGTCGCCGGATGGACTCAGCTCACTGGTGGGCAGGAAGAGCATCACATCCATGTCGGACGAGGAGATCATCCAGGAGAACCTCAACGAGATACTCGACCTCAAGTCGCGCGTAAGTGATAGAAGTATCCTAGGAATATGTGTCCCTTGAATCAGAATCGATTATTTTCCATGTCTGTGAGTCACTGGAAAATCACCATTGATCACCGTGACGGGGCACGTCATTATATATCGGATCGGATCATGCGGATTTGCAGTTGTTTTCGTGCGACGCCATCGTTTCTGGCGCCCGTCGCCGTCATTACCATCGGCCAAATGTGTCAGACATTAAATCCCGAATTCTTAGTTTTTATACTTAAGATCTTTACACCCGAAAATACAGTGGATATTGAAAATGCAGCCATAGGGAATATAATCTTTAAAAATAAAAGAATGATTTTATTTATTTATATTATAGTTTTACAAGAGGTTTAAATATCTTTCATTTCATATCATACCTTGTTACTTTTCCTTGTGAAAAATAAATAAAGGAAATGTACACAGCTTTTCCACATTCTTAAAGCATTTGTACTTGAAACTCACGCAATTTTATTGAGTGCAAAATAATCAAATGATATTTTCTTACATACCCAAATGTATACAAATGTACATATGGGGAGTGTAATTAAAATAAAAAAGAATACCAAAATCAACAGGAAATGAATGTAAGAAAGATATTTCAGTCTTTTTCCAGAACAAGCTTTAAAAAATTCTGTTTCTTTATTATATAACCGAAGGTTCCAAATTTTTGACTTGAGAATTACAACTTATACGTGGAAATATAATCCTATCAATGCGATTTAGATAATTTTTTAATAAATAATTATATTATTTATACAAAAATTAAAAATATATTTATCAAATCTGAAATTTGATTACAAAAGCAAATGCACTTCTTTTAGGAATAGGATTATAAAACCTAAAGATACAGATTTCTGACTTGAGAATTACAACGAAAGCACGAGATTCTGGACTTGAGAATTTCAATTCATTCGTATAAATGCAAGGAGTATTATTTCAAAGTGTAATTTATTTTCAAAAGCAAGTTCTTTTAATATTAATTACTTTATACAATACTAGTTTTTCTTTTTACATTATAAAAATAAAATTTTTGGAAACTCTTGCTAATATCCACTGTAGCATCTGCGAGTCCATTGTATTTCCCTTTTGTATATATACGACTCTACACAAATGTGTGCATGGAACGTGGGAATTATAAACAAATGTATTTGATGGTATCACACACACTTTTACTTGGAAAACAGAAACATCGACACCTTGAAATTTTTGCCACTGCTTCTCATAGAAATGAGTGAACTTTAATACAATTAATTCTAATTACAGGAGGAGCGAAAAGCAAATGGACGTCTGGTGGCTGTCATTGTATGCTTTCTAGGTGAATATATTTTTAGTAATTTAATATTTAAAATTAATATTTATAAATTCATGTAAAAACAATTCATGGACAGTGCTCTTCCTGGCCGTTTACCATGCCTGCGTTCGAAAGACGGAGAATTCTCTGGCCGGCGTCCTGGTTCCAGCTGGCATCATGCTCTCCTACGGCGCCTGGGTGGTGATCCTGGCCAAGCGGGACAAGCGAAGGCAGGCAATGTTTGTAGGGGACACGCCCAAGCGAGCCACTTGGTTAAATTCACCCAGAGATGTTCGATTTTACAGGAACGACACATCGAGGAGGTGACCCTTAAAAACAAGACCGAAATCGAGCAGCATCATGCCCGGCACCAGGCCAAGATGCAGGCCCAAGCTGGACACTCTACCACGGGTACGGATTCCACCGGCAGCGCCTCGAGCACTCTGCACTATGTCAACGAGCTGATACCCATCGGGGAACACCGCAAGAAGCAGCGACGCCACCGGCACAGGGAGCGAGAGGAAAGGGCCGGCGAACGGGAACGGGAGAGGGAACGGGATCGGGACCGGCAGCATCCCAACACCACGGAGATCGGCGTTCACCGAGGGCCAGCCAAAAGGCCAAGTATACGGCAAAAGCTCTTCGGCCAGTCCATTGTTCACAAGAAACTGGTGGAGGCCCAGAGCGACAGCGCGGACTCCACGGGTCCGGGCCCGGGTCCGGGATCGAGCCGCGGTCCTGGGCACAGTTCAACAACCACTTCCAATCCCGCCGATAAGCGCCAGAGACTGCAGCGTATGGACACCTTGGCCTTGCCGCAGGTGGCCCGAACCAGCTCGGCGCCGTAGACGTACATAGATAGGATCGCCTTTGTATCGCGTAAATAAATGTATTATAAAAAAAATCAATTATAAACAGGAAATCCGACTTTATAAATAGCCGGCAATCAAAGAAAGGAAACTCTCCACAGTCTCCGTCCATCTGGCCGAAACAGAAAACATCTTCGAAATGTTTCCTCACTTGCTAACGTATTTAATTTACTAAAGCAACAAACACGTTCTAATTTTAATTCTTAATTTTTTTGCAAAACCCATTTTTTCAGTAAACTTGAGAAACCAAAGCGAAAATATTTTTAGGATTTTGAATATCCGAAACCATAAATAATAATACAAATTATTACTTCTGTGACATCTATAAGATATAGTGGTCCGATCTGACCAAGAAAGAAGACTCTTTTAAAAAATCAATCTTCTAAAAATGAGAGACTAATTTGCATAGAAACGGACTGGATCGACATTAAGAATAATAATAATAAATAATAATTGATAGCCCTGAAAGGTTATAATAATTGAACTAAAAGGTGTGATAAGAGGAGGCTCTTTCGCTCTTTCAAAATATAATTTAAATATTATCAAGAGGTAATTTTCCAAATCTTTTTCGTATCTCATAAACACAATTATATGTATATTTACATTGTTTGTGCAAATTAATTTTTGGCTTTATTTAACAAACCCATCCCAACTATATACAAGTGTACATATATCCATGTGGTTGCTAATAAATACGGATATCCGCGGATCATTTCGGGCACAATGTGCTCAATAATTGGTAATTGTTATTTCGTTTTAATAGCTTACATGTGGTGGGCCACCCCCTCCATTTCCCGGAATTTCCGCTAAAGCACTGTATTGTTTACTTGCTGTGGAAATCAGTTCATTGTCGAGGAACTATGAACTTCGAAAAATATATACTTATATATGTACAAGGAAGCAAATTTCAGAAAACCGAAGATTGTATACCCTTGAAGTTTGTGATTCGATATATAAGATACCCTTACAGGGTATTATAAATATAATACAAAGTTTGCAACGCACAGAAACAGACAGTTCCGACCCTATAAAGTAAATATAAATATTCTTCATCAACATCAACAGCCGAGTCGATCTAGACATGCCCGTCTGTCCGTTTCTATGCAAACTAATTATATTTAAAATATATATGCATGTGTCTTGTCACTTTTTCTTATGATAGGTTGACATACTATTAAAACATTTTAAGTTGTAAAATATTTTTATAGAAGAAGAAAGGCGCATCGGAGCATGTATATTTTAAATATCAAGCCAAGTACCTATATAAGAAAAAAAAACCGTTAAAAAAATGTTTAACTTAATTAGTTTAAAAATGAAAATCGCCAGTGTGTTTTATCGATTACAGATTACCATTGCCATCTTTTTTATCGATAAACGCAACGTTCATGAACGGCAAATAGTGTGCCCAGAAGCCGCGAAAGCGGACATTTTCTGGGTTTTTCAGATTTTTTAGGGGGAATGCCAAATGCACATCCAGCAACACTGGCTTTAATCCCAGCAGCCACACAACCAAAAGAAATCACAACAAATCTCCAGGGCGACGAAATTCTCGAAAGGCCGGCGCGTACCCGCTGCAACCGCGTCTCCGCCCGTCCCCATCTGCGACGCGACTTCCCGAAGCGCAGCAGAGTTCTGCCCGCCGTCATCGCAACATCGCAGCAGTAGCAGCAGCAGCAGCAGCCGCAGCAGGAACAGGAGCAGCATGGCCCAATCACACCGCGATAGGGAGCGCGGCTCTGGACCGTTGCCGAACCGCTGGCTGTACTGTCCCCGCAAGAGCGACAGCATCATCGCAGAGCGCTTCCTTGCCTTCAAGACGCCACTGAGCCAGAACTTCCAGGACAAAATGCCCATCGAGTGCACCTTCCGTCCCGAGATGCTCTTCGACTACTGCAAGACGCTCAAGGTAGCTACAACAAGCAGTTCTCCTCGATAGACCCCCTCATCCTAATGCCCTTTCCCCTCTCTGCTTGCAGCTGAAACTGGGCCTCTGGGTGGACCTGACCAACACGAAGCGCTTTTACGATCGCTCCACAGTCGAGGAGCGCGGCGTCCAGTACATTAAGCTGCAGTGCCGTGGACACGGCGAAACGCCATCGCCAGAGCAAACGCACAGCTTCATCGAGATCGTGGACAACTTCATCAACGAGCGCCCGTTCGATGTCATCGCCGTTCACTGCACGCACGGCTTCAACCGTACCGGCTTCCTGATTGTCTCCTACATGGTGGAGCGTCTCGACTGCTCCGTGGAGGCAGCCCTGTCTGTCTTTGCCGCCGCCCGGCCTCCAGGCATCTACAAACAGGACTACATTAATGAGCTGTACAAGCGCTATGACGACGAGGAGGACGCTCCCCCGGCCCCGGAGCAGCCCAACTGGTGCCTGGACTATGACGACAGTAACGGCGATGGCTCCGCCCCGGTTGACAGTCGAAAGCGACGCTCATCCACGTCACAGCAAGCAGCAGAGGATGCGGTGGAGGAGGAGACCGAAGAAGTCGATGGGGAGGAGGCTGACGGTGATGGCGACGCGTCCACTTCGGACGGACAGCCACGGAAGAAGCGACGTCGCGAGATGGTCGTTAGGAATGCCACATTCATGGCCGGTGTGCCTGGCGTGCGTCAGGTTAGCGACCAGCCGCGGCTCTCCGAACTGCAGCGCAAGGTGCAGGACTGGTGTCACTGGAACAAGAACGGTTTCCCGGGCTCCCAGCCGGTGTCCATGGACAGAAGCAATATCAAGCGACTCAGCGAGATACCCTATCGGGTGTCGTGGAAGGCGGACGGCACGCGCTACATGATGCTCATCGATGGCCGCGACGAAGTGTATTTCTTTGATCGCAACCACTCGTGTTTCCAGGTGGAGAACGTTGCCTTTTTGAATGGCAAGAACCTGAACGAGCACCTCGACGGCACACTTCTCGATGGGGTAAGTCCAAGCAGGCAGTCACTAGCCACTGGTTTGTAACTAATTGGGTTTTCCAGGAAATGGTGCTGGACAAGATCGGCGAGACAGTCACGCCGCGCTACCTCGTTTACGACATTGTCCGTCTCTCCGATCGCGACGTGCGGGACGAGCCGTTCTTTCCCAATCGCCTGGACTACATTAAGAAGGATGTGATAGGTGCGTATATTTAGATATTTCCCAGCTCCCTTCTTTGCTAATCTGGCCTGGCAGGTCCACGAATCCTGGGCATGAAGCACGGCATCGTCAACCAGCGCACGCAGGCGTTTAGTGTGCGTGGCAAGGATTTCTGGGACATCTGGATGTCTGCCCGGTTGCTGGGCGAAAAATTCTCGCGCACTTTGGCCCATGAGCCGGATGGCCTGATCTTCCAGCCATCCCAGCAGCCATACACCGCCGGCGTCTGCTCCGACGTGTTCAAGTGGAAGCCGCATGAGCTCAACTCGGTCGACTTTCGGCTCAAGATCATAACGGAGCGCGGCGAGGGGTGAGTGCAGTGAGGAGAAGGAGTGTATGGTGTTCAGTCTTGTCTCAGACTGTCTTTCGCTTCAGCCTGCTCACCAAGAAGGTGGGCTTCCTCTATGTGGGCGGCCACGACGCCCCCTTCGGTCGCATGCAGAAGCTGACCAAGGAGATCCGTGATCTGGACAACAAGATTGTGGAGTGTACTCTGAATCAATACGGCAACTGGGAGTTTATGCGGGAGCGAACGGACAAGAAGCATCCAAACAGCTATAACACATGCCGCGGTGAGTTGCCTGCCACCTGATTGCACATATTCAAAATCTTTGAACTGTGGAAAACTCTCTCTCTCATTGGCAGCCGTTGTGGAGAGCATAAGACATCCCATTACCAAGGACTATCTATTAAACTATATCGCGAACTGCGGCTTTCGCGATGACCAAGCCATGATGCCGCCGCCAATCAATGCCCATCAGCATGGGCATGGCCATGGTCACCATGGCCATCATCATGGCGGGGCGCCGGACCAACGGCCCCAGCGACCCCACTAAGCAGTTAGCAGCAGCTTTGCACACCTCATCTCACCACTCACTATTACACCATTAAAGAAAACATGCTCCCCTCCAAGACGACACTAGAAAATTAAACACAACCGCTAATAAATATAATTCAAAATGTGACAATTGCACACGAGTCTGTGTTGCCGAAAAAAAAGCGTGTTTTTACGTTTCTCTTGGATTATGTGAAGCATCTTGAAATCCGCAGCAGGGACAACTTGCATCAACTAGTGTGGCAATATACGATTTTGTATTTAGTAATTTTTACATATTTATATCTTTGCAGAAAATTTGACTAAAAGATTAAGTTAATTTGTTAAAAAAGAAATAAATTTAAAAAAGCTCAATATGAGTACCTCAAGAATTAGTTAATAAAGTTCCAAATTTCAAACCGATTGGTTGAGTAGATTTATCGACTTACATCGATATTCAAAATCACACTTTTCAGGAGAGAGCTTTAAACTTTGTGATACTCATAAATAGACCTTAGTTTAACTCCGCATAACTTCGTCCACTTTGCTATGATCGATGTAAAACTTGGGCACAATCTTCCCAAGATATTGAGCCTTTAAAATAAAAAAAAAGTAACTAGCTTACCCCCCCTTTAGGAATTCAACTATTAACTATCTTGGCAAACCCATTTACTAGGTTTATTATTAAAGAAAACAAAAGTCAGCTAAGGTGAAATAGATTTACATTACACAACACGAAACATTCAAGGCCGTCAGTTAGTTGAGAAGACTTCCGTTCTCGCGCAACGGCTCCTCCTCCAGCCGACCGAGGGAGAGCAAGGCCACCAGAGCTGCTCCCTGCTCCGCCTGCTTCTTGTTCTTTTCCCAAAACGTGCTGCTGTAGCGCTGTCCGTCGAAGGTGCAAATGGCCCGGAAGAGTTTGTCGCACTGCTGCGTTTCGTAGGCGGGCGCCGTCTTGCCCTCCCTACCCGCATGGACATAGAGCAGCGTCTTTGGCAGATGATCGGCTGTGAGGGAAGCAGGAAAAAGGTTAGATAATTCCAGAGTTCCCCCTCCCCTTGGACACTTACAATTCGGATACGTGGAGCGCAGAAAGGGCATATTCCTGCAAATGACGTTGGTGTACTCGTCCGTTATCGCATTGGCCGCCGCCTCCAGTTTTCGACGCTTGGCCTGCGCCTCCGGCGGCTCAACATCCGCCCGTCCCGAATTGCCAAGGGTCTTCAGTTCCTTTTGCTTCCGCCGACAGTAGTCGCCCAGGTGCCAAATCTCGCAGATCTGCTGCAGGGTTTGGCATTGAAGGAAGCGCTTGCCGCGCGGCGTCTCCTGCAGCTCCCGGAGGATGCTCTGCACACAGTACTTGGTGTTGTGCGGCGCATTGTCGTAGTCAACGCACAGGCGCAGATATTTGTCAATGACATCGTCCATGGGCAGCAGGCCCTCTGGCCGGAAGATGCTCACGTTGAGCTGCGCAGCTCGAGCCACCATCACGCTGGCGGCGCCACATTCCCTTTGGAAGCTGCGCAGGTCCTCGTACTTGTGCATGTCACGCGATCCGCCATTGGCGATGATGGGTATGGACACTGCCTGGGCCACGGCTCGCAGGACGTCCGGATGCGGCCGATGCTGGGGTCGCTCATCCCGGGTTCGCGCGTGAATGCCAATGGCGGCGATGCCAGTGGCAGCCAGTTTCTTCACTAGTTCGATGGTGGCGTCCACATCCGGCAGGATGCGGATTTTGCAAGTGACGGGAATGTCAAGATTGGAGCACAGTGTGCGTAGAATCAGAGCTGCCTTGTCCGGCTCGGCGAGCAGAGCGGCACCCATGCCGCCCTTGATCGAGAACTCCTTGGGACAGCCCATGTTGATGTCCAGACCTGAGATGTCGCGCTGCAGTAGCTTGCCCACGGCCAACGCCCGCGTGGCGTCACTGGTGCCCATCTGCAGGACCAACTGGGAGGTCTCCTCGGCGCAAGTGCGGAATACAATTGTCCCATCCGAGGGATCCACAAAGTCCACTGTTCCCAGGGCAGCTGCAAGGGGAACCTGGTTAGATGTATTGCTTCCAGGTCGCAATTCGGATGTGGAATCTACTCACGGTTGAGCCTGCGAATGCTCTTGATCAGCTTGAGGTCGACCAGCTCCTCCGTGTAAACAATGTCCGCGCCCATCTCCAGGGCCAACAGCCGCATGGGCAGTGTTCCGACGCGCACCATGGGCGCCAGAATGAGCTTGTTGGTGTAATCCAGCCGTTGACGCGTCTTCATGCTTGGGCAGGTGTGGAAACGAAGACAAAAACCAAGTGCCTTGAATTTCGAATATTGTCGCAGCATGGATCCACAGGTTCAGCTGTTTTAGAGAAGGGCGATCATCGATAGTTTCGTTGGGCCATCGCATTTTGGGTGGCAATTCTGCATTTTACCAGTGATGACAAGTTTAAAAATGTTCACTCACTCGATTTTTATCCAAGTAATCGATTATGCGGCCCTGGTACTCTGTTATCGTTATCGCCCCAATATATTTATCGAATGTGACCTTCAGCCCTGGCACTGTTGTTTTCATTTTACCGAGCCAAAACTTTGTTAACTTAGTTTGTTTTGCAGTCAAAACCAATAGATCAAATTGTAACGACACGCACGAGACGACCCAGAGGGTAGCCACAAGTAGCTGACATCATCGAAGACGAGACTAGACGAGGCGCGGAGGAAACAACGCCACAAAGAGGACTCCACAATTGGACCCGAGAGCCTAATTAGATTAGCGAACTGTGACGGCAACAGCTGCAACTGCGACCCCATCACATACATGGTGCTAGAAGCCATTAAGGTCTGGCCCAGCAACGTGACCAAGCCCACGCCAGCCGAATCAATCTCAGAGCCAGGACACCCACAGCCCCACGGATCTCCATTACCATTACCCTTGGCAATCACATCAACAACACCAGCAGCACCAGCAGCACCAGCAGCAGCGAAGCAGCAGCAGCAGGCCACGGGCAGCTTGAACGGGATCAGCAGAAGCGGCGTCAGCGACTCTGGCTCGGTTATGCGCATTGCCTGCCCTGGTACGCGCCAGAAGGGGGTCGAGCGCAGCCGGGGCTCGCACGCTGCCTGCATACAATCGATACACTGAGGCTGACCTACGGTCGCCGCCCACGGCAGCTGGCGCTAGCCATGTCCCTGCTGGCGTATGGCGATTCCAGCGACACGGAACCCGACGCCCTCGTCGACTTCACGGCCATGCTCCGGCAGCGCCAGCGTCAGTTTGGCTGCGGCAATAAGGCGCAAGCGGAGCAGGCAGATGATCAGGGCTACTATCTGGAGCAGTATGTGCTGGGCGTGCTGGATTTCAGCTCGCAGTATGGCATCGACTACAGCATCTCCTATACGGCAGCCAATGTGATTGGTCGGCCGACCAAGTATCCGGCCTATGGCGACTACCCGGAGACATTTACCATGCGCACCTACGGCGACTGGTGGAAGCGTGCTCCATCGGCCACCCGGGAGATTCAGGCCCAAAACCTGCCCAAGCTGGCCACCCAGGACTACATTGGTGAGTATGTGTATGTGTCTTTGGTTGTGGCTGCCAACAAACCGTTTCCAGTTGTGTATTTCGAGGAGTTTGTGGTGCCCACGGAGGTGGTCATCTATGAGACCTTCAACCCAGGCGCCGTGGTTCGCATCTGGGCCTATGGGATGACCAAGCATTGGACATGCCTGTGGGAGGCGGAGTCGGAGACGGATAGCGATTTGGCTCGGCCGCCAGCGGACTCGCGTCGCTTTGCGCCGCCGCTCAACAACACCGCCGTAATAACGAAGTGAGTAGCACTGCCAAGAAGTTGTCCTTGAGGTGGGAAGTTAGTTAAGCCCCTTGATCTAGCTTAGCAAGGCTCGAACGCCAATTTGAGGCGAAGCCAGACAAGTTTGATGATGGTTATAAGACACTTTTTAAAGACTCAACAGTCACTAACGCTCCCTCTCTCTCTCTCTCTCTCGTTTGTTGTTTTTCTCGCTCTATTCTCTGCATTGTTTAAACTTTAAAGCACATCCTTAGTAGAATTCGCTTATTCTCACTCATTTTACTCAGTGAAAACAATGATATATAATATATTATAAATTAAAATTAAACAGAATTTTATTCAAGTATTTAAATAGTTATAAAGGAATTAATCTACCCTGCAATTTAAGCTAACATTGTTTTAAATTTAAGCTTTACAGCTACCTAAACCCTATATTCCACCACTCTTGTATCAATTATAGGACGCTGCGGATTGACTTTAATCACAGCAGACTCAACTATTATACGGAAATTGATGCCATCATGCTGTGCGGACGCACCGTCTCCAGGATTAAGAGCCTGCTGGGCAAACAGCAGCGACAGCAGCTTAAAAAACCAGAGTTTGTGTCCCTGCCAGTGGCAATACCATTAACCCCGAAGGCAGAGAGTTCTTTGGAATCGTCGCCCATTAGTGGCGGCGGACCCATTAGTTACAAGCTGCGCTCCCTGAAGTTCCAGCCAAAGTGTCGGCCGGATGGTGCCACCAAGCTGCACGAGTTCATCAACAACGATTTAAGCCAGTTTCTGATGGAGAATCGCGTTGAGGGCGGAGAGCAACAGCAGCCGGCGGTGGTGCCGAGCATCTGCCTGACCGACCTGCCGTTTGAGATCCTTCTCCGCATACTCAGCTACTTGGATCTCAAGTCGCTGTTTCGCGTTGGCCAGGTGTCCCGCATCTTCTATGACATCTCCTCCCATCCCTTACTCTATGCCGAGCTCAGCCTGAAGCCGTACTGGCATTTGGCCAGCTCAACGCTCCTGTGCACGCTGGCCCTGCGGGCGACCATGCTGCGCAAGCTGGATCTCTCCTGGTGCGGCGGTCTAGGCAACATCTCGCCCACCGAATTCAAGAAGTGAGAGTGAAAGTATTTCATGTTTTCTGTGGAATTCTCACGCCTTTTTGTTACTTTTGTAGATTTCTGACCCAACGCGGCGATAATCTCACCCACCTGCGGCTTAACTCGTGCAAATTTCTCAATTCCAGCTGCATTGAAACCGTGGGCATAGTCTGTGATAATCTGATAGGTGTGTGTTGTACATTATACCTTGTCTTGCTCTTATTTATAATGATTTCTCCGTCAGAGTTGAGCCTGCGCAACTGTGCCACTGATCCGCCGCTGCTAAACTTCTCCTGTCTGGCCAATCTGAAGAATCTGGAGCGTCTCGATCTTTTTCAAACGGCCTTTGAGCCCGAATTGCTGCTCAGTATGCTGGAGGGGAATCGGAAACTGAAACACCTGAATCTAGGTAAGTAGTAGAGCTGGAAAAAAATATAATGTAGTTACTAAGGAATCAAGCGTTTTGCTCATTTTGTTACAGCATTTTGTGGTGTATCTGTGAACATGGACAATGTGGCCGCCCACTTGGCCACATACAACACGCAGCTAATCTCCTTGGACCTGTGGAAGGCGCACTTTCTGTCAGCCCGCGGACTCCTTTCGCTGGCACGTCTACATCAGTTGGAGGAGCTCGACCTGGGCTGGTGGTAGGTGGACTGGACGACTTGGACTTGGTGGTTGGTCAAGGAGATAATGATAATTATCCTTTCCCCATAAATGTGCACAGCTTGCGGGAGGCATCGCTGGGAGATGGCCTGTTCCAGCTGCTATCCAACTGCCCAAAGCTGAAGAAGCTCTTCTTGTCGGCGGTGCGCGGTACCACCGAACGGGATCTCATGCATATTGCCGCGTTGGGCAAGAGCCTGGAGCAACTGGACCTAATGGGGATCCTGAACATAACGCACGAACGAGTTTATGAGTGGGTTTAAAAAATAAATAAATAAGATGCGGAGCGGTGTGGCGTATTTCGTTGCTATCAAAAAATTTGATTTGCATTTCGCAAATGAAATATACTCCCTTTCGTATCTTATTTATTATATGCTTACAGATCCAGTTTTACTTTATAAAATTAACCTTTTACCTTGCAGCATCTTGGTTCACTGTCCCAAGCTTCAGTTGCTCGATCTAAGCTTCTGCGACAACATCATGGATCGGGATGTGAGTAGACGTAGCCTTTAAGCTACCTTTCTCTAACAGTTCTTTCGTCTTGCAGTTCGATGTGCTGGCTGATTGGTCGCGTCACTTCAACGTTGACATCAAAAGCAGTCGCGTTTATGTGCCCAGATAGTGGAAAGTATGTGCTATAATTCCTGGTACCGTGATAAGTGTACATATACTTAGATCCTACATGAGGCGGCACTCTCCCTCGCTTCTGTTTCTGTTTGTAGTAAAATGTTAACCGTGTTATAAATGTTAAATATTTGAGATTAAACTTGGCGATTTTATAAAAAAAAAATCATTAAACTGATGTGTCTTTTTATTGGTTTTTATTTTGGAAAAGATAAGTTACAAGGGGAGGAGGATACTGCCTTAGCACACCCAAGTTAAAACTATAACTCACCCTTAGGGATTCCACGGTGACCACTGGCTTTTGTCATTTAATACTTCTTAGCTTCATGCTAATCATCTTGGCTTGATTCCAGACCCCTTTTTATATTTTTTATACTTTTATATTTCTGTAGGCTACATCCTTATCCTAGAACCTAAACTCGTTGGGTAACTCACGCGAAATGATAGAAGTATCTAGCATAAGTGTTTTTCATAATTCCGATATCCTCCATTTTTTTTTATTAAATTTCCTAATCTGGACCTTGAAAAGGGAAACCTATTCGCTGAGTGCCCAGCAATTAGTTTTTGGAGCTATTGCGAACTACTCCACGCTTCTAGGCCATCTGGAACCAGTTACGCCAGTAGATCATGACACCCTCATAGCAAACGAGTCCAACATGACCATATCAAAGACGGTAACCTATTCTGACAAAATAAGTCTCAACAAAACATGGTCCATCAATCAGCTGGGAAACTCAATGTAAAAATCAAGTTGCTAGTTGCAAGGCTAAAAAGGCAAATAGTTTATGCACTATTCTGCCAGGCATCTAAGCCTTCTTACACTTACAAACAATTCACAAAAACATTTGGTGTGTAGTATGCACACATAACGAATACGCACTGTACCCAGAGTACTTAAAGAGTGCGCACTGTAATACTTTATTGCAGTGTTTACATATTTCAATGTCACGGTCACAAATCTTAAATGGCCGAAATATGAACCGATCGCTATGGTTTAGCCCGCACACAGAAAGTGCTAGCGTCGGCATATTCGTAACGAACGGACTGCACACGCATACCCCCTCGCGCCTCCACCTGAGAGTGCATAGCCAAGGTACATAAGTACTTTCCTTTACATATAAGAATATATATATGCAGCCGTCTCTCTGCCGCCGCCTGCGAGCAGCGCAGCTACGAGACCTAGTTTAAATTATAACTTAAGGAATATTGTAAAGAACCTTTTGAGAGTTGGAGCGGCACCATAGCTGCTCCTACTTAACCAAACCAATAAATAAAATATCAACTGAAAACTTAAATAAAAGTCTTATACATTTTCGGCACGATCGGGATCATCATATTTCATGGCGACCGTCTGCGGATAACCTGCATAAATAACAAAAAAAAAAGTAATAAAATAACAAAAAAATTACAACACCAAACCACCAATCTCACTTCATACAAAATAAAGAAAAGTGAAAAAATAGAAATGTCACGGCCAAAAATAGGAGTACGGCATTGCAGTGTGTCCCTGATAATGCAATATGAAGCCATCGAAATAGCAAGCGACATAATCGAGGAGCTCAGTGCAGACGACACTAACAAGGACATCGCAAGGGAGCTAAAGAATCATTTTAACGAAAATTATGGTCCGTATTGGCAGTGCATCGTGGGAGGCGCATTCGAATCGTCGGTAAAGGCCGAGCAGGATACGCTCATCCATTTTTTCATAGGAGAGCGGGACATATTGCTGTTCAAAGCAATAGAAAATAGCGTGGCGGACACGCAAAATCAACACCAATAAAAATAAAACAAGTGAATAAAAAGTGATGGGAAGAGCTGGTGCGAAAAATCGCATGAAGAAGAGAATAGCCCATTTAAAGTGGCTTTTGTACGCTAAAGAACCACCGCCAACGTGGGCCACGGCCCAGAAACTCCAAGCAGAACTGGATTTCCTGAAAATAGAAGTGACTAAACCAACACAAAAAAGCGCAATCACAACTGACCCAGCCATCAAGCAGATAAAATCAGTATATAACGAAAAAACAAAACCACCACATTCAGAGCCAATTCCCGAAAAACCGCAAACCTGCCCGGCCGACTGCCCCGGACCCCTCTTCTCTGCGGCATGCAAATATACATGCGCGAAGCTGAATAAGTAACCTGTGCGAAGACCAGCACCGGTACCGCCTGAGCCCATAGGCCCAGGACATCAGCAGCTGAAACACCAACCTGTGCGAAGACCAGCACCGATGCCGCCTGAGCCCATAGGCCCAGGACATCAGCAGCTGATAACACACGTGTGAGTGGCAGGCCGCCTCTTACACCTACGAGGGAGCGTCAGCGAAGCCAGGCCGGCGACGACCAGCTGACGCGACGACACGGGATCCCGGAGCAGCAGTAATAGAATATAATTTGCACTGCGTTGCATAATTTTTTGCGAGTGCACTACGATGCACCTTTTTTTTTACCACCTATTGTAAAATTGAGCGGAATCTTTTCTGCCCGATTAGAAGTGTAGCCTGTAAAGCTATGCGAAAAATTAGGCAGGAAAATTGTTAATTTAGATGCGCAGTAATGCGATAAGTAAATTTTCAATAGAAAACCATAACAATTTTAATGAAATCAGTAAACTTTCAATAGAAGATCTGAATAATTTCAATAAAACACTTCATACACATGCAACAGAATTTTACACAAAACCCAGAAAAATGACTTTGGATATAAAAACAGTGGACTCCACTGCCAATGTCATCAACAAAGTAGAGTCTAGTAACATAGATTTATACTGGGTCCATATTCTTTTAATAATCATTGTTGTTGTCATGTGCGCTAATTTCTTTTATAAAATTTACAAACTGCACAGCAGGTGCCTAAAAAAGAAATACATAAGCCGGGGAAATGACCTGGATAAGATTTAGGCAGTACAATAACAACAATGATTAAAAACTAACATATTCAATAATTAAAATCCACATTTTCAATAAAACAACACAACAACACAAACACTACACCTTCTTTTTTCAATGGCTAAATGGATTGGAACACAATCTTTAAAGAATTAGGAGACATAAAATCGAATTTTGACAGGTCTTATAAATCCTTAGCTCAAAACAGACCAATCCAGAAGAACACCGTCAGGAAACACGTCGAAATATTGGTAGAGTGCTTTAACGAAGCACGCATACTAATATATGAGCAAATAAGAATAGGAATAAATTACTATACGACCATAGGGTAAACGATATAGATATATCAGTAGGCGACCAGGTATTGTTAAAAAACGAAACAGGTCATAAGTTAGATGTTAAATACACCGGTCCTTACGTAGTAACGGAAATAGGTGATAGGGATAATATAGTCATAGCCAATGATAAACGTAAGACACAAACAGTTCATAAGGATAGGTTAAAAATCTTTATTTCATAATTTGCATTTAGTATGGCCATACACATTCATAAATACACACCCATATCTACACATTAATACACTTACAAAATACACAAAAAAAAAAAAAAAACCGAACAAAACTAAAACAAAAAAAAAAAATAGCAAAAATAAAACAATTAAAAGTGTATTAATTATAAACCTTAGTATAAAATAACTTCACTATGTTACGTTATTTTTCAAAAGGAGGGAGATGTAGTATGCACACATAACGAATACGCACTGTACCCAGAGTACTTAAAGAGTGCGCACTGTAATACTTTATTGCAGTGTTTACATATTTCAATGTCCCGGTCATAAACCTTAATTGGCCGAAATATGAACCGATCGCTATGGCTTAGCCCGCACACCGAAAGTGCTAGCATCGGCATATTTGTATCGAACGGACTGCACACGCATACCCCTCGCGCCTCCACCTGAGAGTGCATAGCCAAGGTACATAAGTACTTTTCTTTACACATAAGAATATATACATATATGCAGCCGTCTCTCTGCCGCTGCCTGCGAGCAGCGCAGCTACGAGACCTAGTTTAAATTATAACTTAAGGAATATTGTAAAGAACCTTTTGAGAGTTGGAGCGGCACCAAAGCTGCTCCTACTTAAATAAACCAATAAAGAAAATAACTAAAAACAATACAAACCAAGACTTATAATTTTACGGCACCTTCGGAATAATCATATTTCAATAAACAAGCTCTAAACAGACAGAGCCTTGTTCTATTCAAAGTAAACTGCGATGACATTATCACAAGCCACACCAAAAAGTTATGGTAATATTAAATTTGATCAAATCGAAAGATCATCATTCATATTAACAGCAAAGGAACCCTCGGTTCCGACAGATCATTTTTATTTTGAAGCAGGACACACACTAAATGATTCCGACAGATCAGTTTTATTTTGAAGCAGGACACACACTAAATGATTCCGAAGCCATTTACCCCACCGTCGAGAAAGAAATGGGCAACCAAATACTTTCTACCTTTTCAGAAAAAACATTTCAAATTGTCACAGACCACAGACCTTTAGCGTAATGAACTTCAAAGAACCAAATTCAAAATTGGCTTGAAGGAAACTCCAACTTTTGAAATACGACTACGAGGTGGTGTATAAGAAGAGATCACAGAATAACAGGACTTCTTTAATTCCAGCCAGTTTTTTGTTTTTAAGGTATTCCAAAGAAGCTGGTTTTAGATCAGGGGGAAGAATTTTCCGGCAAGTTTTCGTTTACTTTTATAATCATTACGACATCATAAAACAGGTAATGTCATTTCAACAATCATCAAGTAACTCACCGATGGAAAGATTACACTCACCTTGACAGAAATTTACAGAATAATTCTCAAAAATAAAAATAAGAATACGCTTCTTAAGGATTAATTCATTCATTCTGAAAAAAAACCTAAAATCACATCGTTCATTAAATCATAATATTTAATTATTTATATGCATTTAGTAGAGACATATGGTAATACATTACTCTATTTGTTTGGCATCAATATATGATTATTCATATTTTATTATTTCGGTCATTCTGGCAGTTAAAATTTCTCCTTTTTTCTGTAAATAAATCCTCAAACATTACATAAGAATTCAATAAATCAAATTATTATTATTATATAAATTGTTTTATTAAAAAATATTTTCCGAAATGAATATAGAATTAATATTATAGAATTGTAATAGGAACAATCAGATTAAATTGGCATTAATTTTCATGGAAATTTAAAAACTTTAAAAATCTCGTTGTATTTGTTATTTATTGGTATTAGTTTTAAAAATGGAAAAGTTTTCAATATAAATTTTGTTTATATTTATTTAAAAATGATACAAAATGCTTTACTTCAATTAATATAAATTTAGGAAACGTAGAAATACATAATATTCGGACTTTAATAAATGTTTCCATGTAAAAAATTACTTTTGATGTGTTTTTAGAAAATATCAATTCTGGGTTTTTGGATTCAGTGAAAATATATGGATATCTAAACCCTAAACTGTACTATCTTTTGCAAAAAAAAAAAGACTACAAAGACTTTAATTAACATTTTTATTTTTATTTTGTTGAAACAAGAAATAAGCTCGCTAATTTGATTGTTGTGGCGATCGTTCCAGGCGGCTTGATTTTCTACAGGCAAACTCTATATTTTTTAAAGCCTTTTAAGATCTTGTGCTTATACCAAAAGGAGCGGCTTTATAAGACTCCGAATATGGCCTAGTAAATATGTGTATATAATGGCCACCACATCGCGTTGTAAATATATTATATAGCATTTTACTGTGGGCAAATACCATCAGTGCCAAGGATAACGACAGACGGGGGAAACTCAATTGAGCTCCGTATTCATTTTAGAGTTACAGCCAGTGGTCCTGTTTAGGTACTTCAGTTAAATAATAATAATTAATATTATATATTAATCTGCGCAAAAGATCGTTTGGCATAAATTTGAGGCCTTTGAAAGCAGCTAGCCTTGCCCAAAGAAGTATTACCCAAGTTCAAAGAGGCGAGTTAATTAAAAACTTAATTAATTTGTATAAAATATAAGGTCTTCTTCGTTGTTTTTAGTAATCTTTTTTTTTTCTTGCAAATAATATGCAACTATATGTATTATTTAAACACAATTAATACATGCACAGCTAAGATTTTTTGCTAATTTGAAGAACGTATTGAAAATTAGTTTTAAATAATTTTTGCAGTATTGAAATATTTTTTGAAGCGAAGCATTTAGTATAGGGTTTTTGCAAATATATGAAATTATTATTATTATATGAAATTAATTTGCTGTTGAAAAATATAATTTTTTAAGATAAATATTTATATATTTTGTTACTTTATTTATATTATATAAAAGAATTTCCAGGACCACAGTTTTAAAGCTGATTGTTCCTTCATTATATAGTCTGGATTATTAAAAAATTTGATAAGATAACCATTATTTAACCATTATTTAAAATTTCAAACACATTTTTTAATAGTTTTCTGTTCATTTCAAACAAAAATCAAAATTAGCTTTTAATTTGTTTTAAATATTTAATTTTATTTTCTAGAATACTCAGCTCCATGTTTATATTTATTAGTCTTTTATTTTATTCTCACTTTAAAAACTTGACCATTTTTAACAATTTTAACTTTGATAAAATTAATATTTGATGTTCACTTTGGTTGTTTTCGAGACTGACTTGGTACCAAAAAAGATTGCTCTTCGTTTGAAGCTCTGCAACTGACTGAATGGCGGTCTTCAAATTCAAAGAACACGAGTTCTTGAATATATGTACATATATAGATATATATATATATATAAATATATATACATATACGTATGTATAATGTAAGCCGATCGGTCGTCAGGGAAAATACAGGCCCGGAGCCATGAAATGCGGGTGCAAAGACTTAAATATTTCCTTCATTTGGAAAATAAATTACATTTTATTTAAGCACAAATAAAAAGGAATATGAAATAAAAATAGGATGGCGATTCGTGGCAATTTTATGGCTAAAAGCCTTTTATTTTTCTATCAGTGTACCAACCAAAAAAAATGAAGAATATTTTGGAAAGTCGAAGTTTGTATACCCTTGCAGCTTGCAATTCCTTATTGGAAATTGATCATAAATAAATAAGCATTAAATGCATTAATTTAAATGTCTGTGCTAGTTAGTATTAGGTTAACAAATCAACACAATAAATTCAAAATTTAAAAACTATGCTTATTAATATTATATTTTTAGAATTTTTATACAAGTTATTTATTGTTCAGAAAGATTATGGCTAGATCGATACTAAAAAATAATATAATAATAATAAGAATAACTCTTTCACAACGTTGCAAACTTGTGGCTAAAGTTATATTACCCTAAAAAAGATAAAGAACATATTTATTCCTCGCAATACGATCCGCAATGAATGACCAGTATATATAAGAAACTAAATATGCTGCCTAAGCAAGTTATCAATGATATCTCCAAATACATATGTACATACCATACATAGTTTGCAAGAACTTTTGATGATATCAAAATTGTAAAGATATTAATACGAAAATTACCTTTTTTTTTAAGCAAGATATTCCGTAAGGAATATATATATATTATAAGCAGACTTTTCTTTTATAGAGAAAAACTTTTTAAATTAAAATGGTTTCATTACCATCAATTGACTTATAAAGTCGAAATTTGCTCCTTTGCTTTATTGATCCTTTTGGACCAGGACCAGGAACCAGGAGCAAATAAGAATACATTGATCACATATACAGTTGCGGCAAAAAAAATAGCACCATGACATATATTTTTCATTATTGATTAATTGTTTTATAACTATTCATATATTTAACTTGTTTAAGGCTTTTATTTTTACTTTAGGCTCTAATTTATCGAAATACACTGCAAGTGTCGTCGATAATAACATGAAATTGAAATATTTACATTAAGAATGTGAACGTTGAACATTTTAGGCGGCAACAAAAATAGCACTATTTCAAAAATAACTTAAGAAAACGAAAAAAAACGAAAAAAAATACGGGAAGTTCTGGAATATTTGAATTCATTTGTATTCCTTATCGATATAGTGTATTAATATTTCGTTGTAAAAGCTTTGGCAGCAATGACAGCAGCACAACGTCTCGGCATAGAATTGACCAAGTTTTGACACCTTTCCCGTGGAATACTGCTCCATGATTCTTGAATGGTGGCCCAGAGCTCCTGATTAATCCTTGGTTTTGCATTGGAAACATATTTTTTTACATCAGACCAAAGATTCTCTATCGGGTTTATGTCTGGAGACTGAGCAGGCCAATCCATTAGGTGAAGCGATCTGTCTTGAAACCACTTAGGAGCTTTCTTGCTGGTATGTTTAGGGTCGTTATCCTGTTGGAAGACCCACAACAACGGTATTTCGTATTCTGCATAAGACAGCATCACTGTTAGCAAAATATCGCAATAGACATGTTGATCCATAATACCTTTTATCCAATGTATTGGACCCACTCCGTAATAAGAAAAGCATGCCCAAACCATGATACTCGTTCCACCGTGTTTTATGGTCTTGCAGGTGAAACTTGGGCGGTATTCCGAATTGGGGGGTCGCCGTACATAGGATCGAGATCCTCTTCCTCCAAATAGCACGATTTTGCTTTCATCCGACCATAGGATGTTTGGGCATGCTTTTCTTATTACGGAGTGGGTCCAATACATTGGATAAAAGGTATTATGGATCAACATGTCTATTGCGATATTTTGCTAACAGTGATGCTGTCTTATGCAGAATACGAAATACCGTTGTTGTGGGTCTTCCAACAGGATAACGACCCTAAACATACCAGCAAGAAAGCTCCTAAGTGGTTTCAAGACAGATCGCTTCACCTAATGGATTGGCCTGCTCAGTCTCCAGACATAAACCCGATAGAGAATCTTTGGTCTGATGTAAAAAAATATGTTTCCAATGCAAAACCAAGGATTAATCAGGAGCTCTGGGCCACCATTCAAGAATCATGGAGCAGTATTCCACGGGAAAGGTGTCAAAACTTGGTCAATTCTATGCCGAGACGTTGTGCTGCTGTCATTGCTGCCAAAGCTTTTACAACGAAATATTAATACACTATATCGATAAGGAATACAAATGAATTCAAATATTCCAGAACTTCCCGTATTTTTTTCGTTTTTTTTCGTTTTCTTAAGTTATTTTTGAAATAGTGCTATTTTTGTTGCCGCCTAAAATGTTCAACGTTCACATTCTTAATGTAAATATTTCAATTTCATGTTATTATCGACGACACTTGCAGTGTATTTCGATAAATTAGAGCCTAAAGTAAAAATAAAAGCCTTAAACAAGTTAAATATATGAATAGTTATAAAACAAATAATCAATGAAGAAAAATATATGTCATAGTGCTATTTTTTTTGCCGCAGCTGTATGTACCTACCGAAAATAAGACTGGCTGTAAATCTCTGAGCAAATGGAAATACAAATCCCATTGTAATGGGTATAACATTGAAAAAAGGAAGTATGTACAAAAAAAATAAAGACTATAAATAGTCTACATATATTTCATTCTCAGTAAATCCTTATCATATTTGGTTTAATCCTTGCTTCCTCGTCCCGGCACGGTCTGTGTGATCCAATTCAGATATGGCAGATTGCCGTTTTGAATGGGCAACGAGATGACTTCGGCGACGCTGTATGGATGATTCTCGCGGACGAACTTGCTCAACTCGTCCACGCGTTCGGTGCGCGTTTTAATCATCAAAAGGGTTTCGCTGTCCTGGTTGACTTTGCCCTCCCACAGGTAGATGGACTCGATCTCCGGCACAATATTAACGCAGGCGGCCAGCCGCCGTTCGATAATACTGCTGGCCAGCTTCTTGCCCGTTTCCCGATCTGGCGTGGTCACAAAGACCACAGAATTGGTGTCGGCTTGGTAGGACTCCGCGGCTGCTCCGGCTGCTCCCGCCTCCTTGCCGCTGCTCATCTTTGCAGCTGATCTCGGGATATCGAAGAAATGCTGGTTGCTCTGGCACAAACGGCTCGATATCTTGGAAGTTGATGGCCTTGCGACAGTGGATGTGGATGCGGATGCAGATGCTATCGCGATGCACAGGTTGCTTGCAAAGAGCCAGCGAAAGGTCAAAAATTTTCCACAGACAAGATTCTGCATTAGAGCTGTCGAAAATATATCAAAATATTCGAGTGTATATCGATATTTTAAAAATAAATTAAGACTTTTCACAGGGACTGTGCATTTTGGACAAAATGCTTAATTTGTCTTTTAAAAAAAAGATAGGAACCTGGTGGACAATAAGATTAGTTAAAAATGGAAGTGCATCTAACCGATTGTTTCTTTAATTGTTTATTCGATATGTTATCGTGCCCAATTAGCATCACTACCACTGGGGAAACCGCGGAGTTAAAACAAATTCATTAAATCATAAATTCTCACATGTATTTTGTATTTGGAAGAGTATTTAATAATACATTTGTTTACGCAAAATATGACTGATTGGTTATTCGAATTTAAGTTTTCTCTTGATCACCTCCAAGGTGGAGAGTTGAGCAGGTCAGTTGTGAATGGACAGTTTTGGTTTGCTTTAAACGGTCTGGGTGATTTCAGAAGTCATAGCGGTCGGGTTTTTTCCTGGCCTCCAGGAAAGGCCAGACGACGTCGACCAAAGCCTTTGGATGGACCTCGGCCTTCAGCAGCTCGATGCACAGGTCTAGTTCCGTCGGCGACAGACCCGTATTGATGAGCAGGGATATGCCCTGCAGGGCGGCTTGTAGCGGAGATGTAGGAGGTGCAGTTTGTGTCTCTGGCGGTGCCTTTGACTTTGAATCCTGATTTTTGCCCCGTCCAGTTCCTTGCGACATTGTCAGATTTGAGTTGAGCCTGTGTCAGTGCATTGATATGTCATACAATAACCTGCAAATGGTATTATTAAGACTGGCTCGCTTATTTTGTAAATTATTTTACGCTTATTTGATATTTTATGCTTGCCAGGCAATAGAAATTGATTAAGAAAACAGTTGTTTACAATAGAGATGTAATTAGAGCTGTAAATAAAAGCGATTCCACAATCGATTTCGATAGCTCGGAACTAGTACCGCCAAAGGGTGGCAGCCCTGCGACGATCAGCTGTGCGTGAGCAACGCCAACGCGAATGAGTCGTTTTTGCAGACCGCGGTAAAACCAGGAGAAACTACGGTGAAAAGGGCGACCAGGAGAAGCACACCTGGCCAACAGCATGTCCGACGACGAGGAGACGGGCGTGCACCGCCTGGAGGGCACCAGCGGTCAAGAGATGCGTGGCGGCCTGGTAATCCGGAAGCCCAAGGATGGCACCAAGACGACGAGCTCCTCCAAGGTGCCACAAGTCTCCCTGCTGGGACTCGATAAGCTGGCGGCCAAGCGGCGCACCGAAAAGGAGCGGGCGGAGCGCCTCATCTCCTTCCAGGACACCGAGTTTGACGACGCCGGTGGCGGGAGTTCCACGCCTAACGTCGCCGCCGGCGGAGGATCCAGTGAGTTCGCCTTCAAGAAACCGGACACCAAGAGCTTCGAAAAGCTAAGGGGACAGCTGCGCGAACACAAAGACGAGACGCCTTCGCACACGGGCGGTGTGTCCGAGAAAGCACGCGAGCGTCTGCGGGAGCACATTAAACGGGACAAGCAGCGCGGCCGGAATACCAGCTCTTCGTCCAACTTCTCCTCGAACGAGGGCAAAGATCGCGACAGACGACGGGACAGGGACAGAGATCGCGATAGGCGCAGGCAAAGAGACAGAGAACGCGACAGGGACAGGGACCGAGATCGAGATCGCTCCGTGTCCGTTCGCAGTGTACACACTCCCCGGGAACCGGGCACTCCGGGCGGCAGCAGCAGCAGCGGCGGTGTGTCAAACAGCTCTTGGGACGACGACGATGGCGAGGTCAGCCAGCGCAAGTCGGATTGGGATATGCCCACGCCGCGACGACATGGCAGCAGCTCCGGCGATTGGTCTGTGAGGAGCAGCAGCAGCAGCAGTAGCAGCCGGCGTCACCATAATCGGCATGCAGACGACACGGCTCGTCCGACGCCAGCCCATCGCTATAACAATTGGGCCCACGACCGCAAACGGACTGGAGCCACGCCCTGGGGCGAGGATGCAGAGTCGCGAGACCTTTGGGAGGAGGAGCAGCGGCGCCTGGATCGCGAATGGTACAACATCGACGAGGGCTATGACGATGAGAACAATCCGTTTGCCGGCGCCAGCTCCGAGTATTTCCGCAAGCGTGAGGAGCAGCTGGAGCAGAAGCGAACGAAGCGGATAAGTGCCCAGCAGAGGCAGAACAATAGGGACAACGAGCTGTGGGAGCGGAACCGGATGCTAACCTCTGGCGTGGTCACTTCGATCAGCGTGAATGACGACTTTGATGAGGAGGCTCTGGAGAGAGTGCACCTGTTGGTGCATCACATCATACCACCGTTCCTTGACGGCCGGATTGTGTTCACCAAGCAGCCGGAACCGGTGGTGCCCGTCAAGGATCCCACCTCCGACATGGCACTGTTGGCGCGCAAAGGCAGCGCCCTGGTGCGCACCTATCGGGAGCAAAAGGAGCGTCGAAAGGCACAGAAGAAGCACTGGGAGCTGAGCGGCACCAAATTGGGCAACATTATGGGCGTACAAAAGGCGCAGGACGACGAGGATGCGAAGTTCGACAAAAGCAACGATACGGCCGACTATCGCAAGGATCAGAAGTTTGCCGACCACATGCGGGACCAGGACACGGGCGGCAAGAGTGATTTCTCGCGCAAGAAATCGATTTCGGAGCAGCGACGCTTTCTGCCCGTCTTCGCCTCGCGCCAGGAGCTGCTCAACGTGATCCGCGAGAACTCGGTAATCATTATTGTGGGCGAAACGGGCAGCGGCAAGACCACACAGCTAACCCAGTATCTGCACGAGGACGGCTATAGCCAGCGGGGCATGATCGGGTGCACTCAGCCGCGTCGTGTGGCGGCCATGTCGGTGGCCAAGCGCGTCTCCGATGAGATGGACACACAGCTAGGTAAGGCCGTAAGGAGAGTATCCTACATATTTCCTCTATAATTTGTTTACTTCTTCTTTTAACCAGGTGAGGATGTGGGCTATGCCATCCGATTTGAGGACTGCACCTCGGAACGCACGGTCATCAAGTACATGACGGACGGTATCCTGCTGCGCGAGAGTCTACGCGACCCGGACCTGGACAGCTACTCGGCCATCATCATGGACGAGGCCCACGAGCGGTCGTTGTCCACGGATGTGCTCTTCGGCCTACTGCGTGAGGTGAGTTTGTTGAAAGATTTATATCGTTTTTCTTGCTTTCGGTTTCTGTTTTTATCTTCCAAAATGTATAATACCTTCTTATCGCAAATTATTTCAATATTTGTACTTGTCTTGAAATGCTTTGCATTCCAAGCGTAAATGAGTTTTACTTTAAATTCTTTTTTTTTCTTATCACATTTTCATTTTTTTAAATCATTTTAAATGTAGGAAACCTAACTTGCATTCAAAATTCAAGAAAAGCAAACGATTATTATTTTTATTTTATTCAATTATAATCCGAAAAAATCGATTTAATTTATTTGTCTATAAGTTAAACACAGAATCAAAATATTTCACATATAACACAACGATAAAAATCGATATATAAACGATATTTTTTGTTATTTAAACCCTAACTGCATACAAAAAGGCAGGGCAGAGAAATTCGATGACTCGCGAGTCAGAGCTTTAATGTTTTAACAAAAGTCTAAAATTAATTTAAAATAAATTTAAACGATTAATAAACCCCTTTTAATCAATTCATTGATATTTTGCCTCCTTATTAAACACATAAAAAACACATTTTGTTGATTTTCGCTTGTTAAACATTTAATATTTAATATCAATATAAAGAATTTTACAAACGTTTTACATATTTAATTTTCATTCACATTGTCGAAATGTATATATATAGAGGCAGATACATATCAATATTTTATACATTTTACAAAAACTTAAACTTAAAAAATAAGTAATAATATATATATGTATGTATATAATAGTATGCGTATGTATGTATTTGTATAGCTTACGAACTGCTGTTCATTTTGTTTTTCTGTTTTGTATTGTAAATTGTTCTCACTGCATTCTCTTCAAATAAAAAAAAAGCGCTTTTGAGAGAGTCCGTAATGCGTCTCCAAAGTCTGAGTCGTCGTCCTGGTCTTCAGTTATCGCATATTGATAGTAATTTTTATATATAGTTAATTACACAACGAAACATTTCGAATGTCTGATTGTTACTACAATGCTTAAGAATATGCTTGCTACGTAGAGTTCTTAATTGATTTCGCTCCTAAGTACGCTTAAACAACAATAATAAAGAACAACTTAAAAATTGCTTTGCATGTGTGTTTGCTTTGCCACTCACAATGTATATAAATACATATATATATATATTTATATATAATGTACATTATTCCATTAAAGGTCAACAAAAAATGATTTGACAAAAAAAAAAAAAAACAGAAAACAAATATTTTATATAAGTCTTTTCGAATTTCTCACAGTGTGTGTGTGTGTGTGTCTCTCTTTCTCTCATTCTGTGTCATATACATATATGATACACAATTATAAATACAAAAGTATTTAAATACATATATTGTAGCTTAAGTTGCAACAGCTCTACAATCATGGGCGGGACTGTAAATGAGTGTGTTTTGTGTGTGCTGTCTGTAAGTGTGTATTGCAGGCCATATTATCTTTTACTTTGCTCAACTTTTTGCTTCATTTTATATTTATATTTTAATTATTTATTTTTAATACTGCCAAAACAAAGTATAAATACAAATTTTCGTTGGGTCTATAAATATTACGATTATTTTTTGCATAGTATGTATGTATATATTGGATGTTTTGGGTTTTTTCCACACACACAACCCTTTTGGCTAGTTCTTAATCCATAAATTATCTTATCAACTGATTTTACGCTTTAATACTCTTCTGTGTTGTGTAAAATCGTTCTGTGGCAGCAGCAGCAGCAGCAGTAGAGAATTTTCTTTGATCAATTTCAAAAATCAAGTTTTCAAGCTTGGAGCTTTTTCTAGTTATTATTATTATTTTGCGTGTGCCAATTGCGTTCTTTTTGGTTTATTATTGCTATTCAGCACCAACAACATGCCCGCATTCATGCCAACGCTGCCCCACTTCACGCACTCCGACATCTGCAAGATAGATTCACCGTGTAAGACACATGGCACACTCAAGGTATACGTACGTCTCTTAGGTTGCAATATAAAAGGCGGAACGCTGGCCGGAATAAGTGGAAGTACAACTAATAATAATCATCAACTTTCCTTAATTATCACGCCTCGAAATGTGACAAGAAAAATACAATAAATAAAATAGTGAAAAATACATATTTGGTATAGCAAAGTTTGAAGTTTAACTGGTTGTTACTAGGGATGCTCAATATCATATCAATTTCAATTTATCGAAATTTTAAATATCGAAAAATGTTGTTGATTTTATCGAAAAATATCAGAAATAAGTTATTGAATTTTGTATTGTTACCGATTATATTGGTACGATATATTCAACAGAATATCGATTTATCGCACTGTATATCGTTACGTTAAAATGCCAAATTTGTATATCGACTTTCCCGTTACAGTATTGATATATACAGAATAGACAGAGGGCAGATCTATTTCATTTTCCCATTTGTGATTTTCTTTAAAATTATGTTTTTCCTACAAGGTTTAAAACAAAGTTATCAAATTACCTTGAATTTTAAAAGTAAGAAGTATTTAATGGAATAGAAAAACCCATATCTTATATAGTTTAAAAATTCGAATAATTAATAACAAAATCCTATTCCTATAAACTAGAAATATGAAACAAGCCTGTCGTCTGCCTTTTCAATAATAACTGCAAGACTCTCATAAATATATGTAATATATACAAAATGTAATGCTTTCTGTACCATATAGAATAGTTAATGATCGTGAGGATCTCACGAAATGCGGGGAATATAAAGGGTGCTGCAAGGAGGATGCATATTCGGTTATTTTTATGATGAAACTTCCATTTGGGGTTAACATCTACATACATACATTTCCTTCTCCTTTTTTTACAATTTTTTTTTTCTTTTTTTTAAATGAGCAAAAAGCCAGAACAAAGGGGAAAGCATGAATAATATTCAGTGGTTGCATGATGGTTATAAATAAAGCCATACAGAAAAATGGCAATGGTTCGTTCTCCGGTTAAACCTGTGAAACAAATTTTTGTGCATGCGTTGGTCTGAAAGTTGGTTTTTGGTCAGTGTAGTGTGTGTGTGTGTGTGTGTATGTGTTTTATGTTTTTACATTTTTTTTTTGGATGCTGCAACTATAACAATCAATATATGTATGTGAATGGTTGGGTTGGTAGTGGCGCAGGAGCAGGAGGTGGGAAGGAGGAGGGGATAAGAGGATTGGCAATTATGTTGGTCTCCGAATCGGCGATATATATATATATAATTATTCTTTTTGCTGGCTGTCTGAGCTCCGCCGCCTATTAATTGATCAGGTGCAGTAGCACGTGATTGGCACTCGTCGTTACCTGTCGCTTCCGCAGATCCTGCTGACGACTCCCGTACCGACACCAATAGACGAAGTGCTTGTTGTTGTTCCACAAACTCTGTTTGGCCTTTCGCGCCACAGACACCTAAGAATATGAATTTCAAAAGCGCTTAGTTTATATTTACAACAAATAAAAAGTGCCTGCAGTCTAATCATATAAGAAAAGTCGATGGTAAAACAAAACTATCGCAAAAGGTTCGTAAATTCGATATAAATTCGCAATTGTCGCCCTAAATGTTCGCAAAACGGACTCAGAAAAGAGCGTTTAGTGAATAAAAACCGAGCGACATAATTTTTCTCTCTTTGTGTATGGTCAGTCTTCACCAATTTAAAACTGTTTGCAATAATTTTGCGTTATCATAGAAGGCTCGCAAAAGATCCGTTTTCGAGCTATCGAAAATTTAACTTTCACTGCCACTAACTTTGAATTGCTGATATAAATCAACAGAGGTTCCTCAAAGGCTATTATCATGAACTCTGACAGAATCATTAACCTTCAATATCGATTCTATATTTGGAAAAGAAAATGTATGGGTATATATATTTATTAATTGCATTATTATATATCTCACCTGATTGCGTATATCCTTTTCGTTGTGCGGGACTTTCTCCTTGTCGGCGAAATTGTTAATACGCAACTCCCAGCCATGGCTCCATATTTCGGCAAGTGACATTTTGATTAATTTATAGGTCCCATTCTCACGTATTTTCACAGAAAATATCTCGATAGTTTCGGGCTTGGGTTTATTGTCTGCAATCAAAACGATTTTAAATTATAAATTAGACGTCTGTGTGCACTTAACCTCTATTACATCAATTCAATTCAGGCAATTTAGTGCCGGAAGCAACTGCACTGGCAGTTTGACCCCAAATGCATATAATATTCGCTTAATAACATATCTCAATTGATTTTGATTTTCGATTAAAGATCGATCGACTGATTTCTAGAAGCAAGCTGCAATGAAAATCATTTTAACGACAAACATTGCGGTATAAAAAATATATAAATATGTATATTAAGAGAAGATCTAGAACGAACTTTAGAAGGAACTTAGATAGTAATTTAATATTTATTTTTCCTGAGACTTCACAAAAAAGCTATAGTCGGTAAAAGGCGGCATATTTCACTTAATGCTACCTATTAATTATAGGAAATTATTCACCATTGTTCATTTTAATTTGCAATCAATTGAATGCTCTATTAAACAACCATAAAGTTTTATAAATAAAACTGATGCGAACATTGTGCAAATTCAGAGCCATGTACTGCATAAAAGATGTGTCACCTATGCTTAGGGATGTCAGTAAATGTTGATATATCAATTCTCCATCGGACTACGTTTAATTTTTAAAATATAAAAGAAAAAAAGTATATTAAAAATTGTACAATTTAAAATCTTGCAAATTATACAAATTAGTTTGATCATATCGATATTTTAATGTTAAATGCGATCTTTCTATATTTCCAATTGCAACATATTTAACTTTACGATTAATTATATCGAGATAGATATGATATCGAGAACGATAACTGGTCGATAAATTTTCTATTTATATTAATCTCTACATTTGGTATTACCACCACTTGATACATAAAGTGTACGTGGTTTATATCAGTACTACATATGCCTTTCTGTAATGCCCCTCTTTATTGCAAGATAATCAATCACTATTGATAGTAAACTTCACCTTCCCGTGGGCAAGGGTAAGGTGGGGCAAGGGGGATTGTCCTACGTGACACGGAGCCATTCTAGAAATCTGTTTCATAAGAACGCAGGCGCATTGCGCACTGCGATTCCCCCTGCTATGGTACTAGTGGGTGTGGATTGGTGGGTGGATGGGTGTGTGGTACTCGGGGTAATCGGACAAGTGCTGGTAATTTACCATAGGACAACAATCAGTGACGGGCTGGTGACCAAGTGGCGTGGAAAGCGATTAACCGGAATGCCGGAATGCAGCGTTTTATCGATTGCCGGGACTTTCGCGCAATCCTCCCAAGTCGTGACCACACACAGAGACAATAATTATGATAATTATTACCAGATCTACTTGTACATTTTTCTTGCTACAAAGTTGCACAAAATGCGTCTTATTTGTACTTTTTGAGTTCAGGAAACAACTCAAAATAAGGGAATAAGGGAGTAAAGATTCTAAAGATTAGCACATCTTAATTGTGTTAGTTTCTATACAGAGTTACGTTTTAGTTTTTATGTTCAGCTCACTGAAGTGAAATTTCTTTCTGTGCTGAAAAGCTTCCTTCCATTTCCATTATCATGGATATTTACACACATACGCTAATTTCCACACGAATCGGATTGATATCATAATAGCACTACATCACGGTACTCATTAATGACTCAAAAGGCATTATCTTGGTTACGCATTTTCAAATATTTCGGCAATAAATCAATGGTAGGAATCATATTTAATGAATGTTTAAAGCTCCCAATGTCTTTGTCTCAATTTTAAAAACTGATTTATTAGTAAATAAAAACATTCTAAATGATTAATTAAGGTTAACCCTTGAGAAAGCCTCTCTGCGGCTCTATCTTCACACCCGCTGCTGTGGTCCATACTCACATCGCGCTCCCATATAAGGTGGCTGCCACTCGAGTGGTGGGTTATTGGCCAGCAGCATAGGCAATGCAACATCTGTGTGGGGGTGGTGAGTATGCAAAACATGCAACTGGCACACTCACCCGAGAGCAGGGGCAATACACATGCAATGCGCAAAAAAATCCCGGCAGAGAGCCAGCCGGGTCTTTCAAGTTTTCTCTTATTTATCTGCCACCCAACCGCCCAAGTTTTAGCTGTATCACTGATGTATCACCCTTAGGGGGTTTCCACTGTACCACCTCCACCCAATTCCCGGTTACCCGATATTCTATTTGTAAATGAAAAGGTTTCGTGCGAGTTGGCATTCGATAAAGAGTACAAAGTACTTTGACGGTTCTACAAAATCATTAAATAAAATTTCGAAAGATAGATAGTAATAAACACAACTTTAAAACAAGTCCAGCTAACTAAAAAAGTTGGGTAAGGTTGCTAACATCATAAACTCGCGAGTTATCAATTTCTGTGCCCGACTTATAGCACCTCAAATAGTATAAAAACTTCCCTGTGCGTTCACATTATAATTTTAAGGCTAAAACCAGGCTTTTGTAGAGTTAAATTGCTATTTTAAGGCTATTCTTTTTTAATATCTACACAGCGTAGTTTAGTTTTTAGCCTTTCATAGAGTAATTTGTGCTTTATAGTGTTTTTTGTCATCTAACCACTTTGTTTAATTTCATAATCACACAAATGCAATTCTATAAAGTCTGTGTATGGACTATCATGATTGTTCCGCTCATCTACAGTACAGTTAAAGCCAAATAAATAGCACCAAAAGCGTTTAATATTTTTTTACTGGCAAAATACTAAGAAAACGCAAATAAATCATTGCAAATTAAGCTTAAATAATAATCTTACAAAAAAAAAAAAAAAAAAAATGAAAACAATAAGAAACAGTTGAGTACTATAGTCTCTACGATATACAAAGTAGCTTCATTTTGATAAAGCTATAATTAGTGCTAATATTTTTACCGCTGCTCTATGTAAACATATTTCGACTGGAAGGTGAAGCAGGTTGCTTTTAAAATGCATTGTGCGCACAATTCTGGAATGTTGTAGCAACTTTTTGGTGCGGCATTGTGAATGGCTTCTGCAGACGTCGACTGCGAGGCAAACTGCGCTGCCAGCAGCGCACTTGATAAGTTGGTTGTTGTTGTAGTTCTTAGTCTTGTTCTTGTTGGATTTTCGATAAGATAAAAGCACTGCCCTTGTGTACACATATACACACATCTATGAATGTTTATATATATGATTTACACATACACACTTGGTTGTGTTGTTTGTTTATTGAATGACATTTTAGAATTTCACTCGTTCACCAAAAAGAGATTAGTTTAATTGCCCCTCTGACGTCTAGAGTTGTGATTAATCATCAACTTTAAAGCTATTGGTGAAATTCCCCGGTAAATTTCCAGCATCTGGGTCTCGAAACTCTCATATTTGTTTATCAAGACCTCATTTAAAAGACACAATTTGAAGGGAAATAAATAAATGAACAAGACTGTTGGAATGATAAGAATGAAACTCTAAAAATGAATGAAGTCTAAAAAAAAAAACCTTAGTGTAACAGCTTTTCTTCTAATCATCGATTGCCCTACATTTGCAGTTCTTTCCATAGAGTAACTAAAGCCATAACTACCATGGACGATAACACGAAAGATTAAACAAGTCAATGGGGGGAAAAAAAACCAAAAATAACTTCATTAATAAATATAAATTTGTAGTAGGAATTAAAATACGGAATTTCACCATAAATATCTTTAATAATAATATTTATTTATATATTTATATGCGATTTCGATTTTTAAAACATTATTCTATCACCCTGGATTAGTAGTCTCATTTTTCCTCTTAGCAACTATAATGAAACTGCATATCCAAAAAAGACATGCATATATATACAACAGATAACATAATATATAAAATAAACCTGCCTAGATCAACTCGGCTTAATGCAAAAAACCACCAGTATTGCAAAAAAAAATTTGTAAATGTCCTCAATTTTTGGCTGTTCTTAACATTATCCACTCATCCTCTAGTATGGATATGGATTCTCCGCCAAATGGAGTGGTTTTGTAACTACAAGCTCTCCTCAAGCACTCACCTTTGGCCAACTTGCAGAGAACGATTCCATACCAGGAGGCCACTGGTGTCTCGTTCTCATCCTGCGTCTCAAGGAAGCTGCTTCCGTTACGCGTTATGACCAGCAACGGCGTTGGCGGGTGCGGCGGACAGTCGAGCTCCAGGGAGTCCACGCCATCGACGGAAGAAGCGTCACCGGTGGAGGAGGCCCCGGCCATTGCAGCAGCTGCTGCCGCAGCGGCCGCCGCCTCGGCTGCGGAGCTGCTGCGTATTTCGACAATGAAGCCGCATTCGACGACGGCGCAAAAGATGCGCTGCTCCGCCGGTTTAAACCACTTGGATTCGCGTAGCTTTTGAACGGCAACGCTGCTGCCGAATGTGGCGCCGACCACGCCGGGCTTTTGTGTATGCGGTGCCAGCGGGTGCAGGCGATGAAGCTGCTGTTGCTGCAGCGGTGGCGGCCAGTTGGAGGTGGGGGAGCTGGGAGCAGATTGCGAGTAGACCCCGCCGCTGGCAGGTTGCACCGCCGGTTGGTTGTGGTTGTTGTGACCCTGCAGTGGCCACCACTTGAGCGAGCTGACAAAGCTGTTGGAACGGTTCATCAGTCTGTGTGCGTTGGTTCGTTCGTGGGTGTGTGGGTGTCGGTATAAAGAAGGCGCCCAACTTTCACTCGGAAAAAAATAAATGGGAAATCGAAATGCACTTTTCCGCGCGTTTTTCTTTCGAGTCCTTTCCTCTCACTTCCCACTCGCTCGCTCTGTTTATTTACTCAACTCGGTACAACTCAAAGCAACTCTTTGCCACGCTTCGTTCCAGTTTTAGTTTATATCACTGTTTTTGTTTCGAAGTAAGAATACGAGTTATTGCCCTGGCTTTTCGTGTTATTCGCTGCTTCGCTGTTTTCCGTATTCGCTCTCTGCCTTTTGTTGCGAGCGTGCAGCTTTTATATGGCCATCAGTGTTGCCAACTCTTCAGGGCTTGAAAAGAGCTAAACCCAACATCGAAAGAAGCTAGAACTAGCTAGCAAATTTTGATGATAGCTAAAAAACAACGCTAGGGGAAAGAAAACATTTTTTTTGTATTGTTGAAGAATTTTTGAAAAATGGTCAAGTTCCTCTTTCATCACCTCTTCTGCAGCTGAATGTATGTATATGACTTTGGGTTGTTTTTTTTTTTTTTCAAAAGTTTGTATTTTTTTTTTCAAAAATTGTTCAACATTTTTTTTTTTTCAAAATGTCAAAATTTTTTTTCAAAAATTTTCCCAATTTTTTTTCTATAATTCTGCCAACATTTTTTTCCAAGTTTTGTCAAATATTTGTTTGTTCAAAATTTTCGTAGTAAAAATCGATTTAAAAATGTAATGCTCTTTTGGCATATGGAAAAATACTACGAAGTATTTAAGTGAGGCATCATAAAACATCATAATACATGAAAGATAATAATACAAAAAGCTAAAATTAAGGCAATTTTGCTTGGAAAATAGCTATAATTCCCGCTAGCCGCTAGTTCACAATATATCCCGCATTTAGGTTTTGAAACACGCCAGATATAGTGGAAAAATAGCTAAATTGGCAACAGTGATGGCCATATAACGAGAGAGGGAAAGAGAGCGAGAGCGCTCGCGAGAGACACTGCTGTTTATGCGGAGCAGAGTGCATGTATTGAATTCATGAATTTGCATATGCATTTTACGCTGACTGTGAATTCGATTTCAATATATGGAAATTAAAACTTGAAATGAATAGGAAATAGGGGAAGAACTGGTTGAAATTGTGCTGGGTTGAAAATAATTTATTTTAGCTTACTTGCTCATATAAACATTTTACGTATTCAAGAAATCACGAAACTCGGCGCATGATCTTAGTGAGAGAGAGCAAAGCACATCGAAAGAGTGCTTGTTTTGAAGCAAATCTAATGAGTACGGCTCTCTTTTGAGTTGGTGAGTTGTAGGTGGTGGGTTTGGCATTCCGTTATGTTGTGTTGCTCTCAATCTCCTTCTCCCCATGCAGGGTGTTATAATTGCATTCAAAAGTTTGAAAAGCAGAAAAGGAAACCCCACCAAAACCGCTGTCTGCATGTAAAGGCATTATGTTGGGAGCTTATGTGTATTTATTTCTACAAGTTCAATAGAATGCCAAGCACCATACACTGCAATATTTTTAGACTAAGGATAAATAAAGTATACATTACAAATTTGGTACAAATTAACTATGATTTAATATATTTTATCTTTATTAATTTATATCAACTAAACCCAAGTCAGAAATATCACAGAAGACTTAAGTAGAAAAGAGTTATTAGTGTTTATTTTAATTTCAAACTGGTTTTCCAACTCATATACAGCTATTCTTAGTAACTTTTAAGCAACCTAACAATTTATTAACAGCACAATTGTTTATAATTTAAATATGTTTGTTGAATACTTTAAAAATAAATTAGGTTTTTTCGCACTTTTGAGTATATCTTAATAATATCAGAATCTTTTTTAAAGGCAATGCATAAACTTTAAGAAATTTAAAATCAAGTTACTCAATATACAAATACATATGTACACATTTATATCCCGGTAAAAAGTAACACATATCTCGCAAGGTGATTGATGTGTGTGGGAGTATATTGGTTAATGGTTTGTTGTTTTCGATTCGTTTGGGGTTATTAGCAGATCCCGAGTCGCCGCTTGCGATTGCTGTCATGTGATTACCGCCATGTGCCGACATGTTGTGAAGCTTTTTATTTGATCGAATTTTATTATTTGCATTTCTGCATTTCGGCTCAATAACATGCAATATACACACAAACATACATATACCTTTATTATTCCTCGATATCAGGCCATGATTGGTTTGCAAAAATTCTGAACAATCGCCTAGTGTTCGGTCTTGTATTTTCTCTTAGTTCTCTCGATCTTGTGATAAAATTAGCTTTAAGGTGGCTGATTAAAGAAACTGTGCGAAATGATTGATACAAAGATTCAGACCACCTAAAAATAAATTCGTATGCTTTGCAAAATGGAAACGCAAGACTGTTATTTATATTTTAGCAGCAATATTTAATAATATTTTAAGATTACTCTCTAAAAATGTTGGTCAAACACTACCCTTGCAGAGGGTAAAGATCATTAGAGGCGGCTAAAGAATACCCTACTTACCCTATGGTACTTGTATTTTAACCTCCACTGTATGCAAGGGTATAGCACAGTGATGGACCCGTTGGCTAGGCTTACCTCTAATTAGACGCTCAGAACATCTCGCCAATAGCCAACAAATAACAACAATGCAAAGCTCTCTTCTCCACCTTTTCGCCCCCCTTTCTACCATCTTGCCTTTCCGCGACGTTTTCCGCCGGCAGCCAAGGTTAGAAACTATAAATAAATATGGAGAAAAATCAACAACAACTAAAACCAAGTCAATCAACAGCAACAAAAATAACAACAACAACAACAACAACAACTACATAGTTGCAAAAAATCTATTTTTAGCTGACAGAGCAGCGAATCGGAATCGGCGACTGTAAATAGAGTAAATGAAAAACTAGACACTAAAAATAAAACGTTAAATGTGTGTCGATGCTTTTAAGACGTACTTAAAGTGATCTTCCATTTGATATACTCTTAAAGAGGGTTATTATATTTTTAATCAGAAATGTAAAATGCAAGTTTGTGCATTTTTATGCTTATTCACGATCAACATCAACAGCCGAGTCGATCTAGACTTGTTTGACTGAAGTTCACGGGATAATTTTCAACAAAAGTATATTGGTAAAACCATATTTCAATTAATTTGAAATTAAAAATATTTTATTTCATGTTTTTCGTCACATTTTCGATTGATTTTGGATCTATAAAAATTTAAAATACCCTACCATGGATTACCCGGTTACAAATTAATGTTTTTCTGTTGTTTTATTATTACATACCCTGAAAATATATTTGTTTTTTAGTTCGTGAAAACGATTTCCTCGACAAAGCAAAGAGTATTACTAAGAAATATTTAAGAAAAGATAGTATACTATTATAATATCGCAAAAATTCGACAAAAGCGATATGGAATCGTAATTGGAATCAACAATGGTGGTGATGTCGATGTCTGAGGTCTGAGGTCTGAATGAAGCTCAAAGTCTGGATATTACCAGATATCGAAAACACTTGCCTTCGCTTGGTGAATGCGTAGAGCAAAGCCTTTAAGTTCCAAACGAAAATAAACGAGTTCCGTTGCCACAGGTGCCGGCACTGCGATACCATCGACACTCCGCATGCAAATATGAACTCGAACTCGTACTGGTACTACTTACATATACGAGTATCAAGATACTGAATAAGCAAGTGGATTTCCAGCTAGATGGATATGATTCCATTTGTCACCGTTCTAAGCGCAAACTTAGCGGAGTGACACTTTTATTTATTCGTCGTTTTTCCATTTTCCCCTTTTCATTAATAAATGTATGCAACGCGAATCGGATGCCCATCGTGCAATTGCACTTGAATAAAGGTATAAATAAAAACACTGCTGGGCTTCAGGTGGCTATTTGTTGTTCTCTATTTAGTAAACACAAAAAAAAGGAGGCGGCGACACATAAAATTAGTAAACAAAACTGGCAGCGAAGTTAAAATACCCTTTTATTGAAAAATATATGCATGTACAAATTCTGAGCAATTGTTCTTATTTGCAGAGCCTATTTTTTGCTTTTGTAACTTAAGAGCTTAGGTTGTTAGGGTCTCTCCGAAGTTAACATCTACTCTCTTCTCAGCCTTTGTCAGCTGCCGACGCGAAGTCGCTGCCAGCATTCTTGCGGTGTCTATTTTTAGAAATTTTTATAGTCAGCAAACGAGACACGAGCACAATAAAAAAAAAACAACAACAAAAACAAAATAAAATAAAAATCATAAACATATGCTAAAATTTGTTTACCCTTCTTTTGCGGTTTCTGACCTATAGGTGACGTGCGAAGCTAATGTAAATAAAACCCATTTTACATTAAAAAAAAATTATTAATAATAATAATAAAAAATACAAAAAATGTCAAAGCACATACATATGTACATAAGTGTATACAAAATTATAACTTATACCTTATGACAGAAATTCGGATCCCCGAAGTTAGCTTCCTTTCTTGTTTGTTGGAATCCTTGGGTAGTTGATTTTTGTGTCTTTTGCAACAATTAGGGAACATAGGCCTTACTGCAACAATATCCATACTTATTTCCGGTCAAAGGGACAAGCTGACGTTGGGGCTTTCTTAAGCGGGTCTCTTCATATGGCGGAAGTTTTTCCAAACAGCTGTTTGAGCCTTAATCGAATTTAAAAACAAAACCAGCACGAGGAAAGAGGGGTTATTTTGGTTTGTTGGCCGGTCCGGGCTACTCTCTTTCTGTCTTTTTTTTTATTACCAGCCTCTCTTAAGTTGTCTCTTTGTGGTCTTTTCTGTTCTCTCTCTCTCTGTCTCTCTATCTGATTCTCTCCCTCCGTACACACCTTTGGGTAAAGAAACGTTTTCTTGTCTTATTTGTTGCTTTAATTTTCTGCACATAACTCGTTTGCAGCAAAAAATAAGCAAAGAGAGCTGAGGTTGTTTTGATATTTATTCAACAAAATGTGCTGAGTGTGTATTTTGCATATTCTCCTTTTGTTTTTCATTCCACCGCCGCATTTTTGTTTTTGCTTTTGCGAATTTTTGCTTGTTGTGTTTACATCTTGCGCTTCGCCTCAGTTAAAGTCTACATTTATTGTATGTATGTGTGTATGCATATACGTACATTGTATGTATGTAGTTTTTGCCAAAAAGAAATAAATTTCTACTACGTCACACGTCTTGCACACCTGTGATTTGTTTATGCCGCCGGCCACACCCCCAAAAGGGAAGCTCAAAGCGTATTAAAAGAAGAACAGAGCAGTACTTGAATTCTCTGAAGTTTTTTTTTTCACCTGCCGCTCTCTGGCCAAAATGTGCAATCATAGAGGACATTTTTTCGTCATCTCTTTTAACTCGCCCTTTCGTCTATGTGCATACATGCATACATATGCACATATTCGGAGACTGACTGCTGTCATGGAAACTGAACGAAAAAAGGCTTTAAATTTAATTTCCAGTTTATTATTATGTTGGGAAAATTAATTTAAAAATAAATATGTATGTATGTTTGTATACATATTCGGTTTCTGATAACATAAATTGAACTGTATGTAATCGCACGTTGCACACATTTTTAAAGTCTCGCCGGAACCTGTTTTGAGGTTCATCACACTCGCATAATTCAGCCGACGGAATCGGAATCCTGTACCGCCCCCACAAATGATCACCCACCCACCGAAACCTGCCCCCAGTGTTTCGGACTCACCTCCAGCGACCTCGAGAGCATTTTGCATTTCGCCTCAATGCAAACGCTCTGTAAATCACATCTGCCGCATTTTTAATTGCCAACAGTGGCGGTCAAAATAATGCACACTCTAGGCTAATAAAATAATATTAAAAATAATACCATAAAAATTTTTTTCGAAATTTCTTAGGTGTATTTTTAATTTGTTTTATTTATGCATTGCAACTTTCTCTTCTCATTTTAATAAACTACGGGATTAAGATTTTTTAAGATTCTATAACTTTAACTCTGACTGTATATATGATATAATCAGTCTATTGGCGCCAGGAAAAGCATCTGTGTTTGCATCTAGACAAGGTTTTTCAAATATTTTTTTGGGGGCTAATGTCACACAACCATAAATATTTTAGTAAGTTAATTAAAAGAAAAATACATTTTGTAATTTCGGAACTACAAATTTCAGTTAGGTCGTACAGACTTGGTTAGATCGAATTGACTGGTGATCATTTTCTTGTCAAGGGCCCTTCTATTCTTCTGTTTAAAGTGCAGTCACTTTAGATTGCATTCATTATTTATGCATTTATTTATAAAATTGGATTGTTGACATCTTGAAACTTTTTGGCAGCGTGCCGGGAAAAAATAAAATTATTTAGTTTAAATGTCCTGCCCAATACTACATACACATGTTGGCCAATAAATAAAATAAATGTTTGCAAACCGCTGCTTTTGTTGTTATTTATTTTTGCATTCCTGTTTTTCATTCCGATTAAATGGGCATTTAAGGGCATTATCATCTGCTTGTTGGGTATACATATGTACATATGTAAGTATTTCGTTTTCTCGCAAACTTCCTGTTTCTATAATAAGATCATGTGCAAGTGTGTCATATAGATAGGGTTTGCCCTTGGCTGATTGATTGCTCTGTGCAGTTCTTTGGCCAGAAAGTGCACTCTCGATTGTTTAGCATTACCGAAAGTCGAGTGGCCTTATCGGGATCTAAAATTGTCCTATCCATACCTCTAGCTACGGCGCCATAGCTGATATTGTTTTACGACTTCAATCGAATCAATTGGTTTACAACACACCACTCAGGCAGATATAGAATAGAGCTCGTGATCTCGTTAGTTCTTACTGGCTGACTGGCATTTTAATACCGACTACTCGTAGAGTACCATGTAACTATGTAATAGGGAGAAGCATTGATCACAGAATCATATTCTAAGTAGTATAAGCTACTTCTGGGTAATGGATTATCGTAATTCTTTTTTATTTATTCAATTCATTAAGTAAGAAATAGTGAGGTAGGTATAGGGTACTAAAACTATAGCCAATCGTTATGTAGGTTAAGGGTTCAGTTTAAAATTGTACTTTTAGCGAAAAAGAAGAACTTCAAGGTGTCAAAAATATTATTTAATATATTATTATTTTTATATTTAATATTTTTTTCCAAGAATTAAGTTCTGGGAGAATCAGTTCTATATGCAAACGATCTACTGCTTATACTTTCTATTATAGGGAACTGAAAAAAGCAAGTAAATGAACCAAGCCACATTTCGTTTTTAAGGACATTCTGTCCCCATTCAGAACTGGTGGTTTATGCTTCCCCAGTTTCCCTTCGCCGTTTCCTTCGCTTTCAACGGCACTTTGCCTGCGTGTGTGTTTGCACGTCCGCCGCTAACTCTCTTACTCTCCCTTGGCTCTCATTTGTTCTCTCTTTATTTATGTCTTTCCGTTCCGTGCAGGTGAATTGTGGTGGTGGTGAATTTCTTCAGGCCGGGCAAACTACATAAATAAAAGAACATAAATAAATAAACTAAAAAAATAAAAACTTATCAGTCGCCGTATTGGAATGGTTTCAAGATATCTTTCGAGTCCAATGCAGGGGTTCCAGCAGTCGCAATGCCTTGACCTGACCCAGCACGGTTTTTGCCCTAGAGAACCGTATGACCCGTAATCAGAACCACTTTGCTATTAAAATTTGAGGGTCCACGTTGTAATCATGATTTTGTTACAAACTTAATTTAAGGGGTAAAAATATTATTTATTATAATTATATATGTTTGTTTGTATTCTTTTACATTTACAGATCGTGGCCCGGCGACATGACCTGAAGCTAATCGTGACCTCCGCCACAATGGACTCGACCAAGTTTGCCACGTTCTTTGGCAATGTGCCCACTTTCACCATACCGGGACGCACCTTTCCCGTGGACGTGATGTTCAGCAAGAACACCTGCGAGGATTATGTCGAATCGGCGGTGAAGCAAGCGCTACAGGTTCACCTGACGCCCAACGAAGGCGACATGCTCATCTTTATGCCTGGCCAAGAGGACATTGAGGTGACGTGCGAGGTGCTGGAGGAGCGGCTAGCGGAGATTGAGAATGCCCCGGAGCTAAGCATTCTGCCCATCTACTCGCAGCTGCCGTCGGATCTGCAGGCCAAGATCTTTCAAAAGTCCAGTGACGGTGTACGCAAGTGCGTGGTGGCCACCAACATTGCGGAGACATCGCTCACCGTCGATGGCATTATCTATGTGATCGATTCCGGCTACTGCAAGCTGAAGGTCTACAATCCGCGCATCGGCATGGATGCCCTGCAGATCTATCCCATTTCGCAGGCTAATGCCAATCAACGAAGCGGTCGTGCCGGCCGCACGGGTCCCGGCCAGGCGTTCCGGCTCTACACGCAGCGCCAGTACAAGGACGAGCTGTTGGCCCTCACCGTGCCGGAGATTCAGCGCACCAACCTGGCCAATACGGTGCTGCTGCTGAAATCGCTGGGCGTTGTCGATTTGCTGCAGTTCCACTTTATGGACCCGCCGCCGCAGGACAACATCCTCAATTCGCTGTACCAGCTGTGGATTCTCGGTGCCCTGGACCATACGGGTGCTCTCACAACGCTTGGCCGCCAAATGGCAGAGTTTCCGCTGGATCCGCCCCAGTGTCAGATGCTGATCGTTGCCTGCCGCATCCATTGCAGTGCCGAGGTTTTAATTATAGGTAAGCCATATCCTGGGATATCCTGCCCAATCCTGATTCCCTTTGTAACCCTTTATGCCCTTTAGTTTCCATGTTGTCTGTGCCCTCGATCTTCTACCGACCGAAGGGACGCGAGGAGGAAGCGGATGGCGTGCGCGAGAAGTTCCAGGTGCCGGAGTCCGATCACCTTACCTACCTCAACGTGTACCAGCAGTGGCGCCAGAACAAGTAAGTGTTCCAGCCTAATCCGGCCAGAAACTAGCATTTAACCCTTTAATCCCCATAGCTATAGTTCGTCGTGGTGCAATGAGCACTTTATCCACATCAAGGCGATGCGCAAGGTGCGCGAGGTGCGCCAGCAGCTGAAGGACATCATGACCCAGCAGAACATACCCGTGAAGAGCTGCGGCACCGACTGGGATGTCGTGCGCAAGTGCATATGCTCGGCCTACTTTTATCAGGCGGCGCGCCTCAAGGGTATTGGTGAGTACGTGAACCTGCGGACGGGCATGCCCTGCCATTTACATCCTACCTCCGCCTTGTACGGCCTGGGCACCACGCCGGAGTATGTTGTCTACCATGAACTGATCATGACCGCCAAGGAGTATATGCAGTGCGCCACGGCCGTCGATGGCTATTGGCTGGCGGAGCTGGGTCCCATGTTCTTCTCCGTTAAGGAGTCCGGACGCAGTGGCCGCGAGAAGAAGAAGCAGGCGGCCGAGCATCTTAAGGAAATGGAGGAGCAAATGCTGCAGGCGCAGCACGAAATGGAGGAGCGTAAGCAGCAGGTGGCACAGCGGGAGGAGCAGCTGGCCGCCAAGCAGGAGATCGCCACGCCGGGCAACGCCACGCCGCGTCGCACGCCAGCCAGGATAGGCCTATAATCAAGCTAAGCGATCACATATTCGATCGTGCTATATATATATTTTTCATATAAATTCAACAATAAATTTGTTTACTAAAAAGAAAGTAAAAGAATATTTGTAAAGCGCAAGCGAAGCTTAGGGGGAGGAGGCGTGCTGCGCCATGATGTGTTGCTCCCATATTCACCATCAGGATGCACTGATTGTCCTGCAGCCGGTGGGTGTCACTGCAGGTGCACTCGCCGTAGTGGCACACCATGGCAACGGGGGCACTGTCCTGCCCCACAGGCTCCATCCGGCAGTCGCCATGGTGACGACAGTAGGCTCCAAAGAGCACGGTGGGCTCACAACTGATTCGATCCTTGTGGCTGATGATATCTCCGTCAATGTCGCTCTCCTTGGGCACAGCGTTGGCTACCCTTTTGGGGTAATGAGTGGCACGACAGGTGCAGCGATGATCCTGGCACTGGGCAGAGCCCCCAAGGGTCACCTGGCAGGGTGCACTGTGATCGCAGCTGCTGCCGTAGTTGGAGCCCGTTATGCACTTGGTCATGTTTCGGTTGTGGACGTAGTTCTCTGCGCAGGCGCACTTCTCCACCTTCGGCAGGCATAGGGAGGCGCCGCAGGTGCCACAATCCGTGTTTAGCCGGCAGCTCGATTCTATGGAAAGGCATTTTAATCGATTTTGGCTGAATACATATATGTAAATAGAAGCCAACTTACGTAGCACAGCCAAGCAGCGTCCCTCGTGGAGCTCGAAGTTGGACCGGCACTGGCAATGACCTTCCAAGCACATGCTGAACTTGTCCGCCAGCTGGCATTGCCGCAACGATTCGCATACTCCACCATGACGGACCGCCTCGGGAAGGCAGCGCCTGCGATCGGCGCTAGGCACATACCCCATGTGGCAGACGCACTGATCCCGTTTGGAATCACACTCGGCATTTGGTTGTGGACAGGGACAGGGGCCGCCAATGATGTTTGTCAGCTTCTCCTCGTGCGGAAGGCAGGCCACGCGCTCCTCCGAGTCACGTGCCGAGCAGATGCAGGCCATGTCCACGCAGTGGCCCCGATCGAACTGTGAGCACTGAACGTCCGTGATGCAAGCCAGTTCCAGCAACTCTTCGGCCCTTCCGCCAAGGAGTGCGAAGCCCAGTAGTGGCAGAAGCAACCAATTTATAAGACCCAAATGCATTTTTATTCTGTTCTTTCAGTCGATTCCCGTTTCAGCCGCTCGGATGCACCGTTACTTTCGGACAACTCAAAAGCTCCGCTCAAAGGCATCGATAAATCGGCGGGCTGCTCCTAGAGGTGGGCGATGACATTGGTTGCGTTTTGAGAACAATCGAACACTGATTTTCGATATACGGATACTATCGAAAGGTTCCCTTCTCTATTGGAAAAACGCGAGCGGCCTGCGAATTACAAAACACAATGTCGTTCAGTAATTTGTTAATGAAAAGCTGTCTGAACCAAGGCATTCACGGATCCCGGGTGCCCAGCGTCCTGTACACTGGTACTCGGCAGGGGCACACTATCCGCGGCAAGCCGCCGGGGGTTGCCCGCACTTTGGAGCAGCGATTGCGAGGTGAGTGGAATTCGTTCTCAAATCCACCTGCGCTGGTCCTGTTGATGTAACCGCTTCCTTCCTTCGGTTTGATGTGCAGAGGAGACCCTGACGGATCCTGAGGTGGTGGCTCGCGTCAACATTGGATTTCCACATCTGAAGGAGCCGCGGTCGGCGCAGCTGAAGATGCGTCTGGAACACCTCAAGGCGCAGCGCACCAGCAAGGAACTGGAAAAGCTGGCGCGCAGCAATAAATGTGAGTTTATCCTGCCCAAATCGATGTATGGGAGAAATAACAGTGTCTCCACTGACAGTGACCATCGACCTGGAGAAGGTGCAGCAGGTGTATGTGAAGACGACAGGTCACCACGATCTGCGCTTGATGGCGGACCACTACGGCATTTTCGAGCATCTGTATGGCAGCGCCTTTTTCGTGCCCCGGGTGCCACTCAACATCAACTATGTGCTGGATGCCGGCGAGCGCCTGGCTCCCGTCTACAATGGCAATGTCATCAAGCCGGTGGAAGCTGCAAAGGCGCCGCAGGTTGCCTTCAACGGGGTACTGGATCCGATCACCGGGCAGGAGGCCACCTCGGACACCTTCTGGACCCTGGTGGCCACCAATCCCGATGCGCACTACACCAATGACTCGTCGTCTGAGTGCCTGCATTGGCTGATGTATGCCTTGACTTCTGCGAGGGGAAACACAAAGGCTGATTCGTATTTTTTTTTTTTAATATTTGCAGCGCCAACATACCGAATGGTAAGGTGAGCGACGGCCAGGTGCTGGCCGAGTATCTGCCGCCATTTCCGCCCCGCGGCGTCGGCTACCAGCGCATGGTCTTTGTGCTCTACAAGCAGCAGGCGCGACTAGATCTCGGCTCGTATCAAATAGCCGCTGGCGACTATAGCAATTTGGAGAAGCGAATTTGGAGCACTCTGGACTTTTACCGCAGCCATCAGGAGCAGTTGACGCCGGCTGGCCTGGCCTTCTATCAAACCAACTGGGATGAGTCCCTGTCGCAGTTCTATCACGATGTACTGAGTAAGTTTTAAGAAGCCAATTTCCTGCCAATTGCCTCAAATTAATCCCCCTCAATTACCCACCCCACAGAGTGCAAGGAGCCCGTTTACGAGTATGACTTCCCCAAGCCTTATCTGGCCGATCAGAAGTTCTTCCCGCTGAAGCAGCCCTTCAATCTGTACATGGACAAGCACCGCGACCAGAAGCGTCTCAACAAGGAGTACCTGGAGCGCAAGCTGGCCCAGACACATCCATTCGATGGTCCGGATACGCCGCTGCGCTACCCCAATGCCCATCCCATTGGCAGCGAGGTGCCCTCCTGGCTGAAGACGGAGATCCGCAAGCAGCGCCTGCGGACTGGACGTGTTCAGGACTATTAGTTAACAAGTTGTATTTTTTTATTATTATTCACTGGAAGTACATGTTCGTTTTGCCTTGCTACGTGGTTATAGTTATATATAGCCTAAGTGTAAATACGGGAAGAAGGGTTCGTTCGGATTAGAATCATGTGAAGCGCTTAACAATTGTCCGGAAGGAAGATATATGTGGTAGATTCTCCGCTAATTTGTTTGATTTTTGGCACAGCTTTTCATCTATGTTTCGATACTGGATTTCTATTCGGTTTCGTTTAATCACAAGGTCCGGTTTGCAGAGCATTAAGTACTCGGTAGATCATTAAGTTTGCGCTTTGCCATAGCTGCCAACGGGCGGCCTATAAACGGCTGGCAGAAAGGACACCTGAGTCCGGTTGAAGGCATACTTTCGCTTGCCGATGTTCTTGAGTACGTTTTCCATGCGAGTGCCCTCACTGAAGAGAAAAGAGAACAGTGAACAATGAAGTGAAGTCAAGAACAGATTTCGCGACTCACCTCCTCATCGTGCTGAGGGCGTAGGGCACATGCTTGGCCGGCAACTGGAACTCGCGCACCAGGACGCGACATTGCTCCAGGGTCACCGCCATACCGGTGCGATCCTTGGCGCTTTTGCAGGAGGTGAACCGCAGCCCGTCCATCAGACGGCAGGCATCCTCGGCCAAATGCAGAATCTTCACATTCTTAGACACATTGGCCCGCAGCTGCTGCTCCATCAGGCCCAGCAGGGAGCGCAGCGACTCCCCAGACTCGACAGAGCCGAGACCCAGCTTGCGGTAGCGTCCAAAGTACCTGCTCAGCACCAGGTAGTTGTCCCAGTTGGAGCGATGTTGCTCCCGCGTCTGACCCAGGGTCTCCGCAAAGCTGGCCTTCTCGTTGATGCCGATGTTGAAGAAGACGGGCGTGACCTTGAACGAAATGGAGGAGGAGGTACCATTGCCCGGCAGCGAGTGCTCCGGCACTGGCAGCTGCACCTCCAGTGCCTGTCGGGAGCCCGTGATCCGTGGCATCGGCGCCAATGCGGCATCGCCCTGCGCCCGCACCAGCTGGAAGCTAACGGCCGACAAGTCCTCAATGGCAATGCACATGTCGCTCCACATGTCCGCCTCGTTGCCATAGAGGGTCAGCAGGCCCTCGAAGTAGGCCAGTGGTCCCAGATCCCGCAGCATCACCAGATAGCCCATGTCCAGCTCGCTGCCCCATAGCCGAAGCATCAAAGCGGTGACCAGCGAGGTTAACTGAAAGATACACAAAGAGAAGATCGTGGAGTGACCGGAAGGGATTCAGATTCATTAGAAAATCATCCTTACCGCCTGGGAGAAGCACACGTCCCGGCGGTACATGATGCTCGCCTGGAGCCGGTTGCAGCGCACGTCCTGCTGCAGCCTCTGCACGGAGTGTATCAGCCGGGCGGTCTTCAGCAGACGGTCCATGGCATGGCGCAGCTTGCGCATGCTGGGCCGCAGCTCTGCCTCCCAGTCGGTGGTCAGCGAGAGATCCAGGCCGTCGGTGAACTTGTTGCCCTTCTTCTTGATGGCCGGCATTGCGTCTTCCTCCGGCTCCAGCTTGGGAGGTGGGGCCACGATCACATCGGGTGCCTGCTGTTGTGGGGCCACAGTGAATCCCTCCCTCCGCTTGGCCGGAGCCTTGGGCTGGCGCAGCCGGATGGCCGGACTGTCGCAGTGGCCGCAGAAGAACTTTAGCTTGCTGACCAGACACATCACGCTCGCCTCGATGTTCAGCTGGGTGAGATCCAAAGGCTCCGGCTCCTCCGTCGGCCGATAGTAGTTGGCCGAAGGCGAGGAGCTCATCAGTTTGGTGTCCAAGAATCCAGCCGGAGGATGCTGTTGCTGCCGGCGCTGACTCCGACCTATTTCGTCCAGGTCGACCAGCTGCACTGGCGAGGGAGGAGCTGCACTGGCTGCAGCTAAAGTGTCCGTGTCGTCCGTGTTCCACGTCACTGGCAACGACTGATATGTGGATTCCTCCTCATCGGGCTTGGCCCCGCCCTGCTCCAAGCTGCGCAGGTGGTCGTTGTAGGACTTCACCACATGTTGCAGCGAGTCAATGGCCCGAATGTCCAGGGAGCTGCTCGGAGAGTGCCAGCTGTTGGAGCGCATCAAAGCCAGCTGGTGGTTGCGTGGCCAGAGATCTGGCGGAGCAATTACCGGCGTGGCAAAGTCCTCCAGCTCCGGGGACTTGAGCTCCAGGGCCGTCAGCTGCTGGGTGATTTTGCGGAAGGGCGACATGGGCTCCATCAGCACGTTCTCCGGCTCCTCGATGATGCGATGGCGCTCGATGAAGGCCACGCCCTCCTCCACGATGCTGGGCTCCCAGATGGAGAGCAGGGTGCGTGTCAAAGCCACCATTTGGTTGCACAGCGGCATCATATCCTTGGCGCTGCGCCGCCTGGCCAGCTGCAGGAGCTGCGACATCAGCTCTACGATCTCCTTGCGCAGCTGCTTGGTGGTCTGGACGGCATCGTTGGCCGTCTGCACCTTGCAGGCCTCGCTCTGCTCCAGCTTCCAGGATTTGCTCTCCTGCAGGAGTCTAAAGGAGGGGGAGGGGGGGGAATAAAAATTAAGGATAATGATTCGTTGAATCCTTGAAACCTACTTGATCAGGCCCCCGCACTTCTGTCCCTTGGGATCGTGACGCGTAAAAGCGCCCACGGTGATCACGTCGAGCAGGCCCCGCCTCTGCAGCGTGTCGTTTTGGGCCCACATCCGTTGGACATGCAGGTTGACCGGCAGAAACTCGAGCGCCTCGTCCGCCTTGGCCGAGGAGCGCTTGAAGAAGACACCGTCGCGGGCCAACTGCTGGATATTCTGCTTCGCCTGCGAGTAGTCCTTGAGCAGGCGCAGATGCTCCTCGAGCAGATTCATCTGGCGCCAGCGCCACTCGCCGCTCAGCTCCCCCATGCCGGAGATCTCCTGCAGCAGCTCCTTCTCCCGCTGAATCCAAATGGAGAGCAGCTGCTGGGGCAGCACACAGCACAGCCGCGACTCCAGCAGCGTCTCCTGCACACTGATGTCCGCCCCCCCCAGGGAGGAGTGCAGCCGGTAGGTGCGCATGCGGGGATTGGAGCACACCCTCTGGAGGCCACATTGCTGGGGAACGAACAGGCGCACGCTCAGCTTCGGCGGCAGCGACTGGGTGCGACGATGGGCTGTGTGGAGGAGGAGTTCTTTGCTTATTAAAATTCCCAGAATGGGTGCTTCCTACTTACCTCTTCTGCTGCTGGCGCTCCCACTACTGACCGTATCAAAGAGCTGGGTGCTGGAGCGCGGTGGACCATGGCCACCACTCTGGCCGGGCTCCATGGCAGCGGCGACCACCAGGTCCGGTGACCAGGAGGTCAACGTGATAAAACCACAATCGTCGCCGCGAGGCGAGGTAAGCGGCATGCGCAGACGTGTGGTGTCCTGGATGGCACCCAGGGCCACCTCGGCGTGACCCAGCGGCAGGGCTGTGTGCGTCAGCCTTTCGCGCACGTCCAGCACGCTAAAGCGGAGACGTGTGGCCGCCGAGAAGTTGGCGCTGCGCTGAAAGCGCATTGTGCACAGGAATTGGGGGCTGCGCGTATGCTCCTGATACTCGGTGCGGGCATGCTCCCGCCAGAAGCACTCCTCATCCCCAAGGCCACTCGTCACCAGCAGCGAGCAGACCACCTGGGGATTGGGTGATCGACCCAGGGCGTTCACTGGCAGGCTATCACAGCAGAGGGCCGTCTCGCAGATGGGCAGCTCCGAGAGATCGAGTTCTGTAAGAGAAAAGCAGGAGCACGGGGGAGGGGGTGGGGATGGGTTTAATAATTAATTAATAAATTAATAATAAACAACAAAACACATGATTTAACGTTGAAATTCATAAGCAAAACAAAGTTTATTCAAAGAATAAATTCCATCCCTTTCTTTCTCCTTTTGGAAATGATTAAATTCAACAATCACACATCCTTCGAACCAATTTTGCTCGAATTGATTAGATTCTATGTACAAACAATACAATATATAATAGATAAAGCTGGATAAAGCCAAAATGTCGTGTTTAATGACCATTAACCGGATGAGCATGCGCATGAGTCAAGTGTTTAGGTGTTTTTGGGAGAGCCATAAAAGATATCATTTATAATTCCAGCCGTGATTCAACTATGCGAGGAGGGTCAGGGTCTCCTGCTTTGGTCTTGCAAGAAACTTATAGCAACACCACGAAAGAGAGCGAGAGCAGATGACTCGGTGTAAATAATTAAATTCGGTTTTTAAATGAAACTAAAACGAAAACCTTCTTCCTTCTTATTTTTCATCTTGATCTTCTGCCCGGCTTTCCTTGGTTTGTTTTTGGGGTTTTGCTTTTGCTTTGGTTTAAAACTGTATAAGATCACCTTCAAAGGGGGCCGCTGTCGTTGCCGAGACCTCAACCTCTTCTTGCTCCTGCGGCTGCTGATCCTCCAGCGACATGGGCATGCCCAGATCAATATGATTGCCCATTCTCACGGACTGGCAGCGGGTCTTGGCCGCTATCTGTTCCCTTAGCTGGCGTATGTGCAGGTTTAGCTTCTCGTTGGAAGCATCTTCGATGCTAGATACCCAGGCGAGCCGTTCCGCCGATGTGTACGTAATGAAGCGCTCCGAGATGCTGTCCTTAAAGTCTGACAAAATAAATGATTATAAAAATAAGAGAGAAGGATAGAGGGATCTGCGCTGCAGCTCACCTAGATCGAAGATATAACCCTCGGGATCGCGCTCTTCATTATGGATGCGGGGGCGACAGTTCTCCAGGACCAGAACGCCAACCACAGCCGATTTGGGGTCCCTGTCCTTGAGGTAGAACAGTAAATTGCCACGTAGCTTGCACCAGCGCTCAACGCGGACTGTGGGGGGCAAAGTGAAGTGCATAAGCCAAGAGCAGAAAGCAGGATTGTATGTGCGTATGTGGCGGATGTGTAATCAAGGCCACATATGTTTATATATAGATATATTTATGGCTTGGGATAGGACGGTTGACTAACCGCTTATCTCGTACGTATGTACGTACCTTCGCTGCTGCGCCACAGGAAGCCTTCTTGGCGGTCGCTGAAGATGAGCAGGCCCTCCTTGTCGAATCGGGTTGCTGAATTGCTGGCAAGCGAGTTTAGCTCCGACTTGTTAAGGCGCATGGCTCTCTGCATTGAATGAGTAAAACCCAATCCATTAGACGCAGCAGTAATAATAATAATATAGCCCACAGATGGGCACACATCCGCACATCGCATTATTTATTCACGGCAATTACACGCCACGCTCAAGATATGTACATATGTACATACATATGTACGTGCCTTGGACGGCGGAGAAAGTGGCGGATGCGGATGTGGGCGTGGGCTTTGCATTGTATGTGTCAAGAGTACAGATACATACCTCCAACTCCTACTCCCTGCTCCTGCTCCTGCGCCTGCTCCCCCTCCCTTGCTGCGACCTGCGACCTCGTTACAGTCTTATTGTTATTGCTTTTGCTTCGTTGCTGCCAAGCTGCTGACGTCCTCTCACACTGCCTACTGGTGCTGCTGCTGCTTCCGCTCCAAGGAGCTGTCACATCCAGGAGATGTCGGTCGGTTGCTCTGAGCCGTTCCAATGATTGTTTATTGTACTGAGATTGTGTTTAGATTAGTTCAGTTGAGCCCCTGACCAGTGTGACCGCGTTCCAACTGTGTTAGGGGTGGAACTTTGGCTCCCTAATATCGAAAAGAGAGAGGAGTGATTTTAGCTTATCGATTTATCGATATCACTTTGATGTTTCCTCCAGCTCAATTCCATTCCATTTCACGTTGCCTTTCAAAGACTTGACTTTAATTTCAAACAAGTGTCGTGGAGAGCGGTTAAAGCCGAGGATAATGACAGAAAAATACAGAAAGCTGCACCAGCAGTTCCTCTGCTGCTATCCCGTTAACAAAATGGCCTGGTCTGTGAGTATTCGTAGTCGGTTTGCTTGGCCACCTGTTGAATCTAATCTCCAGCAGCCGTCGCCTTGTTCCCGTTTCAGTCCGTCAACCTGCCGTTGAGTTGGGAGGAGCAGCAGGCCCTCATGGACGCCACATGTCGCCATCCGCTGAATCGGCGCTATCCGGTGCGGCGTAGCTACGTGGAGGCCTTTATCAAGCAGCTGATGCATTTACTCAAGGACCAGGACGAGGTGCACGACGACATATACGGCAGCCTGTGCAACCGGATGGCCGAGGGTTCGGATTCGGGCACGGCTTATTCCTACAAACACTATATCCTGCAGCCGGATGCCTGCATCACGCTCCGCGAGTCCAATAGCTTTGTTAGTGAAGGCACAACGGGATTGTGCACCTGGGAGGCTGCGCTGGCCCTGGCCGATTACCTGGTGGAGCATCCCGATCTGGTGCGCGGCAAAAATGTTGTGGAGCTGGGCGCTGGAGCTGGATTACTGGGCATCCTCTTGAAATTGCCGGCCATGTCGATGCAGGCGAAACAGGTTCTCATCACCGATGGCAGTGAGCCGTGCGTCCAGTTGATGCGCGAGAATATAGCCCTGAATTTCACGGATTCAGCGGCGGAGCAGGCGCCAAAAGCAGAGCAACTGCGCTGGGATGCAATTAGCGAGTTCCCATGGCAGGATTATGCTGAAACGGATCTGCTGCTAGCCGCCGATGTGATCTATGACGATTCCCAGTTCGATGCTTTGCTGGGCGCCATGGATTACTTCTACACGAGGCGGGGCCGTCAGCTGGAAATGCTTCTGGCCAGCACTGTGCGGAATGTGGACACGCTGCATAAGTTTATGACCAAGCTGCGTAAGTTAATAAATCAAAAAATTAAAACAAAAAAAATGTATGATTAAATATAGGCTAACTTTGGTGATATTTTGTTGAAGTCGAATTATTTCCCACTTTTTTACGTCCAAAGAAAAACCAATTAATAATATTATAAGATGCGTAACGCCAGCTAAAATAATATTATTTCCATGCTTATTTCTACCGCATTTATGAAACTATTATTTTTAAATTCGATTTGAGTGATTGTTAATTGATTTTAAATTTTAAATTGATTATTTGGGTTTCTTTTTCCTTTTTTTTTGCAGGCATTTGCAACTACAAGGTGACTCCCTGCGCGAATGTCTCTGCTTGTGCCAGCCACTTTTGTCGCGATCACACAGCCGCCGTTCAGGTTATCTCCATTAGACGCTACTCTTAGCCCCCTTAAAATAAACCGATAATAAAATAACGAAGACCACTATCCACTATCTGGGAATCTCACTTAAGAACTTGATTGTTCAACTGTTTGTCTTGAACTTATTCAGGATTCACCGTCGGAATAATGTATTTTTTCTCTCTTTATTATACAGAATTCATATCTTTTTCTTGGCAATGCTTTGGCAGGTCTCTCCCAGAGCTCCCTCATTTTAGATGCACAGGTGTCCAGGGTATTCGCTACTCACTGGCTGATGGTGGGTATGGTGCCGTCGTTCAGCCAGCGGACATTGAGCTGCTCGATCTGATGATTCATAAAGATAATGCCGTACAGCTCGTACTGGATGTCCAGGAGGAGGGCGCGGTGCGTCCGCGGTACCTTCATGCCCACAATCAAAGCCAGCAGCGAGCTAATGATCATAAAGACGAACCCCTGGGCCACCAGGATGCTCGAGTCGGTGGCATAGAAGTAGGAGTTCTTGGCATCCGAAACAAAGTACAAGAACACGATGCTGGTGCTGACCAGCTTGAAGATGTACGAACAGCACACGACGCACTCGGTGAAGCGCAGGTGGGTGACCTCCAGCAGAGCTATCTGCTGGCTGGAGTAGGACAGTCCGAAGAGGACCAGTAAGAGCCAGAGCGACCATCGGGAGTCCGAGACACTGCACTGGATCATGGCCACCAGGGTGAAGAGTACCAGCGCCATCTGGCCAGACACAAAGGTGACCTTAACCGAGAGGAACCACTGGCAGAGGGGGGCCAGAAGGCTGCCAGCAAAGATTGCCCAGAACATGCCGTCAATGCCGGAGAGTTCCGTCAGCCGAACAGCCTCGTTCAGGCTGAACCAGTAGATGAAGTACACAAAGAGGGCGAACTGAACAGCCTCCGTGAAGAGCACCAGCAGCATCATGTTCCACGCCTGGTTCTTGGTCACGTAAAAGAACTGCAGTCGCTTGATCACCTCCGAGCGCGCCTCGAAGATGCTGCCGTTGGAGTTGGCTATCCGCAACTCGTTGTCCAGACTATTAACCAAATCCACAGTACCCAGGAAATGGAGCACCTTCTGGCCCACTAGGATAGCCAGCATAGCAGCCGTTACACTCAGGTAGGTTCCCGCAAAATTCACATACAGATCGTCGGTTAGTTGCTCCGCCGTCGGTGTCTGTCCCGCCCACTGTTTCACATTCCTGCTGTAGGTGCCAACGATCAGGCTTACCGCCGAGGCGACGCCCAACAGGTAGCAGCTGCAGCTGGCCGAGAGCATGGCCGAGCGGCTGGCCTTGGAGCTAATGGTGTGCAGGAAACTGAAGCCGGCCACAAAGGTCATGCTGTGGGCCACATACGAAATGTATGCCCCGACGTGGTCTGCAAGGGTAAAGATATAGGTTATTAGTGCAAAAAAGGGCCACTTTTTAAGAATTTGTTGTGGCAAAATGGCTAAAGTAAGAGTAATGAATTAAATACCATAAAATAACACAACATTTAAATAATTTTTACAAAAATTTAGAAGTATGGAAGTTATAGGAAATCTCTTATTATCAAATTTGAAAGTCAAAATCCAGAATTTTGACTACGAATTTAAGTTAATTTGTAAAATAAAAAATATAATAATATAATAAAATTAAAAATTATTTAAAAAAACTAAAGTATCTGTAGAATTAGTTAAAGAAGTTATGTCCTAAATTTTAAAACGATTGGCTGAGTAGATTTTGAATTCTTTAAACTTTTTGATACTCATACATAGACCACCGTAGGACCCGCATAACTTCGTCAATTTTGATATGATCGATGTGAAACTCTGATAAAATATTCCTAAGATATTGGGCATTAATAATAAAAGATACAAAAAGAAAAAAATTAAATACTAAACCCCCCCTTAAGGCATCAATTATAATAATATTTTCCTATATCTGATACCTACTAGGATCTTGACCTGCTTGCGGCTGGGTTAGGCTAATCTTATCTATACTTATGACTCACCAAATCCATCGGCAAAGTAAAAACAGCTGGCAATGAGATTGAAGGCACCTGCGACGAGGAGCAACCATGATTGCCAGTAGACAATGCACTTTTTCACATATTTAACCGTTAGCATGGCCACGGCTGTGATTGCTGCACAGCAGGCACCCAGGATCAGGGGTCCATAGTAGGTTAGACCCATCGCCTGCTCGTTCCGTACCGCCACAAAGGCGCAGATCGTGTAGCCGAAGATCATGCCGCAGGGTAGGAAACTGAGGCAAACTGGAGGCCAAAAAATAGCTTGCAGTTAGATCTCCTCCGTTAGGGTGAGGGCGATGACTCACCCACATAGCTGGGCGCATACTTGAAGAACTGCAGCACCAGCTTGCCCCACATATTCGCCATCTTTCTGTTGAGGATTTGAGGATCGTCCAGCGGGTGTTATCCAAACTTGGAGCATACAGCTCAGAGCATTTTAGCGCGTAGTTGAGGGGAAAATGACAACAGACGCAGACGCGAATCGGTCAGAAGTTTGTCGGAGAAGTCAGCGACTGCGGCAAAAAGGTGGCTAAGCTAAGTGATTAGATAAGCCACCAGCACCCAGGCACACTACCAACACCACCAGGTGGCCATGTGTGGCTACACGGGGCGAAAAAGTCTTTTTATTTGGGATTTTGTAGGTCAAGCTGTAAGAAAAAGGCGAGCAGTGGTGCCCAAGGATCTGAAATCATAAAAATCAGTTTCAAAATTATAATTTTATGATTAAAACTCAAGCTTAAGAAATGGATTTATACCAGCATTTTTTTTATTAATCTTTTAAAAAGTGTTTCCTGCTTATATCTAGCCCCTTTGCTATATCTTACTCATGTTTATATTTTAGAGTCTAGATTGTGTGGACTGCAGATGCTCATCTCTGAAATAGTAGAATGCCCGTTTGACCATTGCCTCGATAAAGGGCTCATTAAGGCTTAAAAACTAATCTTAAATGGCCAAGACTGATAGGGAATTCGGGCTATCAAACGTCCGGTTGGCGCTAGGGAGGGTGGAGGTACACATACATATTTTATCGCTCGTTGGGAAGGGGTTGGGCTGGCGATTAAAATAAGAGAGCAAAATGTACATACATATGTAGGCGCTGCTTCTTTTGGTTTGTTTACCTTTGAGCGGAACTTTGATTTTGGCCGAGAGCGAGCCGGAAGCGAGAGCAAAAGTTAAGGTGGTATTTAGCTTTCAAGATTATGGAGCTCTCTTGGGTTTGGGGTGGGATTTAAGGAATATGGTGATGACAAAAGCAAGGGGTGTAATTTTAATATTAAAAGATAAAGTAAAAAAGATTACAAAATATAATTATAATATATAATATAATTATAATAATTAAAAATAAGTGTATATTAAAAAACCCTATTTTCGAAATTTAAATCAAGCTTATCATTCCATTTTTTTTTGTTAATTATACATTGAAAATACTTAAAAATTTAGAAACTAAAATTTTATTTTACATAATGTATATAGAAATAATAGAAAATAATATTTAAAGTTTATTTCTGTTAATTTTTAAATTAAAAAAAAAAATATCTATTATTTCCCAGGCCCATCTCTACTCCAGAACCTCGGCTCTGGACCCCTGGATGGATTCTTTCCGATTAATCGAATATTGAGGGATGCGTGATACCAGCCACAGCGAGTCCAAAGCTCAGGTTGCATAAGCTTAAGCGTCCTCCCAGAGAGAATGAGAGAGTAACAGCCGGCTTCTGCGCCTGTGCTCTTCCCGGGTAACAGTTCCCTCGTCCTTCGTCCTGTGTTCCTTCGTCCATCGGTCACGGTGCTTATCTTGTACTTTTGGCCCCGGCCTTATCCCAGGCTTTTGCTATCGCAACTAAACTGAACCGAAATCCACAACTACAAATATTGGGACACGGAGCCGGGGAGCCAGATGAAGCTGTGTGACTGTGATTAAAAATCAGGCATCCCGGGATTCCGGATGCTGTGTGGTAGCCGTGGGCCGAGCTAGCAATGGTATGCAAGGGAACCAGATGCACCAGAGCCATCGTCATTGCCACCTCCCGCGTAACGGTATATATCACTCGGTCTAGTCATGTTTGTGATGAGCATCTGGTGCAGCAGCCTCAGCCTGAGCAGCCGCAGCCTGGCCATTGCCATGGTGGCCTGCGTCGCCCTGCTCTACTTCTCCTATAGCTTCAATGTCTGCCTCCTGGCGAGCATCAGTCGCTGCTTGCAGCAGGTGAGTTTGGGGGGGGGGTATATTACCGGAAACCAAACACATCGATTAACAGCCCTTCAGTGTTAATTCTTTGATTTAAAACGACAAAATGCAAATTAAATTTGAAATCAAAGCATTTTGTATGCTAGAAAGGGTTTATTTTGGGCCTCAATTTATTTTAATTAAATAATTAAATAATTGATATAAAAAAATTAAGAAGAGAAGCAAACTTTGAGAATTTGAGGTTTGTGTACCCTTACCAATTGTAATTTGAGGAGACCGCTACTATGACTAAGGATATATGCGAATATGTTGAAAAAATAACAACGTTTTAGCAATTTTAATAGTTTTTCCTATTAATTTAGCATCGTTTCTAAAACTTCCACCCAACGCAACCTAAAATAATTGATTGCATACTTTTGGACACTTGTTTTAATAGATTTTACAATTTCCTCCTTAAGGCGCCCATTTAACCAAAAAGCTCAACAATTTTTCTGTGATAAATGGTTTATAAGGATAAATAGGATATATAGGACTCTATTTTGACGATTTTTCTTTAAAATTGTTAACACAGAGCAACATTCGCAATCTCCTGGCGCTATCCTCCTCCACCCACAACGAGAGCACTGAATCGGGTGGCAGCAGCAACGGGAGTACCAGCAGCGGTAACAGCTCCACGACCAGCACGAGAGGACCTCCGGTTCAGACTGTGACCGTTCAGACTGGTGGTAGTCTAAATGGAGCGGCGCCCAAATATCAGATGCTGCGGCCACAGGGACTCCGGCCATCGCGCCACCTGCCCGACACCCTCATCATTGGCGTAAAGAAGAGCGGAACCCGAGCGCTATTGGAGTTTATCCGATTGCATCCGGATGTGCGAGCCGCCGGCTCCGAGGTGCATTTCTTCGATAGGCACTACCAGAGGGGTTTGCGCTGGTATCGCCATCACATGCCCTATACCATCGAGGGACAGATCACCATGGAGAAGACGCCCAGCTACTTTGTTACCAAGGAGGTGCCGCAGCGTGTCTACCACATGAATCCGGAAACTAAGTGAGCCCTGTTCCTGTACCCATAGTTCATCCCTAAAGATTATTTCCTCACGCTAGACTGCTGATCGTGGTGCGGGATCCGGTGACGCGGGCCATCTCTGACTACACGCAGGCGGCCAGCAAGAAGGCGGATATGAAGCGTTTCGAGCAGCTGGCCTTCGTCAACGGCAGCTACTCGATGGTGGACACTAACTGGGGCCCCGTGAAGATCGGTGTGTATGCCCGCCACCTGGAGCGCTGGCTCCTCTACTTCCCCCTGTCGCAATTGCTCTTTATCAGCGGCGAGCGACTGATTATGGATCCCGCCTATGAGATCGGCCGCGTCCAGGACTTTTTGGGACTGAAGCGCGTCGTCACCGAAAAGCACTTTTACTTTAATGCCACCAAGGGCTTTCCCTGCCTGTTCAAGTCGGAGGCCCGCTCCACGCCCCACTGCCTGGGTAAGACCAAGGGACGCAATCATCCGCACATCGATTCGGGGGCCATCGAGCGACTGCGTGACTTTTATCGGCCCTTCAACGACAGGTTCTACCAGCTGACGGGCATTAACTTTGCGTGGCCCTGAAAGGAGCCTAGGATCATGAAGGCCAGTCACAAGGAGGTGAGTGTTGGTATTAAACTAATCTAAACTTAACCTAAACTTTTCAGATTGTAGGGCATTTAAAAAATTAGTTGTTTTTGAAATTCTGTTTAAAAACTATCTATCTATGTGGGAAAAGAAGGGCTAGCAATTTAAATTTATTGTCGTTACGCATATTTGTTATATGGTCTTTCAGACAGGAATCTTTCGCCAACAAAAATGTAAAGGTTTTGGATATGTATAAATAGTTTTGTGATAGCTTTAAGATCAAAGATGTATTTCAAAAGTTTTGTAAAAGGTCTTTTGCTTTTTGGTCTTTAGAAGACCCCAAAAAAACCTAATTTTTTGAAAAATCAAAACTTTAATTAATTATAATATAGACAAAACAGCATTTTAATTCCGAAATCTTCTCTGAATATATTTAATACTACTACTATAAATAAAAACGATTTGTTCCTAATCGCTTTTTCTTTTATTTTCAGAATTGACCTGCGGATCCATACAATTAAAATGCAGCTATAGAAAAAAAAACAAAACGAGAAGTTGTGGACTGATATTGTTGAATGCATTTTTTATACATACATATTATTATTGTACTTACATACATATATATACATATATAAAAGACACACACTTAGGATTAGCGATCAGATATAATTGTAGCTTTATGAGGACAAAGATACATAACGGTTCCTTTCTTCTACTCGAAATTGAAAAGCTTCAAAGTCAAGTCACTTTCACCATTTCACACACTAATCTCTCTCTCTCACTACTCGAAGGGCAAACGCTGTACTGAACGTGCTATATATACTATATATACGTATACCTAGATAACCGTAATTCTTGAAATGCAATTATTTACATACATACATACCTATATAGTGTGAACCAATAGAGCTTACAACGAAATTCCTACAGCCTCGCAGCATCCGCAGTTTCCGTAAGATTAAACACAACACAACAAACATAAATGCATACATTACGTACATACATATGACGACTATATAATATGTAGTTTCCAATGTTTTCAATTGCATGACTTAACCTATGTAATTGCTTAGCTAATTTCAATCAAAAAAACAACCTAAATAAAACGATTTTAGCTAAAAATTAAACCCAAATGAGCTAAATTATATTATTTCCTCACTCGAAAGACCGAAAACTGGAGTGGAAATCGGTCCTTGGTCTGGGATTTCTCGTTTATCGTAAGCGCGGGTCAGTCTCTAGGTTCCATCCGATACGATATCCGGCCGAATATCGTAAACTTTGATAAAAAAAATAAATAAAACCATTGGTTATATACATTTTTTGCGAATTTATTGAATTAATTTTGGGTTTCACTTTGTATTTGTTGCTTGTCAGCCACATTTTGTGATAATTTCTTTGTTGCTTTGAAGGTCTTTAGGGTTCCTTTTGTCGCTTTAAGTACAATTTGATTAATTAACTTGCGGTGGTTTGTGGTTTTTGTTTGCCTTTAGGTATCCAACATATTGTACATATTGTGTAGTTGTTTGCTGCTGATCTTTGCCTATTTGGGGTTGTGAATCTTATTAAAAGTATGCGACTACAGCTAGGGGGTGAGGTGATTGATTGATCGTAAAAGTAATTTGGTTACAACGAACTAAGCGAGAATAACTTAGGTAACTTATGGATAGGGTGTGTGTGTGTGTGTGCCTAAAACTAGACAGCTATGGTTTCTTTGATTTTATTACAACATTTTTATATATTACAAGGTAAGGCAGCACGTCATCGTGATTGGGAGAGGTTGCTGGGCTGCCCGCTATTGCTGCAGCTGCTTCTCCTACCCCCTCGCGTCCTGCCCCCGAATTTGACCCCAGCACCGCCTCCGATTTGGCCGTCTGCAAACGCTTCTCACAATAGAGACTACCCACTGGCTTGGCCATTGGTGCTGCCAGGCTCTTGGTGGACGCCGACACTGCCGCCTGAGGATCTGCATCGGCGCTCGAGTGGCGCTTGAGGAATGTCATGGGTGCAGCCGCCTGCCGGCGCTCCGTGACTGGAAACTTGTTCCGCGTGCAGCTCAAATCAAATTGCACCGGATAGAAGCGCCCGGAAGCGTTTCGATCCTCGTTCCACAGCCTGGAATCCGATGCACTTGATCCTGGTACTGCTGCAACTACCCCAGGTTCCACCGTCGCCGCCGCAGGCACATCTGTTTCGTCTGCACCTTTGCCATCGCACACATCCTCGCCGGGATCTTCGTGGCCGTCGTGATCGTCGTCTGTGGCGGACATTGAACTTTCCGTGTCGTCGATGTGTAGCCGTTGGCGCTCGGGTATTACTTTCGGTTGGGCAGGCGGCGAGGGCTTGAATAACCTGGGTGACTGGTCCATGAGCAGGTTCTCCCAGCTGGTCTCGTACACGCTGGCCAGTTGGGCCGCCGGCTTGGGTTTCTGGCTCATCGCCTTGTACATGGCGGGCGTTGGCGCTGGAGGTACGGGGGCGACGGCCTCCGCCTTATCCTCCACATTCATCTTTCGCGCTCCGATTATAAGCTGCGGCTCCACGTAAAACGAGTCAAAGTTCAGGTCCAGGAAGAGCTCCTGCAGAAAGCGACGGGCACTCATGCGGTAGCTGCTCCTGCCCAGTGTCTTGCAGGACTCGGAGTAAAGGCATATGTCCTGCAGAGAGAGAGAAAAGAGGATTAGAATCGATTTAAGAACAGGAAATCTATCCTGTTTGACGACTCACCTGAAAGGCATGCGGATGCTTCTGCTTGAGCTCCAGCAGCGCCATTTTCGACTGCTTGGCACTCACGGGATTCGCCAGGCGCTGCACGTTGTACAGAATGGAGGCGGTCAGTCTGTCCAGGGCGTTGTCTTCGCTTAGCATGCTCTCCGGCGAATGGAAGCTAATGTCCGCACCCAGCGTTGTGGCCAGCCCAGCAGCTCCTGGAACGGGAACAGAGGAGCCATCCCTTTTCATCGCCGTACTGTTGTTGTTGTTGTTGTTGTACAGCTCGCAAGGGGCAAGGGATGCACCCCCTCCGCCAGCACTGCCATTGTTCTGATCGGGATGCCGCTGCTGTCGGGGATAGCGAGCACAATGGAGGCACTGGCTCCTCGCATGCTTGGCACTCTGCTGCCACTGGTGTTTGGTTGCCGACGAGACGTCCGACAGCGAGGATATCACCGAGGACTCGTCACCGCCCTCGTTGGTCAGTGAATCGTTGAGGAATTGGTGGCGTCCAATGCTATTGAGCAGATTGATGCCCACCAGATCCTGGTCCTGGATGTCGCGCGACACGTACGTTCGGCTAAGGTTGCGCGTGGGAAAGAGATCCAGCACGTTCTTGGGCAGGCAGATGCCCGAGTAGCAGGGCCCCTGCAGATCGTTCTGCGGCAGGAACTTGGGAGCATTTTGCGTGGGCAGGAGAACGTTCAGCTCGTCCGCGGAGAGGCGCCTGCCGGGAACACAGATTCAATATTGGGACTAAGGTTATAATATGGGGGAAACCCACCTGTACACCTCGTTGAGCATGGGCTGGCGGTCCAGGCTTCGCACTTTCAGCCGCCGATGGGGATGGGTCCAGTCGTGCTTGCGCATCTGCACCTCGGGCACATCGGCGATCTTGCAGAATTCCGCCGCAGACTCCGAGAAGACCGGTCGGCTGTGTGCACGCAGGGAACGCAGCTGGGCATAGCCCTTCATCGCCATGGGACTGAGGGCAGCGGAGGGCTGCAGGCTGGTGGCCAACTGGTGTCGACGAAGCAGTTCGTCGCTCTCCAGCAGGTTGGACATGCTGGGAATCGGGCTTAAAGGAAACTGTTGGTACTCGCTCATGTTGGCCGCTGCTGCGGCGGCGGCTGCTGCAGTGCGTCCGGTCACAGACTCACAGCTGCTTACGCCCGACGTATTTGAATCCGTGCAAGAGTTGTACCGGATGCGGTGCTGATATGGAGTGGGATAAAGACCCGATCCCGTTCCCGTTCCTGCTCCTGGTGTCGTCGTGGCTCCTCCCAGCAAGCTAATCACATCCGTGGTCTTCGACTCGGAGAGAGAGCGTTGGTGCTTGGACGTTGGGCGCAGGTTGCTACCCTCGGGCAGGGTCTTTGACTTGGCTGCCACTCCACTGATGGGTAGCATTCTGCTGGGATGCACTTCATCCAACGTTGTGCGAACACTGTCCGTGGTCGTGGTGCTGTTTGGGTCATGCCCCGTGGGACCCATCGTTCTACTCCCAGATACCGTAACGCCGCCAGCGCCACCCGACTCTATTTGCTCGGCAATGGAGTTCCAATAGTCGGAGCCCGTCAAGTAGAATCCATCGATCTGATCCTCCAGCATCGTCAGATTGTAGGCCGGCAGCACGTCCTCGTAGTAGTGGCGCACTGGCGTATACTGATTGGAAATCCAGTCCTCCGGCTGGTGCACTGGCCACATGGTGTTTCTGTCGTGTCGAACGCACAGCCAGTCTGTGGAAGGTGAATAATAAAGTTGAATCAATGACAGGTGTGACCTTAGACATATCCTATCCCCCTGCATGTGGCAAGCGAGAAACTCGTATCCCAGCCTGCAATTGGAACATCATTTCTACAATAATTTCCCAAGATGAGTCCTTTTTTGAGTCGTTGAAATGTTAAAAAAGGGTTTCATATGTAAACCAACCATTACGGCGTCTTAAAGAACTGTTCTGTTTCATTAAAATGCTGGCTGGGATAGAATTCTCTAGGGATACCTTTCATCGCATTTGAAAAAGTAACTTACTCAATTTGAAGAGGATATTGGCACCCGCCTGGGTGCCGGCAATGAGTCCCAAGGCGCTGAAACAGGTGGCCCGCACCGAGTAAACCTCACACTTGGTCACCAGCACAATGAGCTTTTCATAAAGCCTGCATAATAAAGAATTACTCAGTAATATGCTCAGCTGTTTTATAAACAATAACTCACCTGGAATTCAGCTCCAAAAAGTATTCAATTCCGTTGGCATGGGTTGAGGCATGAGCCAGGGCCCAAATGGCCGCCTTCAAATCCAGGCATTCGGCATCGTCGGTGCATTTGGCGCGGGTGAGCACCTCCAGCAACTGGGGCAGATCACCGTGCTTCCTCAGGGCGGACATTCCCTGGCCGGTCTGCGCCATCTGGCCATAGAGATGCGGCGCAATGTTTGGCGGTACCGTCTGTGGTCGCTGGTTGCAATTGCGCCGCGAATAATAGCCGTCCTCGTTGCGGATGTGCAGGGTCAAGCTGGCATGGGTGTCCGCCTCGACGAGGAGCACATAACGCTTGTTGTAGCCATTGCGCCAATAGCGTATCTCTTCCTCGATCCGCGCCATCGTACTGTTCAGGCCGCGGGGCAGTGAGTAGTAGCGGGCCATCAACAGGCGTCCGGCATCGCCGCGCTGCGTGAGATTGGGCCAGCGGCTGACAATCTCTTCGAGGTAATACTTGTCGTGGCAGGCCTCCTCCAGCACCTCCATGGCGGCCAGGACTACGCTACGGTCCGAGTCGCGTGTCTGATGGATGATGAGGGGTATGCCCCAGACCTCAAAGTGCGGCAGGCGGGCACGTAGAAGCACTGCCATAAACTGGGTGGCATACAGGCGGCCATAGCGCGTCTTGGCCGACGTCAGTGCCTTCTCCAGCACCTGTCGCGGCAGCTTCTCGTAGCTATAGTTCAGTCCGGACACAATCAGTTTTACGTAACACACATGATCCGTCACACGAACCAAGTTGATAAGGCTGCAAAAAAGGCGTGGGGAAACTGAGTTAACCTTATCCGAATTATCGGTATGATCTTTCTTAGAAAGCTTGTTTGCCTTCTGTCTAAATGGGATAAACGAAGTGCCTCATTCTTTTAAGAAACAAACTCGATCCACCCAATTTGTACTTACTATTCAAAAACCGTTGTGTTTTTGAGCACTTCAATGCCCTTGGTAGTGCGGCACATGCGTCCGATATATAGGAAGTACTGCTGACACATCGTGTTGTTCATGTGCTGCGGACTAAAGAGGCAGTCATGGGCACGGTTCGATGTGGTAACGGCCGCCAGCTGCTGACTAATGTCCGAGAAATAGTCAGTTATGTAGCGCATACACTCCAGCTGCAATCGAGCAAGAAAAAGCATTGGTACTCAACATTAGAAATCAAATCGAATTCAAACGCCAAGTAAAGATCACTTACCTCGCTGCTGCTTAGTAGGACATCGATCAAGTCTAGCCCGGCACTCACATACGTTGGCAAGCTCTGTCCCGGCACCAGGTCCTGGTGCGAGAACCGATTGTTGCGTGGCTTGTAGAAGTCGACCAGTCGCTTTAGGAATTTACCCAGCGTGTAGTCCAGCTTGCGGATTAAATTCGACTAAGGAGGTCCAAAGAAAAATAAGATAACCTTAGTAAATCATCAATTCTGGCGATCTCCCTTCAACTTGGACTCACCTTTAGTATTGTGGTGATTACGTCCCAGTCCCAGAGGTGTGCATCTGCCTGACTCAGTACCCGCGAATCGGTTAACAGACGATTAAAGGCCCGGAAGTTGTCGAAGAAGGCTTGTGGCAGGAACTTTCGCTTCAACCGGAAACTGGATCTCGATGAGGTGGAGGCCTGCGAGTTGGACTCGTCGCTGGAGGAGACCGAGTCCAGCCGGGAACGATCGAGCGTGGCACGGAATTGACCGACGGCCACGGGTGGGACAACAGATGCGGCCGCCTCTGCCGTATCCTGCAGTTGCAGCACCGGACCCGCTTGCTCCTGAACGTTGAGATGTCGCCGGAACAGACGCGTCTGGATAAGGGCACCGCCCTGTATAATGCTGTCTAGGAACAAGCTGCACGATGCTGGCCGCTGGCGCAGCATTTTTTGGTAGTTCTGTAAGGCAGCCACCGCCGCATTGGCCTGCTGGTTGCCCTGGGTGGCATGCCCCACTAGTGTGGGCAGTGCCGGACTCGTACAGCAGATGTCCGGCGGCAGGTGTGTGTGCATCAGCTGCAGTATCTTGCCAATCAGCACCGTGGCCTGCACCGAGACGAACTGGTCGCTGCCCACGGCAACCTCAACGAGTGCGTTGAGCAGTCCCGTTTCCAGGAAACAGTAAAGCATCAGTGCCAGGTGCTGGTCCACCACATTCGGCGCTCTGGCCGCCAGCGTTGGCAAAATGGAGCGACCTTCGGCGGATACAAAGCCGTTGCTCAGCAGCCACGTGGCCTGGAAGTCCGAGGGGTCCACAGCCTGCAGGGCCACCGCATAGTCATCCGTCCAGGTGGGCTGCGGCAGCGAGAGCAGCTCGTACAGCAAATCCAATATTGCTTTCTATGGGGAATGTAGGCAATCAATAGAGGGAAGAAACACTTGGAGGCGGGTCAACTCACTCTGACTTCGATTTGATTTAAATATAGGGCATCGACTATTGCCTTGAGACCTGAGGGTTTGCTGGGATCACAGAATTCTAGGGTGCCTGTCCAGCTGCGCAGCACGGAGAGCAGGGCCAGGCGACAGCTTGTATAGCGAAGTTCGCGCGCATCTCTGAAAGGGAGAACCATAGTTAGCTCAGTCTTTTCTAATCCTAGCCCTGAGAGACTCACTTGTTTTTATCCATGATACCAAGCCGGTAGGTGAAGTCGCAGTATGGAGCCGCCAGACAGTCGAGCCGCACTCCGCAAATATTCCGCGTCTGCGGCCACTCGAGCAGGTAGAGCAGCACACCACACAGGCTCTCGGCTATCCGGGGATTGTGGCATTCGAGGACGTTCCGTGTGATGGATGTAACGCCGCCGCATACGATCAGAAGCGCCGGATTGAGCACGGCAAACTCTGCGAGCGTGGCCAGGCAGGCGCGCAGAAGATTGTCATTCTCATCGATGCCACTGTCGGCCAGCGAGACGAGGCAGCGCACCACCACCGGACTGATATCTTCCGGAGCAATGGCCAGCATCTTGCGCACCAGCTTTAGCGCCTGGACGCGCTCATCGTCGTTCTTCAGCATCAGATCGATGGAGCGACATACCAAATGCTGCAGCTGCAGGGCGTTAAACACCTTGATGTCGTTGGACGTGTTGATGGCGTAGCGGATGGTCCTCAGAGCCGCTGCGCGCACCTGGGTAAAGGTGTGCACCAGTGAGGCACTGAGACTGCAAAGCCACAAAAAGCGAAGGAATGTAATTAGGATTAGAATTGGAAAATTCATAAAATATTCGCACCAGTAAAGCAGTTCCTCAGTGCTGAAGCGTATGTTGCTATGATGCGACCCCTTCCGGGCCCCCAGGCAGAGCGAGGCCAGGGCGTTGAGCAGGAAGAGGCGCTTTGTATCCCGCGTCTCCTCCAAGCAGAGCATCGAGTATATATCGAAGGCATTCTCCGCGGCTGATCGCGTTGGATCCTGGCGGTAGCAGTCCTCTGGATCCTGAGAAACTGCAATGAATAAATGCGAAACGAGAATAAGTTACATTTACTTGGAAAATCCGTGACTTAAATTATAAAAAAAAAGTTACTATTTGTTACATAAAACTATTAACAGATCAGTATTATATGTTTGCCCCGAAAGGATTGGAAAGCGATCACAGCTGATGAGCACCTTGTTAAGTTGCATCATGATTGATCTCTTTTCGTTTCTGTTGTCCTATGATGTTTGTAGTTACATATGTGTAAGGTGGTCTCATCACAAGCATTCTCTCTTAAGGAGAGCGGTATTGCTATTGCGAAGAGAGATCTGCACATGTGAGACCACCTTATCAAGTTGCATCATGTGTTGTCTGTTGTCGGTGTTGTTTTTGTTTCTGCTGTGTCATCGTTTTGCTGCTGCTCTCTATGCTGCTGGCTTGTTGTTGTATTGTAGTTTGCTGCTGGCGATCGTCTATAAATAGTCGGTCAATATGAAGCAAAAGAATTTGGTCAAATGGCAAAAACAACAGCTGCAGGAATAACAAAAACACAACCAAAATAAATATACATACATACATACATTATGTAGCTACATATGTTAAAAAGTAAATATACACCGTATCAACTTTCAGGTGAAAAGCTGTTATGCTCTTCACACAGAGCCATAGGCACCGTTATGCGCATACCACTTAACAGTGGCCGCTTCTGCTGCTGCATTTAACATTAATGTCAACAAATGCAATGTATGTATGTACATACATACGTATTTTTGATTATTGCTGCAGTTATTGATAATGTAAGTGCCCCCAACAACAACAAACCGAGAATAGAGAGGGAAATGGGAATAACAACACCACAGCTGCTGGGCAAGGGCAGAAATTATGTGTTTACAGTGAACAGCGTTTCCCAGTGCCTTTCGGCTGCCGACGCTATGCTCAATGTTAATTTATATTCGTTACATTACCTTTGATGCGTAATTGAAATTTGCTTCGCTTGCCAAAACGCCAACTGGAATGTAGGGAGGCCATCGCGGGGCTTCGCGCAAGGTCGAGAGGGCTGGGCGGCAAAGGCGGCATAGCCTGGACATCCAGCAGCAGAATGCCAGCACAGTTCAGGTGCGAATCACACGTATATATTGCTTTTCTATTCAATTTCACTTGCTGGGGCTGAACAATTTACATTTTTTTATTGAGAAAAAAAGAAAGAAAATGCTGCCAACTTTTTATCGATACTATGTATTGGGAAAAGTATCGCATACATCAGATATTTTTTGTAAATATTACAGAAATATCGAGTATCGATATGCCGATAGGTTCTCTCCTGCCGGCACAATCGATTGCTGAAGTGCCCGTGATGGGAAAAATGAATCTGCTGGCCTAGCGATGACACAAGTACTTTGCCAAGATAAGGCCACACTGCTCGCGCACAAACCGTACAAACTGCACAATTTCTTTCATTTTCGCCTTTATCCGGACCAGGGAAACGTGACTGGGGGGTTTGACCAAATGGAAACAGCCTATTGCCCAGATGGACGTGTTTGTTGCGCTTCAAGATGAGCAGCACCTAGTGGCTCCCTTGGTCCTAGCCGGTTCCGAGTTAAAGAAGCTGCCGGCAGAGTCGGGGAATTTACAGGATGAACAGCCGGAGATCCTTGACAACTGTGCCAGCGACAATGCGCACCAGGATTCGCTGTCCCAGTTGGCCTGCAGCCTGCACAGGCTGTCAAAGGATGATCACATAGTCATCGATCGGTAATATTGCTGTGACGCTTGTAAGAACCATATTTAAGTTTATTGGATGCAGGAAACGCAACGAAGTTATCCGCACGGACGCAGTGACTCAGCAGATGACAATCTACCGCTGCCTGGATCCCGTGGGCATGGGCATGCGCTCAGCGGCGGTTAAGCGGCAGCAAAACCCGCCTCCCAAGGTAGGAAGACCCCTGAAAAGAGCCGGCGCTTCAGCGGCCTCCACAGCTCCTCTGGCGAAGAAGCCGCCGCTGCCAGTGGAGGACAAGCCTGCTCCCGACATACATCGCACTCGGTCAGGTCGCCAGGTAAGGGGTTCCATGCCACAGCCCGCTCCCGTCACCAATGGGCAGGCGGTGGAGCCAACTTCCGCCCAACTGCTGGAGATGCTAGTGGCCGATCTGAGGGACAAGGACTACCGGGCACCAATGCCAGCTCCCAAGAATAACGCTGGACAGGAAGCTGCTACTGCGTCCACGCCACGAAATGTGCCCAAGAATGCCATCTGCCCGGGCTGCGGTAAGATTTTCTTGGGCCGACGCATGCAGCGTCACTTTGTCAAGTTCCCGGAGCACATGCACTCGCCGCCACCTACCACCTCCACGCCCTCGCTCTTTGGCCTCCTGACCGCCCAGCTTCAGAGGCACTCGGACCTCAGCGAGGAGCAGCGTGCCGATCTCTTTCTGAGCGAACTGAACGACTTTGTGGAGCAGCTGCAGCTGCGCAGCCAACGGCTCATCCGGAATACGTCGGGCCTGCACTTTGTGAATGCCAGAATAGCGCGCGTCCTCGGCATACCCGAGGGTCAGTATGCCTTGGATATGTCCGCCATGGAATCGCCGCAGGCACCCACACCGGAACCGGAGGGAACCGCTTTGGCTGCTGGCAGTGGCCGTGCTCGTAACCTGGTGGACTATGCCGGTCTGAGCATGTCGCTGGACGATACGCTGACCGATGAGGCTGCGCAGCGTCTGAATTTGTCGGCGGGCGGCAAGCTTCTGCCGCCATCGGAGGAGAGCCTTCTGCGGAATGTCAGCGATCTCATGCAGCCGCCGGTAGCCGCTGCTGCGCCAACCGTTAACCATGGCTACGATCATGCCAGCGATAATGCTGTGGAGGCGCTTACCATGAAGGAAACGCCTAATGCGGAGGCAATTCTGGATCTCAACGTGGACTTCTTTCAGTTTAATCCGAACTAGGGGTGGTTTTATCTCTGGAAGGATAGTAGAAGACTTTATTTTAAGTAAGAAGAGGATTATAATGTGTACATATAATGGATAATTGATCTTCGCAGATCACAAATATGAATTATTTTTAAACATACGTATTATGTATATATTATTATGTATATATATATTTTTTTAGCTATTATAACTATAGTAAGATAAGTGGGAGTGGGCATGAATGACAGACCTTGAATGAATATACGGCTTTAAATGCCTTTAGTAGAATGAGATTATCCATGAAAAAAAAAACCATTAAACCTGAATTTTGCAAAACCTGAATCAACGTTTTTCGATTTTTATTTCATTTTAAAGCAAGGATGCATGTATCCTTGTTTGCTTTCAGGTGTAAGGTTTGTTTATGCTTCTGCTCGGTGCTTTCGTATTTTATTGCCGTGCCTTTGGATTGCGTTGATTTGCGACATTTGCGGATTGCAGTCAACACTCTTTAGCCCCTCCCCTTCAACCGTCCAGGACTAAAATCAATTTGGTAGTTATCACCGCAAATGGACGACGTACCTTGTTTTCCCTGGGTCAATATGATTAGAGCTGATGGCCCAAATGCAATTGCCGCACTGACCTATAAATGCCGCCGAGCCACAGCTGTCCAGATTCAGTGCATCATGAAGACGTTGACGGATACCAGGTTCCGCCACAGTGCCGCCTCCATGGGCAAGAAGAAGGATTCCGGATCGGAGGACGATGAAAGCTCCATCTGTAGCTGTGCGGCCATTAAGAGGAGTGTGGTCTATTACCTGAAGAACAGCACGCTCCATGGATTGAAGTACATAGCCGAGGAGAGCATTACGATTCCGGAAAGGTGCGTTTTTTCGTTTAGTATTTCTTCTTTTGTGTCGCCAGGCAAGACGATTTAGCCATACATATCACTGTCATGTCTATTTTCTTCTAAATTTTTAAGAAATCATTTTATACCCTATGTCCTAGAGTCTTTTTCGGAATCGCCTTCGTCCTGGTTGTGATCCTGTCCGGTTTTTTCATTTCCAACGTTTACGTAAAGTGGAGCGCCTCGCCGATAATAATTTCGACAAGTGCCAAGCAGAAGCTAACGAGCAACATGCCTTTTCCGGCAATCACCATCTGCAATCTGAACCAGGCGCTGCTCAGCAAGGTGGATCGCATCTCCCGTTCTAGCACCAATTTCTCGCTTCTGATGGGTCTGTGCGACCAGGGCGCAGACACCACCATCTCGTATATTGGCACTTGGAAATACTTCAAGGCGATCCTGGTGGAGGTGGCTCAGCCTTGCGAGAAGATGCTGCTGTATTGCAGCTTTGGGTCGCGGAAAGAGGAGTGCTCCCTGCTCTTTAACTCCATACTGACGGACGATGGTCTCTGCTGCAATTTCAATGCCCTGGATCCCTCCTATCTGATTCGGAATTACAGCGACGACGTGCGCTGGGAGCCGGCTCAGCCGAATATGCGATACGAGCCCATCGATTGGACTCCGGAAAAGGGTTATGCCCACAAGCTGCCAGAGTTCTATTACCCCCGAACTTCGGGCGGCACTGGCATCAGGATGGGCCTCACTGTTGTCCTTAACGCCTCCATAGCGGAGTACTATTGCACCAAGTCCATGAGTGTGGGCTTCAAGGTGCTCGTTCACAATCCCGCCGAGCTGCCGAAGGTCAGTAATTACGGTTTCGTGGTGACCGCCGGCCGGGAGGCGCGAATACCCATCGAACCGGTTTATGAGGACGCTCTGCCCACCATAAGATCTATAAAAAAATCGGTGCGGCGCTGCCTGTTCTCGGATGAGAACGACTTGGCCTACTACCGGACTTACTCCCGCAAGAACTGCGAGCTGGAGTGCGAGGCGACGCTGCTGCTCCGCGAGTGCAGCTGTGTCCTGTACTATCTACCCCGGATCGATCCGATGGCCAGGGTGTGCGGACCCAACGACAATGCCTGTACGGACCGCGTCCAGACGGAGATCGAGTCCTCGATGACAAATCTCTCCTGCGAGAGCTGCTGGCCGGGCTGCTTCGAGCTCACCTACAAGGCGACCCTTTCGACGGCCTCGATTGTCACTGATCCGCGCTTTCAGGCGGGCGAGAATCTGCCAGACTATCTCTTTCACGGGCCCTATAGCAATGCCAGCGAGATGTCCATTCTGCATTTCTACTATATGAGCAACATATTCCGCAGCACCACCAAGTCCGAGATGTTTGGTTTCACAGAGTTTTTGTGTGAGTTTACAAGGATTAAATATATATTTATTCATTTTTCCATATTTAACATAAGAAAACTATGATTATTTTCACCCATTCCAGCGAATACCGGTGGCCTGCTGGGCCTCTTCATGGGCTTCAGCATCTTCTCCGTGATCGAGATTGTATACTATATCACTGTACGGCCGTATTGCGCCTCTCGGACTCTCCGGCAGCGCCACCATCGCCGTTTGGAGCAGTTGCACTGGCTGACTCCTGTCCGGGTTCCTGTTCGTAGAATTTTGCGTCGCCAGCGAGGAACTCTCCCCCGGAATCCGCCGCCCGCTTACAGTGACCTGGAGATGCGTCAAAAGAAGAAGCCGGGAAAACCGGAGCCGAAGAAGAGGAGTCTGTGGCAGACGCTGCAAGTTCGGCCAGTGAACCAAGGGGATGTGGAGCCACCCGTCTATCCCTACTTGGAATAATTGGAATATAATTTTTCAAATTAAAAAAATGAATGAAAATTAATTTTAGCTGGATCTACGACACTGAATGAGCACCTGGAATCAATTAAAATATAAAACAAATAAATGTAAAACATCATAAATATAATTGTTATATTAAATAACAATCTTAGATGTCACAAATAAGTAAGAATAAAAAGCACTGGTTAAAAAGTATAAATTAGTGAATTTTTGCCTTAGTTATGATTGAGTTCCAATTCGATTTAAGGGTATACAAACTTTGGCTTCCCGAAACTAGCTTCCTTTCTTGCTTGTTGTTTTTGTTGCATAGCCCAAGGTATACGGCCCAGAAACATGGTCTAAGAGAAAATAACATCGATACAACAATAAATAAACGGAAAAAGGAAGAAAAATAGGTCAATGAACTCAAAAATCCGTTGGCGGTGTGACTTTAGCGGACACTGAACCAAATTCGGGTGTAGCATACTTTTCTAATATAGTATTGTTTATAAGAAAAATTTAAATAAAAGAACCTTTCAATAGGGAGTGCCCACCAAAAATACTATAGACATATAAAAGGAAATTCCGACTGACTAACTATATACATATATATATTCTTTATCAGCTTCAACAGGCGAGTCGATTTAGCCAGGTTTGTTCATTAACTGATAACAGAGACTGTTAAAACTAGAGCTACCAATGTGGTACTAAAATTCTTATTTTAAATAAATCTCTAAATAAATATTAAAAAACTATAATATAGAATGCTGTAGATGATAGTAGTAGATAGTGTAGTAAATGATGTAAATGATGCGGATACTCTGAAAATTATAGTAATATCTGATTATAAACATGAAAATTATTAAACAATACAGCTAAAACCATATAATACTATCTCCCTCACACTTGGTCTTATCTTAGTAGCCAAGTCTTGAGCCATTAATTTGATATTTCATTAATAAATTGCATTAATATATATTATATAAACATAAATATATTTTATGTTATACGTTTATATTTTCATTTCAAACTTAGCTAGATCACAAAGTTTTTTTCATTGTTTCTTTTAGTGTTGTGTGACAAAGTTTGTCTTTTTTTTTCTGTGTAGTAGGACAGGGGGCGTAACAGTGGCACAGTGCACCGGAAACACTGACTACGCCCACTGCGATTGCGGATATGGGATAATGGCGCTAATCGCCACGCGACTCCAATTTTAATTGATGCCTTACTTGGTTTTCCCGGATATACCCTTAAAGTGTGAAAAAAGTCTCTTAGTTGCGATGCTAAGTTAATCCACAAACTTAATATAATATACAAATATTTATATATAAATAATATTCTTTAAAAAAATTACCTGATTTTCAAAATATTCTCAATTGGAAAACTAAAACTATACTGATCAATTTTTAACCTGAAGTTAATATATTTTATATTTATGATTTTACAACATGTTTTATTCCTTTTTTTTTTTTTTATAAATCTTAACATATTTATACCTTATTTTAGAAAACTAATACAGGATCTTGTAGCATTTTAAAGATTATATTTATATATATTCCTTTTCCTTTAGGGCATTCGGAATTCAACTTGGCCATTATCCACTTGCCCTCGTTTCGCTTTTGGCGTATTGTGTGTGTGCCAATTGAAAATTAATTGAGAGACAATTTTGGTATTGGCCAAACTTTTCGTACCGAATTTTTCGGCCATCGAAACTCGTATCAACAACAACATTTTGTGGGCTGATGTCACTTCTTGGGCTCAATATCTGTGGGATGGATTTTTACGAGCTGCTTTGAGGAATGCCATCCATATACCATATGGGTGGCGGCAGGGTGTGGATCCGGATCCGGGTGACACCACTCGAATTATGTACTCTGTGGACGGTGGATCCCCATCGAGAAATCCTCGGCCATCAATGTCAAGTAGCCGAGTGTCTCGACTTCACATCTCACATCGCCCTAAGTACATAAGTGCCTCATTTTCCGACTCCTCCTCACTTTTCTTTTCACTCGATTTTCCCGAAATAGTTATGCTTTGCTTCTTCTTTTTTTTTTTGGTTGTGGTAAACCCCGCACATGGGAAGATCTTTATTACACGGCCAGCTGGAATATCTCATATAGCGCTTGAATTTTCTATTCTTTTTTTTTTCCTTTGGGGCCTTCAGTTTTCCGCTTTCCTTTTTTATTTCTGTCGATTTTGGATTTTTCATTTGGGGGTTTGTAAACAAACAAGTGGTGTATTGTTTATAGGTAAAGTATTAGATGGAAAGGCGGTAGAGGGGAGGCAAAGTGGTGGCCTGGGTATATATTTTCTGAATTTAATATTAAACTAAAAATTTGAATTTTTACTACCTTATAAAATACATTTTATATAATTTTTAGATATATAGAACCCTATATACATTGCCTCCATTTGTATAGACATATATTTTATCCAGGATCGGATGATTCATTTGATTTATCAGAGGCCCCACCGCAAAAACTAACCCACAACATGTGTCCGTCTGCCAGTTCAGGGAATCAAAAAAAAAAAAAAAAAAAAAACTATCCATTTCACTGATTTCGAACTTGTTGTTGTTGTTTCCGAATTGTTTCCATATTGTTTTTAAGGTATATTACCAGCGATATTTCAATTTCTGCACAACTCTCGATTTTGCTTAGTTTTTGCTTTCAGTTTGTGTGATTAATGGCTTGCCACGTTGCTCATACGCCGTGTAGGTCTTCAGCTTCAGTGCTTTGAGTCTTTTAAATACGTTAAAAAAAATATAAAAAAAAAACAATGACATGCATTGCACACCTACACCTACACCTATACACACTGAGGCACATATATGTATATTGTTTAGATAGTACAGTTTGGAATTGGAAAATTAACAAGAAAATAAACATTTATACGGATATGAAAATCTTCCCTAAAATATTTGAAAATAATAATTAATACATATTATTATAAGTCATTTATTAACATAAATTATTAATTGAATATTTATTTTTTTTTGTAAATTTTTTTAATATTTTTAAATTTAAAAGTTTGTATTTATTTAATAAATATTAAATAAATAATATTTTAACAGAGTATTTTCAATAATTTATATAATTAATTTCACAGAACTCTAAGAATTTCCTTAAGAGCTCCATTTATCCTTGCCACCTTACACTTTTGCCTTGCACTGTACTCGGGATTGCTCGAATGTTTAGGCTAAGACAACAACAATTATAGCAACAGCGCGCGGCACAGCAGCAACAATTGGCCGGTCCACGTGGGTGGACTTGGATTCGGATACGGATTTGTATATAGATGCGGCTATATCTATGAGGTGGCATGGAATGGGAATGGATATGGGAATGGGCACGGCACAGTAATGCCAGAGGCGGGACTCTGTTGGCAACTGCGGCGCTGGCGTCACGGCTGCTGCGCTGCCGCAGCATTTACGGACTGAATCTCCGGCGGAAAGTGTGAATTCAGTCGGAAATTGAACGTCGCGAATGCCACCGCCGCCGCCGCGTCAGCAACATGCTATGAGCCACAAGCAGCCGCCACCTCCGACAAGCAACCGAGATAGATCTAAACCGAAATCCAAGCCCAAATCGAAATCAAGAGCCATAACCAAGTCCAAGACAAGCCCCATTAAAATCACTTGCATTGCACTAAATTCCCTTTTCCGCTCCGTGTTTCTATTTTTCCTCATTGTTTATTTTTTTTTGAAATTTTTTGCGGTGCGTGCAGCGGCATAAACGTTTCCAATTTGAACGCAACGCACACTTCTGCTCCGTGGATATAACATACTAGTGGCAGGAAGAAGGTGGTGCTGTGAGCTCCATAAATCCCCTCTGGGTACAATAAAATCGGCAAAAGTAGCAGAATGCATTCCACGGCATGCGGCGTCGGTGCCTCGGCCACGAACCTCTCAACACTGCAATCGTAAGTTCACCGGAGGTCACTTCTCAATTAAAGATTAGCTAATGGCAATATTTTACCAATATTTGGAATATTTGGCAAACACTTTACACATATTTTATAGTTTACAAAATAGTTTTAATGATTTTTAAAAGAAATATAAGGATCATTGCTGGATTTTGGGGTCTGGTGTTTACTTGTTAAACATTTAAAAATTAAAAAAATAGGAAAATAGGAAATTTAAAAAGAAAAGAAAAGGATGTGAGATCAAACACATATATTTAAGGGTTTTTAAAATTAAGGAATAATTGAAATAAAAATTAAAGAAGTCCCGAAAAGAAAGGTGGAGAGACTGAACATATACGGGCAATTTTTCAACTTCATATAAATTAATAAAATTAAAAAATTCAAAAATATATATATTAAAATAAATTCAAAAATAAAGACACATGCAGCTCAACTGCAAGGCGACAACTGAAGGCAAGTTGATGAATCTAAAAAGTCACTTTTAATTTGAGTGACCGATCCGCTGCAGCGCGCTGGAGAGAAATCTCTCTTAGAAGCTTTAGGGACAAAAAAGGATTTAAAAAGGATAATCGAAAATATCGCTTAGCTCTCACAAAAGTGCACTGGTCACCTAGTTCCCTGGTTCCCTTGATATAAATTTTAAAATATTTTTGAATAGCTTCCAAAGGGATACATAAATAGATGTACATATGAAACAAGTGAAATTTTTAATCGATTACTAATTAATTTCCATTAATTATTTTCCCTAAACCGATTCAAGGTTATATGGGAAATTTATTATATATCCTTCAGTACTCACTAAGAGAAGGTGCTGAAAGTGTATAAATAAAACAGATAAATTCACATTGTAGTTTTCAACTCATTCATTTGGAAACAAACAAGATTCGAATTTAATTTTTAAATCTAAAGGAAACTTAATGTTCCGTCTTCGAAATCAGAAATGTTTATATCTGTGCAAAAGCGTTTGAGGGAATTCAAGGTAATCAAAGATCAAATCGTTTTGGATTTGTTTACATTTACATGCGAGCAAATATTTGTACTGTTGCCCCTCATTTTCCATTTCCCTTTTTTTATGCCAAGTGTACTTGGATTTCCACTGGAGAACGTCTAGTTCCGTGGATCTCTGTGGACCGCAAAACAATCCATCAAACAAAGGAAACGCGAGGCTAGGAAAGAACCAACAAGTGAAATTATTGTTTTCTTTTTGTATTTCTTTTTTTTGGGTTCTTCTTGTTTTGGAAAATGGGGAATGGGGTATGGGAATGGGGGGTCGTAAAGTAGCTCACAAGAAGCGCAATGTAAACAATTACTCACCCCGCATTTTCACCACTTTTCCTGCCGCAGCTCCGATGTGTGTCAGACGAACTGAAAATAGTTTGCAGGATGATTGGAGGGGGGGCGGTGGCCTGGGCAGGAGGCGTGGCCGGGGGTAGTGCCACATGAAAGAGCAGAACAGCAAAATGTGGAGCACTTCAAAACACACACCCGCACACACCACAGAGAAAACAAAAACAGAAAATACCACAAAGAGCGATGCGCTAAATAAATTTTTCCGACCAATTAATGGGCCCGCCAGGTTCTTCACCCTTTTCTTTGGGCTTCCTTCACCGATTTTCCAAAAAGGTGGCAAAGAAAAATTGGGAAAATCCATTACGATCTTATAGTGTTAACGAGACTAGGATTCTGGAGAAAGTAAAAGTGATATTGATCCTTGGAGTTACTATATAAAAGCAGGTTAAAGGAATATATTTGGATCTTTTGCGTCAATAAAAAAATATAGCTCTTGTATAAAATTTATTTTAAAATTATTTGTGGTTTACACTAAGTTAATCCTATAATTAATGGATTGATAAATGTATCTTTTATCATAAAACTATAAATTATTTAAGTAGAGATTTATAAATGTATTTCAAAAACTCTTAATTAGTCAAGTGGAGTTTTAATAATTTTTTTTTTAATTAAATCTATGATTATTATTTATGCTTTTCTTAGTGTAAGCTATGAAAATGCACAGAATACTATGTTAAAACTCGATTTCTACGAGGCAAGATCAAGTCAAGGGCACCCGGTTAAATACATTTAGTGACGTCATTTCGCATAGGCGTTGCGCCAACGCTAAAAAACCAAAAAAGAATATTAAAAAAAAAAAAAATTTGCAAGTGATGGATGTGTTTTTCGGTTTCCCCCTTTTAAATCAGATGCATTCGCACCTAAAAATACAAATCATTTATTTAATTTGGGCTCGGCTTGTGACCGTTTTGGATAGTAATTTTACAGATACAATATATGCATATGAATATAAAAATATCTGAGGAAACTCCCGGCACTCCAATTGGTTATATTTTTAGATGCATACAATGGTTTCATTTTTAGCTTTTTACTCAACTAAAAAGGTTTAAAAAAAAAATTTAAAAAAGGTGTGCGTTTTCAAAATAATTTACTATGAACTTTTGGATTAATGGAAATATTTCTGTAAACAATTTCTTATAAATTTGTTTTCATACATTTTTAGCTGTAAAATTTTGTATTAATATACATTAAGTTATAAAATGATTTAGCATTACATTTTGGTATAAAGCTTATCAATTTTAATTTAAAAGAAAAAACCATAAACATTCTGAAACATTTAATCTTTAATTTCTTCAATACATATATATTTCCCTAATTATTTTTTTTTATTTCAATTTCCTTCTACATTTTTACACCATTCATAAACTATAAGGCCCCCACGCATTATCTGTTCCCAGTAGCTCTGAATTATTATGCAAATCAATGATTAAGTGGAATGCCCAAAAAACAAATACCCAGAGGCAGCAGGGTCAAGTGTTGAGATTACATTTTTTTGTTTAAACTTTTAATTCGACGGCTGCCCATTGGGGGCTGAGGCTGCTGGGTCGATCCCTCGTGATGGATTCGCCGTAATTAGCCCATTGTCATGCGGATTGATTGCTGTGATGTCGCCCACTCCGCCCACCAGCGTGTGTTTCAAGTACAGTGAAGCCCTCGCTGTCGGTGTTGCTCTCCAGCTGAGCGAGATTTAACAAGGTACACTGTAAAGAATTTTGAGCTGATTAACAAGAGAAACCAATGAGTAAGCAGTGTTTAAATAAAATAACTATTTAAAATTTATAACACCTGTTCTTTTTGTGTGGTAAATACTGTTGTAAATTTTATAAATATTTTTCTAAAAATAATACAAAATTATAAATAAAACGGGAAACAAGTTTAAACATTTCATAAAAATATATATGTATTTTAGAATTAAATATAGATTAAATAAAGCTTAAAAATCTTTTAAAAAGGTGCCCAAAACGATGGTAAAAAAATATTTAAATATAAAACAAAACAAATTTACTATCTCAACATATTATAGCATACCTTTAAGCGCACTTTAAAGGGGTTTCAAAACCTTTGCTAGGGTATTTCTTGGGGCTTTTACTTACTTTTTGGATATATACCATTTCGTTTTATATTTTAAAGCAAATAATATCCTCTATTTAAAGTTTTGATTCATTTTTTTTCAAGTATAGCAACTCTGCGCTCAACTGCTGATAATTTGTGCAATTTGTTGACACACATTTTAATTTTTTTTTTGTTCGTCGCTGCTGGTCGTGCTTTTGTGTGTGTGCGCTTCTGCTTTTCCTTAAGCTCCCCGGCTACTGTGGCAAATTGCATGCTTTAACAGCACGACATCGCGACTATAACTATCTATGCACATATATGTATAGCACATGTACTACGTTGCACATGTATCTTTGTGCAATTGACATGCTCTCATGACCATCCTCCTTTAGCTTTGCCTGCTTATCATAGACAAGTGGAAACTGGCAGATGTCAAACTGCAGCGGAAATCTGCGTGCCCCCACAAAGACACACATCATCGGGCATAAAAAATATATATATACATATATGTTATTCATATGGAAACAAAAAGCAAATGTATACACATAGAGCAAGAATAATAAAAACTATACACATGCCCAGCGGATGTGTGGAGATGATGGCCAAGCGATGACCAGACAAACAAACACAAACATGGCAACAATCAGGCTAACAATTGTGGTCAAATTTTTAGGATTATGTTATAGATTAATGCAGAAATAATTGGCAATACATATCCAGGATTTGATTATCTTAGACTTTGATTACTATTAAATTCGAGTATTGCCCAAGTTCTCTGCTTAGAAAGACCAAACAAGGACGCTCTCTACATTCTATTTAATTTCATACAAATGTAAACTATACGTACATCTTTGATTAGATCTTGATAAAGAAAAAATACAGCCTTTATTTTAATTTTTCCTAAATCCCAGACCTATTTTCCAACCCTCAGCTATACTTCCACCTTGGCGTGCTTACTATCATTTTATTTCCACCTGTTTCGATCCAAAGAGAACCACAATTCCAATAACTTTCACAGCCAGACGATTCCGACGATTCTCAATGGAAACTGAATGAAACGAATCAAAGAGTCACAGATGCCAAGGAAAGGAAGAAAGTCTTTCTAAATAAACAGGAAAAATAGAGAAATGCCATAAATCAAAGGTGCCAAGTGCAGAAGGTATCCTTGCTCCTTGGAGAATTGCAATTAAAGTGATTTGATGATGTCATAAGGAATTGTCTCACATTTTCCGATTTTTCCCGTCCATGTTATCATAACTATTCTTTTTTTTTTTTTTTTGCTTTTCTGGTTGGGTTCGGGTTTTTGTTTGTTTTGCTTGAGCCTGGTCGCGTCGCTTTGTGTGTCCATTTTTGTGTGTCACTGTCAACAAATTGCTCTTAATGGCCCCACCGGCGGGTGGGTGGTGGCCAAGCCCCCCTCAACCCACCCCATTCCTCATGGTATAATAAAAAAGAAAAAAAAATCACAACACAGAAATAATCAAAAGCTCGCACTACTAAAATCCAGAGTGATGACAATCACGGGAGCTGTGTGCCATCGGGGTCTTCTAATTTTTTGTGATTTCCGCACCGACGCAGCAACAATTTGCACTGCA